CCGCGGCGCCCGCGGGCGAGGGCAAGGACGCGGACAAGTCGCCGGCCATGTTCACCTTCGGCAGCGGCAAGAACCTCGAGCCGCCGCCGGCGCCCATCGAGCCCGAGGAGAAGGCGCCCATGATCCTCGAGCTCGTCATCGAGCAGCACCGCGCCAAGCTCGCCGCGGCCGTCGACGCGGCCTTCGCCGACGCCGCCAAGACGCCCGACGACCCCGCGAACCTCACCAAGGCCAAGCAGAAGGTCGACGCCATCGTCAAGAAGACGGGCGAGACCATCAAGCAGCTCTTCTACGCGGAGCGCGCGATCCTCGACTGGCAGGCCCACGGCTTCATGCAGGAGAAGGGCGAGGAGAAGGACTAGGGAGCGCCGGAGGACGCCACTAAGCACGCGCCGAGATCGACGCCGCTACTACGAACGCGCCGAGATCGACGCCGCGAGGCCCGGGGCCGCGTCGACGGCGCCGACGGCCAGCCCTCCGCGGTCGTCGTCGGCGACCGCGGACGCGTTGGCCGCCGCCGCCCGCGACCGCGGGCAGTGGCGCCGGTAGAGCGCGACGTCGTCGGCGTAGTAGGACTCGACGAAGCGCCGGAGCGCGGGCAGGTGGCGGTCGCCGTCCGGGCCGAGGACCTTGGAGTGGTCGCTCGGGTTCTTCCGCGGGAGCTCCGGGCAGTGGCCGTCGCCGCAGTAGGGCCGGAGGATGTCGCCGAACTCGTCGCCGAGGCTGTCGTAGCAGAGGAAGTCGATGTTCGCCTCGTGGCCGTCGACCCACCAGGTCAGGGGCCGGAAGACGCAGTGCGTCGCGTTCGACGCCGTCGCGTCGAAGAACTCGCAGTGGCCGTTGAGGCCCGGGACGTCGTCCAGGATCTCGCCGATGCGCTTGCCCAGGAGGTAGTGGTGGCACCGGTTGCCCAGCAGACGCTCCATGCGGGCCTCGCCGCCCTGCTGCTTGTAGGCGAGCGCGGAGACGAAGCGGTCCACGGGGTCCCGGAGGACGACGTGGCACGGCCGCGTCGACCCGTCGCAGCGGCCGTCGTGGCCGAGCACGTAGATGTCGTCGACGGCGTCGAGCGCGGCGGCGATGGCCCGGCCCGCGGTCTTGCCCGGGTGCATGAAGAGGCGCAGGGCCGTGACCTTGAGCTTCGTGCGGCCGCAGGGGCGCGCGCCGCAGATCATCCGCAGGCTCTCCGCGAGGTGCGACGCCGTGACGGGCAGCCCCGCGGCCACGGCCTGGGACGCGAAGGACTCGACGACCTCCGCCGGGTCCTCCCAGGGCCGGCACGTCGCGCTGCCGACGCCCCGGACCTCGACGCCCACCGTCGCGGGCAGCGCGCCGCACCAGCCGGGCCGCTTCTCGCAGACGGAGAGCGTGAGCTCCGCGAGGTCCCGCTCCGTCGGCGGCGCGCCCGCGTCGCTCGCGGAGAGGGCCAGCCGCTTGATCTCGTTGTGGGGCTCGGCCCAGGGGTCCACGGTGACGCCCCTCCCGTCGGGCAGCGCGAGGCGCACCGCCGGCGCGACGGGCCGCCCGCAGTCGCGCCGCGCGCAGAACCAGGCCATCATGCTGTCGATGGACCGGTCCATGTCCCGGCGCGACGCGTTGTAGCCGACGCGCGCGGACCGCCGCAGGAATTTCTCGACGCAGGCCGCGGGCTCCCAGAGCGGCGGGCACTCGCACGCGCCCACGGTGTCGTTGAACGCGGACCAGACGTCCAAACTCAGCAGCTTCTCGTGGCCCCCGCCGCACGCGCCGGGCCGCGACGCGCAGAGGTCGTCGAGCGCGACGTTCGCCGCCGCCGCCGCCTCGTCGTCGTCGAACCCCTCCGTCCGGAGGTGCTCCAGGAACCGGAGCGCCGCGACCTCGGGCGGCTCCGCGTAGGAGCTCTCGACGCGCGCGGTCACGTTGCCGCGCCGCAGCGCGACGTCGGCGTAGAGGTCGCCGTGGAGCCGCTGGCGCTGGCACTTGCGCCGCCGGCAGTACCACGCGAGCATCTCCGACGCCTTGCCCCGGGGCACCGCGTGGCCCCGGACCGCCGCGGACCGCGCGAAGCGCTCGACGGCGTCCGCGGGCTCGTCCCAGGCCTCCACCGTGACGCTCCCGAGGGGCGGCACGGCGAGGGTCAACGGCGGCGCCAGGGGGAAGGCGCCGCAGGCCCGGCGGGCGCAGAGGCGGCCGTAGACGTCCGCGAGCCAGGCCCGGTCGACGCGGCGGCCGCGCGCGACGAGCGCGCGCGCGACGCGCTGGAGCGCGTCCGCCGGGTCCATGAAGGCGTGGATCGTCACGTTCTCCTCGAGGACGCCCTCCACGGTCACGGGCTCGGCGAGCGGCCGGCCCGGCGCGCGGCCCGGAGCGACGAGCGCGTAGGCCCGGGCCATCTCCTTCGCCCGGAAGACGTCGTGGCCCGCGTCGCGCGCGGCCGCCGCGAAGGTCTCGATGGCGTCGGCGGCGTCGACGTCGTCGGGGATCGTCAGGGTGCCGACGCGGCCGACCCGGAGCGCGGCGCCCGCGGCGTCGTCGTCCGTCGGCGGGAGGCTCGGCCCGGACGCGACGGGCAGCGCGTGGCCCCGGGGCGTCACCGCGAACGCGTCGCCGGCGGGCCAGTGGGTCGCGCCGGTCTCGTTCTCGAGGAAGGTGAGGTAGAGGAACTTGAGCGTCTCGGCGATGACCGACGGCGGCATGTCGTCGACGAGGCGCCGCGGCGACTCGGCCGCGGGGTCGGCCTCCGCGTCGCCCAGGGCCGCGAAGGCGCCCCGCGTCGCCGCGCCCTTCTCGAAGTGCGCGAAGAGGTCCCAGGCCCGGGCCGCGTAGGCCGCGTCGCCCGTCGCGCGCCGCAGGAAGAAGAGCGACTTCGCCGTCGCCGCGGCGTGCGCGAGGTCGCCGCCGCGGTCCGCGCGGCTCGCCGCGCCGAGGCGGTCGTCGCGCCAGCCGCTCCGCGCCGGCGCGACGCCCGACGGCATGTCCGTCGCCGCCCGGACGCAGGTCTCGATCAGCGCGTCCGCGAGGGGCCGCGACACGGGCCAGCGCCGCGGCGTCCGCGCGAGGAGCCCCGGGAACGCGCAGCCCCGCCCGTCGAAGTCGGTCGTCAGCGTCTCGTTGGCGACGAGGTCGCCGAGGAAGAGCGCGCCGTCGACGCCCTGGACGAGGTGCGCCGCGTAGGCGTCCGCGGCCCGGAGCCACGCGGCCTCGGCGCGCGCGGCCGCGGCGTCGCCCGGCGGGCCGGCCGCCGCGACGGCCGCGAGCGCCTCCTCGGGGCCCCGGCCCGGGGCCACGAGGGTCAGGTTCGCCGCGAGGAAGGACCCGGCGGTCACGGAGACGCGGTCCGACGCCAGCGCGTCGCCCCGGAGCCGGCCCCGGAAGCCGAGGACCGCGGCGAGGTGGTCGTCCGCCGCGTCCCGGAAGCGCCGGCCGCCGGTCACGCGCGCGAGCTCGCGCAGCTCCGCGAGGCCCGCGACGGCGTCGAGCGTCGTCCCGACGCCGAGGTCGCCCGGCGGGGCCGCGACGCCGAGTTTCGCGCTCCAGAGCCGGCCGACGGGCGCGCCGCCGCCGGACGCCGCCCACGCGGGCAGGAGCCGGTCGCCGAGCTGGCGCGCCGCCCGCAGGAGGCGCACGTCGCCCGTCGCGGCGAAGGCGCTGAGCAGGCCGCCGAGCACGCGGCCGCTCGCCTCGCCGACGTCGACGCGCGCGTCGTACGAGCCGAAGCCGCCGGGCCGGGCCGACTCGGCCGCGACCCACGCCGCGGCCGCCTCGAGGTCGTCGTCGAGGCGCGCGGCCCAGAGCGCGTCGAGCGACGCGACGAGCGTCACGCCCAGCGTCCCGGACGCGTAGCGGTCGCGCCCGCTCTGCGACAGCGGCGCGAGGACGTCGGCGCCCCAGGCCTCGGCGCGGTAGCGCGCGAAGGCCGACGCGATGGACGCGCGCACGCGTTGAGCTGCGTCGGACGCGCCGAGCGGCGGCTGCGTCGGCCGCGCCGCGCGCGCGGCGCACAGCAGCGCCAGCGTCGCCGCCGACCAAAAGGCTGCCATACTAGTATCGCGCGTCCAGCGGACGCAGGGCTGCCTGGCATTGATATTTGCATCTTGGCATCAAACAAGTTCTACCACAGCGGCACGCTCTTCTCTCGCAGAATATGGCAACAATGCTGCTCGCCCGCTCCATCCGGCGCTCGTCCCTCGCGTCGGCCCGCTACGCGTCGACGCTCGTCGTCGCGGACTGCGACGCCACCGGCGTCACGGCGGCGACCCTGAGCGCCATGACGGCGTCGGGCGCCCTGGGCCCGTCGGCGAGCGTGCTCGTCTACGGCGCCTCGGGCGACGCCGCGGCCGCCGCGGGGACCATGAGCGGCGCCGACGCCGTCTTCCACTTCGAGGGCACGCCGAGCGCCAAGTCCGTCGCCGCCTTCGTCAAGGACAAGGGCTTCACGCACGTCGTCGCGCCGGTCGGCAACAAGATGAAGGACTTCGTGCCGCGCGTCGCGGCCGCGCTCGGCGTGTCGCCGGTGACGGAGGTCGTCGAGGTCCTCGGCGAGGACGCCTTCGTGCGCCCCATGTACGCGGGCAACGCCCTCGCCACGGTCAGGGCCGGCGGCGACGTCAAGGTGCTGACCGTCCGCGCGACGGCGTTCGACAAGTGCGACGCCGGCGGGTCCGCGGCCGTGGAGCCCGCGGCCCTCGCCGACGCCGGCGACGAGGCCGCGGCCTTCGTCTCCGCGTCGTCCGGCGGCGGCGACCGGCCGGACCTCACGGCCGCGCGCGTCGTCATCGCCGGCGGCCGCGGCATGAAGAGCGGCGAGAACTTCGGCATGCTCGAGACCCTCGCGGACAAGCTCGGCGGCGCCGTCGGCGCGTCGCGCGCCGCCGTCGACGCGGGCATGGTGCCCAACGAGCTCCAGGTGGGCCAGACGGGCAAGGTCGTCGCGCCCGAGCTCTACGTCGCCGTCGGCATCTCCGGCGCGATCCAGCACCTCTCCGGCATGAAGGACTCGAAGACCATCGTCGCCATCAACAAGGACGCCGAGGCGCCCATCTTCCAGGTCGCGGACTACGGCCTCGTCGAGGACCTCTTCAAGGCCGTCCCCGAGCTCGAGGAGAAGGTCGCGTAGGCCGCCGCGCGCTCGGCCGCGCTCGAGCCGCGGCCGCGGCGAAAGACCCCGCGCCGCGCCCCCCCCCCCCCCCCCTGGTTAATCATCCACCGGCCCTGGCCGGTCGTGGGAGCTCGACGAGGCGCCCGGATGACCTGTCCAGCTCTCGGCCGGCTCGGACGGCGCGCTGCCGGCGGGTCCAGATTGCGGTCAAAACCGACGACCTCGACGCCGCCGCCCGTCGTCGCCGTCGCGCCGTTGATCGTCCCGTCGAGGCTGTTGTCGCCGTCGTCGGCGGCCGTCCCGTCGTCGAAGGAGTAGTGCGCGACCGCTACCACCACGACGACATCCTGGCGCAGATACCGCCGAACGTGTGGCGTGTGCCCGTCTCCCAGATCTCTGAATCAGATATGAAGACGTCGTCGACCGGGCCGGCAGCGGGCTCCAACAGGTGGGCCAAGAACCCCTTCGCTCGCTCAATAAGCAGCACTGCGATCAATCGCAAACGCCTGCAGAAGAAGAAGAAGGCGAATACCGCGCCCGCGGCTCCGGCCGCCCGCTGGGTGCCCCCGCCCGCGACCGAGTCGTCGCCGACGTTCGTCCAGATCGCGTCGTGGTTCTTCTTGTTCGCGTTTCTCGTGGACACCGCGGTGCGCACGTACGCGCCGGCGGCCGCGCCGGAGCCGGAACCGGAGAAGAAGTCTTTGCCGAAGCTCGCCATCGCCGCGGGCGCCGTCGCTATCCCGCTCGCGGCGCCGCACGTCGGCACCGCGCTCGCGATGGGCGCCGCCGCCGTCAGCAAAATCGTTCCGGCGGCGCCCGCCGCGGCCTCGTTCGCGAAGGCGCTCGTTCCGGCGGCGGCGCCCGTCGTCGCGGCCTCGCGCGTCGCGCCCGTGGCGATCATCCTCAAGGTCTGGCGGGCGCTCCGCGGCGTCGTGGGCTTCGCCGCGGTCGCGTAGGCGCCGCCGCCATCCCCCCCAAGTCCAGGGCGGCGCGGTCCGTGAGGCGGCGCGCGCCCTCGCTCGAGGTAAAAGTTGCGCCGCGGATTTTAGGCCGCCAGTACGGCTAGAGAGCGAAAGGCGAGGAGAGTATACCCAAGACCTTGGTTGGAGGGCTGCGGTGCGGACGACTTTATGAAGTCTAGCTGACCTCAGCAACCGAACTTCAGATGTCGATTTCGTCCCTGCATGGGACTTGGGGACTCGCGCGCGCCCCGGGGAGGCGCCCGGGGCGGTCGCGAGGGCGAGCGCGACGCCGAGAGTGCGGCGAAGCCGACGATTCCGCGCACGAACCGCCATATGCTGAGGATGATGGCCACCGGGCCGCGGCGCGCGGCCGTGAAGATGGGCGCGATGGATCGGATGGGAACGACTTCTTTGCTCATCATGAGCGCCGAACCCACGGCGCGAGCCGTGCCGACGTGCGGAGAAGCTAAGGCCCCCGCGGCGCCCGCGGCGATGGCGAGTTTCCGGAGCGGAATCTTCTTCGGCGCGGCCGCCGGCGCGACCGCCGGCGCGGCCGCCGGCGCGGCCGACGGCACGAGCCAGATCAAAGTCTGACTCACGAGGACCGCGAGGAGGAAGAGCGACGCCGCGGCGCGGGCGAGCGTCGGCGACGATTCGGTCGCGGGCTCGTAATCGACCGGCTCCTCGTCGTCGCCGTGTTCCGTGAAAGCCGGCGACGACCGAGTCCGGGCGTCTTCGAGCACTAACCGCCGAACCATGGGCGTCTGATGTGCGAGGCGCTTCATCAGAGATGACGGAGCTCCGCACGAATGATACCTGCGCAGGCGTCGAGAGGATCGCGCCGGCCGGGCCACGGAAGCGGAGCCTGCGCGGCCGTCGGTCGCGCGGCCCGCCGTCGGCGCGCGCGCGTCGGCGCCCCCGCGGAGCGAGCGACGAGCGCGCCCGGCTCGTCCAAATGAGAGCCGCGTCGGCGTCGACGCGGCCGAGCGCGCGCTGCGGACCGGCGGCCGGGTTCGGCGCGGCGCCGCGCGAGAAATCCTGCCTTCAGTCCTTGTCCCCGGATTGAGAAGGCCGACGCCCACGTCCAGTGCTTTGCGCCGTTTGCGTGAGCCTCGGAGAGCTCGTTGCCTTTCTGTCTGCAAACGTTGCGAGCCAGGAAACTAAGTGCCCGGAGCGAGGCCGAGCGGCGTGGGTGATGCCTCGCCACAACAGGAGGATTCTCACGAGGTGGACGTCGGCGACAGGGAAAGCCACGGGAAGGCACGACTAGGGCGGGGAGGTACGGGAGCACGACGAAGAGGGCGCGACCTTCAAGAGAGCACGTCGACACTGTGCGGCTACCGCTCGTAGGCGACGCCGACTTTAGGTCCCGCCGGTGCCGCGGGCCGCGCGGGCGTAGGCCGCGGGCCCGCTTCGCGGCCGCGTCCTCGCCGTAGTCGGGCCGCGGGATCGACGACGGAGCGGGGGCGGCCCTCGATCTTGATCCGCGTGACCCCCCACTCGCGGTAGAGCCGCTGCTTCTGGATCGACTTCGCGTGGTCGAAGCTCAGCTTTGCCTCAGGTCCTCGCGTGGAGGCATCCTCCGAAGGCCTCCGCCGAGCTACAGTCACGAGTTTCAGGCACCCCCTCGAGAGCGCTCTCATACCTGGCGCTGCAAAGAGGGGCTTACGTCTTCACTTCGCGGATGGGGCTTGGGACTTGTCTTGGGACTTGGGGACTCGCGCGCGCCCCGGGGAAGCGTCCGGGGCAGTCGCGAGGGCGAGCACGACGCCTACTAAGCGAGTGCGGCGGCGCCGACGACGACGCCGCGCACGAACTGCCAGATCTTGACGAGGATGGCCACCGGGCCCACGTGCGCGGCCGCGACGGCGGGCGCGAAGGGAACGACGGCCATCGCGTAGGCCGTGCCGACGTGCGGAGCCGCAAACGCGACGACGGCGCCCGCGGCGGCGAGCTTCGGGAGCGGATTCTTCGGCGCGGCCGCCGGCGCGGCCGCCGGCGCGGCGGCCGACGGCGCGAGCCAGATCAAAGTTTGACTCACGAGCACCGCGAGGACCAACAGCGACGCTGCGGCGCGGGCGAGCGTCGGAGACGCCTCGGTCGAGGGCTCGCGGGCGCCCGGCGCCGCGGGCGCGGGCGCGGGCTGGGCCTTCGTCTTCTTCGTCGCGTTCTTCTTCTGCGACGAGCGCTTGCGAGTGTTCATCGAGTTCGAAACGTCCTTCAAGGGCTTCTTGCCGCCGGTCGAGGACCGCGTCCTGGGCGCCATTGGCGATTTCAGAGACCAAACGTTTCTACACCAGCTTGCGCGCGTCCGCGCGTGGGACGCGTTGCCTTGACGCGTCTCTAAACGTAGGGGGCTCGGGAGGAACCGCGGGGACGCGTTGCCGCACTCTGCAGATCTGAGAGACAGTTTTTGTGAAAACTGGTTCAACGCGAGTCACATGCACGAGCGTTGCGTAGGTGCAGGCTTGACGCAGGAACTTGCGCAGGAGACATAACAAGGAAGCTCAGTCTCCCGGAGGCCTACTCGATGTTGCACGGCCTCGTGCACCCTTCACGCAGGAACGTGCGCAGGCGACATAACAAGCAAGCTCAGCCTCCCGAAGGCCTACTCGATGCGAGCCTGCGGCGCTGCCCCCACCCGCTCGAGGTATATGCACGCGCTTAGTTGGCACGCCGGATTCAGACGGCGGCGACGGGGAGGCGGTTCGCCTCGGCGAGGGGCGGGCCCTTGGCGGGGGCGGCCTTGCCGCGGCGCTGCTTCTTGCGCTCGTGGTCGACGAGCATCTGGAGGCCGTCGACGCAGAGCCCCGCGATGTCCGGCGAGGGGCAGTGGAAGAGCGTCGCGTCGCGCTCGCCGGCGCCGACGATGATGAACGACCGCGCGGAGAGCTCGTCGCCGAGCTCGTGCGGGATCGGCGCGCCGGTCACGGCGAGGACGGCCGCGAGCGGGATCGACGTCGCCGCGCCGCCGTCCAGCGACCACTCCACCGACCGCTCGTCGTCCGCGAGGCCCAGCGTCGCGGCGACGACGGCGGCGCCCGCCGGCGCGCGCTGCGCCGTCGACGGCCGCACGACGAGGCGCACGCCCGCGCCGAGCATCGCCCGGAACTCGCCGAGGAAGACCTTCTCCGACTCGGCGACCTCGGCGGCGCGGGACGCGCGCAGGCGCTCCGCCTCGCGCGCGGCGTCGGCGACGGGCGCCGTCCACGCGCGCGGCGCGGGCTCGTCGACGGCGAGCTCGGCCTCGAGCGTCCGGTCGTCGGGCACGGGCGCGACGCAGTCCTCCGGGTCCAGGTGGTGCACGGCGGGCCGGTCCGCGTCCCAGTCGTCGTCCCACTCGGGCAGCTCGCTCCCGCAGGCGCAGACCGCCAGCGTCGCCGGCGCACAGACGACGCTGTCCGACGAGTGTGTGGCGCCCATGGCTGTGCGAGCGGCGCGCGCGAGGATCAGCGGCACGACGACGAGCTCCGCGTGGTCGACGACAAATTGCATATATAGTGCGAGCTCTGGAGTGAGGTGCGCCGCGGCGTCAAGCGCGCGCGGTGTCGAGCACGCGCGCGCCGCGGGTGGTCGAACGGCGTGAGCACGCGCGCGCCGCGGGTGGTCGAACGGCGTGAGCGGAGCGCGAGGCACGCGTGCGCCGCGGGTGGTCGAACGGCGTGAGCACGCGCGCGCCGCGGGTGGTCGAACGGCGTGAGCGGAGCGCGAGGCACGCGTGCGCCGCGGGTGGTCGAACGGCGTGAGCGGAGGCGCGCGGTGACAGGCGCGCGGTACGGTCTCCGCGCGCCGCGGCGGGACCACACTGGCAACCGTGGCTGAGCTCGCCAATCAGAAGAGAGTCCGGTTCCCCCGTGGGTCTCGGCTAGGCCCGGGCTAGCAGTAAGCGACTCCAGGCCAGAAGACCCAAGGCAGGCGCGTAGGAAGTCGCATAGGCGGGGTGCGTCGCCTAATGCGCTAGAGAGAGAGAAGACGCGTGCAGCAGGGCTGCTCGTCGCCACACGCCCCTGCTCCTCGACGCTGCAGAGCGAGACGCAAGCGCACCGCTGTGACGGCTCCACACCGGGCACGTCGACGGTCTTCGCCCTCGAGCTCCAACTTACGCGAACGCCGCGCGGCAGAGCGCGCGGCCGACCGCGAGCGCGCACGCGAGCGCGGCCGCCTGCGCGCACCGCTCCCGGCGCTTCGCGACGCGGAGCGCGTGGAACGAGTTGTCCTCGTTCTGGATCGCGCGGAGCAGCGGCGGCGAGAAGAGCCGGGGAAACGCCTTGCTCAGCTTCGCGTCGAGCAACAACGGCGCGAGGAACCGCGCCGTGCCGAGCGGCCCGCGGCCGTCGAAGCCCCGCGAGATGCGCACGAGCGCGCGCGCGTCTTCGGCGCGCCGCTCCGAGAAGAGGGCCGCGGCGCCCGCGGCGTCCGGCGCGTCGTCGAGGCAGTCGTCGAGGATCGCGACGTCCTCGAGCGCGGAGTTCGCGCCCTGGCCAAAGTAGGGCTTCACGGCCTTGATGGCGTCGCCGAGCACGACGACGGGGCCCGCGTGGACGGGGCCCTCGACGAGCTGGAACGACGGCAGGCGGCTCTCGTCGCGCGCCGCGAAGCGCCCGAGCTCCGCGTCGTCCGCGAAGGGAAGGAGCGCCGGGGCGACCTGGGCAGCAAAAGAGTGATTCAACGTCGCTTCAACGTGAGTGTTCCGCGCGCGCGCGTTCCGGAAATAGCGCCGACGCTTCGAGACCGTTCCGAGAGATGATCGCTCGTCCAAAAATCAGCCGAAACGAGTGGACAACGACCGAGATATGAGCCTTTGAAGTTGGGAATTTCGCTCTCTTTTGCTGCCCTGGGGGCGACGTCGTCGAAGAACGCGCGCGCGTCGTCCGCCGTCTCGAGGGCCGCCAGGCGGCGCGACACGGGGCTGTCCGGCTTGAAGAGCAGCACGGCGACCATCTCGCCCTCCAGCGTCGGCAGCGCGTCCATGCCGAGGCCCGCGGACGCGTTGCGGAAGCCCCAGTTCAAGTCCGTCGGCGTGCCGGGCACCCGGGACGGATGCAGCGGGATCGTCCGGTAGCGCCGCTCGTTCCTGTTCTCGAAGCGCACGCACCTCGTCGTCGAGCCCGGCGCGCCCTCGAGCGCCGCGCGAACGTGGGAGTTGACGCCGTCGGCGCCGACCACGAGGTCCCAGGTCCTTTCGCGCGGCGGGTCGAGCGCCAGCGTCGGCCGGTCGCCGAGGCCCACGCCGTCGCAGGCGACGCCGAAGTGGACGGCGACGCGCTCGTAGTCGCCGACGGCCTCGAGGAGGCACGCCTGCAGCCGATCCCGCTGCATGACGCGCGTCACGTACGACTTCTCGGCGCCGGGCTCGCCGGGCGGCGTGAGCCGCGTCTCCGTGAGATTGCCGTCGGCGCCGATGCTCAGGCGCCCGCGCACGGACGCCGCGCGCGCGTCGACGCGATCCATGACGCCGAAGCGCCGCAGCGCCTTCTGGCCGCGGCCGTTGAGGCCGAGCTGATAGCTCCGCTCGCCCGCGCCCCAGCACGCGTCGCTCGACGCCGGCGGCGCGGCGCCGCGCTCGAAGACGTCGACGGCCCAGCCGCGCCGCGCGAGCGCGATGGCGCTGAGCAGGCCCGCCGGGCCGCCGCCGACGACGGCGGCGGTCCTGTGCTCCCGGGCGGCCATCGCGACGCTGCGCCGCAGCGGTCGCACGCTGCTGCGCGGCGCGAAGGCGCGCGGCGACAATGCGCTGCGCGGCGGTGCGAAGGCGACGGCGCGCGGCGACAATGCGCACGCAACGATCAGAATCGACCGCATGGCTGCGCGGCGACGGCGGCGGCCGTGGCGCTCTCCACAAGAGCGCTCGAGATCGTCCGCCACCGCTCGCGCCGTCTCACGCCGCGCGTCGCGACGATGCCTCGCCGACCCCCCGTCGCAAAATCGCGGGTCGTCGGCGACGACCCGAATTACGCGCCGGCGGTGGTCGCCCCGCCCGTCCAAGGCGTCGTCGTCGGCCACGTCTCGGAGATGCCTCCCGGCGCCGTCCACAACCCCGTGAACACGCAGCAGCCGCTCCCCCAGGGACAAGTCGTGGCCGTCGTGTCGTCCGTGCCCATGATCTACGCGCCAATACAAGTTACGGTCCAAGCGACCGCGCCGCAGCGCTGGCCGTTTCCGATGCAGTGCTCGATCTGCTTCTCGTGCTCCGAGGACCCGGGGCTCTGCTGCTACGCGACGCTCTGCACGTCGTGCCTCAACGCGGAGCTCGCGGAACACATCGGCGCGCGGGCGGCGTCCCCCCTCGTTTTTCGATTCGCGCGCGATCTCGACGGAAAACTCGCGGCGGAAAACTCGCGGCGCCCGCGTCGAGGGGCAGTCGCGCGCGTGTCGCGCCGCCTCCGCTCATGCACACGCGTCGCAGGCGCCCGGGGCATGTTCGGGTCGCGGACCTGCTGCGACCAGTGGTGGAACACGTGCCTCGCGGCGTTCTTCGTCGAGACGCTCGGCAACTGCTGCTTCTTCGGCACGGGCTTCATCTGCGGGCCCTGGATCTGGTCCGGCTGGTACGCGATGACGCGCGACGCCATCAAGAACTCGTACCGCCTCCCGAACGACGAGCTCTGCGGGAGCCGCGGGTCGATCATGTCGTTCCTCCCCTGGTACATGTGCCTCCTCATGTGCCACCCCTGCGCCGTCTACCAGGAGGCCTACTACGTCAAGCACGCCCTCAAGCGCGACTACACCTGCTGCTGCTACGCGAACTTCTTCCGGGGCCCGATCAAAGACGAGGAAGTGGACGGCGTCCGCGCGGTCGGCATGGACTAGGAGTCGCGGTGAGGCGACGCGGGGGTGCGTGGGTGCTGCTCGCCTAAGGGGGGCTGAGCCTGTGACTGGGGACATCTCGGAAGTTGCACGGGTGTCCAGAGCGAGGGGCCCGATGTGAGGCGCGCACGGGTACCGGTTTGTCCAAAAAAGACCCCGGCGGCGAGCCGGCCACTTCGACAGCAGACGACGATCGACGACGCTCACGTGGTACAAGTTGGCCAGCCTCGTCGCCCGCAGCCGCTAAAACCTCGACAAAGATGGGCAAGGGCGCCCGCGCCGCCCTCCAGATCGCGGAGAAGGAGACGCTCATCGCGGCGCTCATCCCCAAGGAGAAGCTCCCGACGAAGAAGGAGATCCGCGATAGCATCCCCGAGCACTGCTTTCAGCACTCCTACACGGCGGCCTTCGCGCACGTCGCCCGCGATGGCCTCATCATCGCGACGTTCGCGTTCCTCGCCTTCGCGTGCCTGCGCCGCGAGAACCTCACGGCCGTCGACTGGGTCGGCTGGAACTGCTACGCGTTCTTCCAGGGCGCGGCGCTGACGGGCTGGTGGGTCCTCGCGCACGAGTGCGGCCACGGGGGCTTCTCGGCGTCGCAGCTCGTCAACGACTGCGTGGGCATGGTGCTCCACAGCGCCCTGCTCGTGCCCTACTTCGCCTGGCAGTACAGCCACGCGAAGCACCACAGCAAGACGAACCACCTCATGGACGGCGAGACGCACAACCCCAACTCCAAGGACGACGTCGAGGAGGCGGGCTACGTGACCCTGGCCCACGCCGTGGGCGAGGAGGGCTTCGTCGTCTTCCAGCTCTTCGCGCACCTCGTCGTCGGCTGGCCCGTGTACCTCATCATGAACGCGTCGGGCGCGCGGCGCCTCTACAACGGCAAGCCCATCGAGGGCCGCCTCCTGGACCACTACCGCCCGACGTCGGCCCTCTTCCCGCCGTCCTGGCGCAAGCGCATCTTCATCGGCACCTGCGGCATCGCCGTCGCGCTCGGCGCCATCGCCTACTCCGTCGCGGCCTTCGGCGCGCTGCCCGTCTGGCTCTTCTACGGCGGCCCCTACATGTGGGTCAACTTCTGGCTCGTCCTCTACACCTGGCTCCAGCACACGTCGCCCGACGTGCCCCACTACGGCGACGACGAGTGGACCTGGGTCCGCGGCGCGCTCTGCACGATCGACCGCCCCTACGCCGAGTGCCTCGGCTTCTTCGACTGGGTCCACCACCACATCGGCTCGACCCACGTCTGCCACCACCTCTTCTCCAACCTCCCCTGCTACCACGCCGTCGAGGCCACGCAGCACCTCAAGGCCTACCTCAAGCCCCTCAACCTCTACAACTACGACCACGACAGCCTGTGGGTCTCCATGATCAAGGCCGCGCGCACCTGCCACTACATCGAGGAGCCCGCCGGCGTCCAGTACCCCAAGCCCATCACCAACCTCTTCAACAAGGACGGCAAGGCCGCGCCCAAGGCCGCGAAGGCGGACTGAGCGCGCCGCGCCGGACATCGGCCCCCGGGCCCCCGCGCCGCGAAGATACCCCTCCTCTAAGGCGCGCTTGCAACTGAGAGTTCGTGTCGGCGAGGCGGCGCGCTCTGCGGTATCAGGCGCGGTGCCAACGGAGAGTGTTCTTAGCGCACAGTGTAGCGCTCGCGACTCGGAGACTCGGAGGGGTGCGACTCGAACCACGGCAGGTGGCGGCGCGTCATCGGCCGAGGAGGTCGCCGAGGCGGAGGCGCGGCACGTCCGCGGCGAGCTTGTACGTGAAGCCGTCGCCGGACTCGTCCGCGTCGCCCTCGCGGAACGTCGCGGACAGCTGCGCGCGCGGCGCGGCCGACGCGTTCGCGGACCCGTGGTGGAACGTGCGGCAGTCCATGAGAAAGACGTCGCCCGCGGCCGCCGTCAGCGCCACGGGCGCGACGTCCGCGAAGGGCGCCGGCGCGGCGGCGGCCGGCGGCGCGGCGTCCGCGACGACCTCCTCGCCGTCGGGCCCGTAGATCGTCGGCCGGGGGCCCGCGGCCCGGAGCGCCGCCTACGGAGAACCGGCGGTCCCGCGCGTTTTGACCAGCGGACGCCGGAGCGCGACCCAGTCGTAGTCCCTCGCCGTCGCGTCGGGCGCGAGCGGGTAGTAGACCGTCGGGCCCTCCTCGAGATCAAAAGGCAAATTGACTTCAACATGATCCGCCCAAAATTACAGCGCCAGCGGCGGGCACGCGCTCGCCGTCTTCCCGAGGAACTTGTCGAAGAGCGGACCGAGGTCCGCCGCCTGGAGGAGCCCGAGGTTCGCCTCGATGACGGGCCGCGGCCAGTCCCACCAGCGGAGCTCGAGGAGCTTCGCGATCGTGTCCTCGTCGAAGCGGTAGCGCGCGACGCGCGCCGGGCTGCCGACGACGACGGCGTAGGGCGGCACGTCCCTGGCGACGACGGCGCGCGCGCCGACGACGGCGCCGTCGCCGATGGTCACGCCGGAGAGGATCGTGACGCCCGTGCCGATCCAGACGTCGTTGCCGACGACGACGTCGCCCTTGGTCCGGACGTTGCTCTCCAGCGACGGGAAGAGCTGCGGCAGCGGGTAGGTCGTCGCGTAGGACATCTCGTGGTCCAGGCAGAGGAGCACCTCGAGGCCCCGGGAGAGGGAGCTGAACTTGCCGATCGCCATCGACGCGTCCGCGCAGCGCGGGTCGCGGAACGCGCCCCGCAGCCACGCGTCGTCGTCGAGGTCGACGACGTAGGTCCCCGTGCCGATGGAGAGCGCGCTCCGCCCGCGGACGAGCGCGCGGATTTCGCCGCGGTTGTAGTGGAAGCCGAGGCCGTCCCAGTGTCTTCGCCGCAGCGTCGCGTTCGCGGCGACGATCGCGTCGATGGCGCGGGAGAGCTCGGCGACGATCCGCTCGACGTTGCACGCGGCCATGGCCGCGTGCCACGTCGCGCCCGGCCGCGGATCGTTGTCGAGTCCGAGCGTTGCGACGGCTTTGAGCGCGCGCTCCGTGAGGTTGCTATGGATGTAGAACTCGAGGTTCACGAGATCGCCGTTGACCTCGATCTCGAGCATCTGCAGCGGTTCGCCCTCCAGCGACGCCGCTGGATCGCCATTGACCTCGATCTCGAGCATCTGCAGCGGTTCGCCCTCCAGCGACGCCGCCGCCAGCGCGACGAGCAGCCATGGCCTCATCATCTCGTGATCATCGGGCAAGAATCCGGCAGCCCATATTATCGGTGTCAGCTGGTTGAACCGCTTCTTGAAACTTTTTATTGAACCCAAGATGAAGCGGCGACACCCTCGAGCGTGGCACCCGCCAGCGCGCTTAGAGGGCCGCGAGGAACGACGCGTTCGGGCAGGTGCCCATGTTGCAGAGGTCGACCTCGCCGGAGCCGATGGGCCGGCTCGGCACGTAGTCGCCCTGCCGGAGGCCGTTGATGGACAGGGCGACGCCGTTGGGCGCGGACACGTAGAGCGCGTAGCCCGAGCCCCACTCGAGGTCCTCGGCCTCGTCGAGGCGGCGCCCGTGGCCCTCCTTGTTGACGTGGTACTTGAGGCCGAGGCGCTCCGCGAGCTCCGCGAGCGAGCCGAGCGTGTGCGTCGAGTTGCGCACGGCGAGGCCCGCGTGGTGGTCCATCCACTGGTCGAAGCCGCAGACGTCGTCCCTGAGCGCCGCGGCGTGCGTGTCGAGCATGACCGTTTCCCAGGCCGCCACGGTCAGGGGCCCCGTCGTGTTCGCCGCGGGCCGCTCGACGAGCTGGAACTGCATGATCGCGTTTTCCGAGAGCTTCGCGAAGTCGTACGTGTCGACGGCGACGCCGGCGCCCGCGTCCCGGTCCAGCACGCGGGCCAGGCCGCCGTCCACGAAAAAGGCCCGGTCGCGCGTGAGGTTCGACGTCGGCCAGGAGACGCGCGCGGCGTGGAGGAGCGGCTTCGCCGCGTCCTTATCCGTGAGGGCTCCAAAGACCGAGGCGACGGTCGCGCCGTCGCGGAAGACGTAGCGCGCGTGCGGGTGGGGCAGCGCCGCGTCGCAGGCCGTGGCGCAGGTCTCGGACATGAGCTCGATCAAAATGGACGACGACGCCGCGCGGACGATGACGCTGTAGTAGGTCTGCCACTTGAGCACGACGTACCGTTGCCCGACGGCGTCGAAGGTCGCGCAGAGACGGTCCAGGCTCGCGACCCAGAAGCCCGTCGTGAAGTCCAGGAACGCGTCGTAGGCGCCCGTCGCCCTCACGGCGTCCAACTTGACCGTGAGCGCGTCCTCGACCTGCTCGTTCGACATGGCGCCGTACGGCCGCGCGGACGACGCGTTCACGTGGACCGCGTGGAGGCCGAAGCCGTTGGTGTAGGACGTCGGCGCCGTGACCCACTCGGCGCCGGCGCAGGCCCCGGAGCAGAGGGCGGCGCAGTCCTGGGGCGTCGCCGCGGTCGCCGCGGAAAGCTCTTTCCCGATGAGCGACGAGCCGATCGAGTACTCGCCCGTCGCCTTGACGAAGGCGACGGAGCCCACGGCGTAGCTCGTCGCCTCGGCGAGGGCGGCGCCTTGCGCGTGCAGGTGGCAGGTGCCGTTGGGGACCGGCGCCACGGCGACGCGCGTGCGGCCCAGCTGGCCGCAGCTCTCGGCCTTGCTTGGGTAGTCGGTCTGCACCGGCAGCATGGTCATGAGAAACTGGCTCGCCGCGTGCGCCTGCGACACGGAGTAGGTGTGCTTGCCGAGGCCATTGCCATACTGCTGAGCGCGCGCCACTGCAGCGAGGAGCACGTAGGCAAGCATCGTCGCGGTCGGGCAGCTCCGAGCGCTGGGCAGCAGCCAATCATCGACGTGATCCAAATCCTCCTTGTTTCTTGCCTCAACTTTGAGCCAAGCTGAGTTGTTGACTCAATGTTGAAGGACACTTTTGTGTCGATCGGCGCCGCGCCGCGACACGCGACCGACCCCATGAGCGACGACACGCCGGAAGACGACGTCTCGATGAGCGACGACAAGCCGGAAGACGCCGCCGCGCCGGAAACCAGCGCCGCGCCGGAAACCGCCGCCGCGCCGGAAACCGCCGCCGCGCCGCCGCCGACGCCGTCCGTGCCCGTCTGGCCCATCGTGAACCTGGATCCCAACGTCGTCGTGCCGCCGCCGACGGATCGCCCCGCGCAGCCCTGGGAGGCGCCCGAGTTCCAGCGCGAGTGCGCGGCGAAGCGCCAGGGCGTGCTCGCCATGTACTACGGCCGGGACCCCGGCGTCGGCGGCATGTTCGGCACGGACGAGGAGATGTGGCGGCAGCGCTTCGACCCCGTCGGCGAGGCGCGGCTCAAGACGCTCCGCGTGCTCGCGCAGAACGGCCACGGGCCGGAGGACCCCATGGTGCGGGAGACGGTGCACTTCTTCTGCGTCGAGAAGCAGAAGGAGCTCGAGCGGGACCCCGTGTTCCAGAAGAGCCGCATGCTCGCCTGGCTCGGCGACGGCACCGTCGAGAAGATGTCCGTCAAGGAGCTCCAGAACACGTGCAAGAAGTACGGCCTCGGCAAGTCGGGCTCCAAGGCCCAGATGGCGGACCGGCTCCGCGAGTGGGCCGAGGCCCCGCCGGAGGAGGCGGCGGAGGAGGAGTAAGGCGTTACTTCCCCCGGGACGTCCAGCGGCGCTTCGACGCGGGGCTCGCGAAATCCGCGGGGATCGCGGCCGGCGGCGCGCGCCGCAGCGCCCGGCGGCACGTCGCGAGCGCGTCGACGTCGACCTTGAGCGCCGCCGCGAGGCGGTTGCACCACTCCGCCGCGCCCTCCTCGTCGAGCGCGTTGCGGAAGTTCGCGAAGAGCTGCGACTTGACGAAGCAGCGCGCCCACGGCGGCACGTTGACCTCGTCGTCCTCGGGGCTCAGGAACGTGTCCTCGGGCGCGTTGTGCACGAGGCCCAGCGCCCGCAGGTTCGCCTCCTTGCGGTCGCCGTCCGCGAGCTCCAGGGACGCGGCCGCGAGCACGGCTACGTGGCGCGCGACCGTCGACGCGATGGTCCGGAGCGCGTCGCGCACGGCGACGTGCGTGCCCGGCCGGAGCACGGCGCCGCCCGTCGTCCGCGGCGTCGGCGGGCCCGCCGCGGCGCCGCCGCGGCGCCCCGCGGACGAGCCGCGGCGCGCGGGCGACGGCGGCGGCAGCACGCCGGCGACGCCGCCGGGCGCCGGCGCGCCGGTGCCATTTGGCGCCGCCGCGGGCTGGCGGGACCGGCCCCGGCGCCGGCCCTTGCGGAGCACGTGGCGCTTGATCGTGTCCGCGTGGGCCTGGAGCCGGTTCATCAACTTGTCCGCCGCGGGCAGCGTCGTCACCGCCGGGTCCGCGCCCCCGAACAAGCGGAGCTCGTCGTCGTCGCAGCGCGCGAGGAGGCTCGGGATCGACGTCGGCCGCCGGAGCCGGTCCATGAGCGGTGGCCCGCCGTACGTCACGCCCACGAGCACGGGCACGGGGCTGTCCAAGTAGTCCGCGAAGCGCTGGGGCAGCACGACGATCAACGGGCCCGCGGGGTGGAGGGGCCGCGCGAGCGTCAGGAGCGCGAGCACGCAGGCCGAGCAGTCCGACTCGTCGGCGCATTCGACGACGACCGTGAGCTCCGCGAGTAAGGCCGCGACGGCGCGGAGCACGTGGCTCAGCCGGAGCCGGCTCAACAGCACGGGCAGGGCCCACTCTAGAATCGCCGCGCCGTCGCCGTCCCAGACGCTCTGCCCCGCCTCGACGTCGCCGCGGCTCCGGCAGTAGACGACGTCGGGCCGCTTGAGCCCGTCGCGGCGCCCCCGCTCGCGCCGGCTCAGCTCCGGCGGCGCCGGCGGCGCGCGGTCCTCGACGGCGTGCTCGTCCGCGCGGGGCCGCTTCGACGGCGTCGCCGGCACCAGCCCCGGCACCAGCGCCTGCTCGTCGATGGCGACGGGCGGCGCCCAGCGCGCGCGGACGCCCGGCGGCGGCACGGGCACGCGCGCGAACGCGCACGCGAAGCGCGCGACCGCGGCGTTCGCGGCGTCGACGCAGGCCGCGGGCGACGCCTTGGCCCGCGACGCCGCCGCCAGCGCCGCGGCGACGTCCTGCGCGAGGAGCGCGCCCGCCGCGAGATGCAGCGCGAGGAGGCTCGCGCGCCGCGTGCAGAGCACGACCCGCAAGTCGGACCGCATGACGACGGCCGTCTGCTTCTTGGACCGGTGCGCGTCGCGCCGCTGCAACCCGCTCAACACGACGGCGTACAACGGCTCGCCGCCGCCCCCAAAGGCCATGACGGAGGTCGACACCGTCGCGTGGCCGCCGCTCTCCGTCGCGGCCTCGGCGGCCTCGGCCTTGAGCGAGAGCGAGTCGCCGCGGCAGGTGATGCCGTCGGGCGCGCAGAAGCAGCAGACCGTCTCCGCGAGCTCCAGCGGCAGGCTCTTGGCCGGGTACGCGTGGACGACCTGCGCGTCGACGGTCGCGACGTACGCCTTGCGGTGGCCCGCGTCGCGCGCGGCGACGGCGGCGACGGCCGTCGCCACCGTGCGCACGGACGCGCCGACGACGAGGACGTGCTCGAAGAGGCGCGAGTCCGACGTGTCCCGGAGCGCCGCGGGCGGCACCGTCTCCGCCGCGGAGACGCGCGCCGCGGCGTCGTCGAAGGCCGCGATCGCGTCCTCGTCGCGCCGCGCCGCGTGCTCCCGGTCCAGGTCGTCGAGGGGCGACGCGATGAGCAGCCCCGCGTTCGGCGCCATGTCCGACGCGGCGTCGTCCGTGGCGTCCGTGTCCGCGGACAGCGACTCCGACGGCGGCGCGCGCGAGACGAGGCCCGGCAGCGGCGTGCCGTACGCGAACTCGAGCTTGCGCTCGCGCGGGTGCGCCCGGTGCCAGGAGCGCCACTCCGTCGCCCGCGCCTCGTCGCTGGAGAAGGACTGGGGGCCGGCCAGGCCCGGCAGGCGCAGCGCGCCGCCTACTCGGCCCCGCGGCGCCGGGTCCGCCCCGACCGACTCGAGCCGCGCCTCCGCGGCCTTGACGACGGAGCGGACGACGCCGGCCTTGAGGGCGCGCCACTCGGCGTCGGCGACCTCGGGCGACTTGGGCGCCTCGGAGACGATCTCCGGCGGCGGCGGCCAGTAGGGCGAGCTCTCGGACGTGAGCGGCGGGAAGTCGTCGCCGGGCTCGCCGGGGTCGAGCACCTCGCTCGCGAAGTCGAAGACCGCCGCGGCGACGGCGGCGTCCTCGTCGCTCCGCGGCGTCGCCGCCTGCTCCACGGACGCGGCGAAGAACGCGGCCCACTCGCGCTCCGCGGCCGCGGCCGCCGCGCGGTCCTCCTCCGCGGACCGCTCCTCGGCGGGCGGGTTTTCCGGTGGCGGCGACGGGGCGGGGTCCGCCGTCGGCGACGGGGCGGGGTCCGCCGTCGGCGGCGACGGCGCCGCGTCCGCCGACGGCTCCGGCGGCCGCGGCGGCGTCGCGGGCGCCTCGAGAGCCGCGACCGTCTCCGGCTGCTCGACCTCCGCGCTGAGGCCGTCGTCGCCCGTGTCGAGCGCCTCGGGCGCCTCGATCTCGTCGACGAGCGACGCCGCGCTCGCGCTCCGCCTGGGCGCCGGCGGCGCGCCGGACTTGGCCGCGGCGAGCGCGCGGTGCGCGGCGCGCGCGGCGTCGAGCGGCCCGCCGACGACGGCCGGCGGGCCGCCGTCGTCGTCGTCGTCGGACGCCGACGACGACGACGTCTCGAGGAGCGGGTGGCGCGCGAGGGGCGCCGCGGCCTCGGCGCGGCTCGCCTCGAGGAACGCGGTCCACGATCGCTCCGCGTCCGCGGCGGCGGCCGGCGGCGGCGACAGCGACGGGAGCCGACGTCGAGGATGCGCGGCGCGTTCTCGACGTCGACGTCGACGAGGAGCGGCGCGTCGCCGACGGCCGGCACGGCGCCGGCGCGCCGCGGCGGCGACGGCGGCGAGCTCAGCGACTTGCGGCCCGGCGCCGGCGGCCGCCAGGGCGCGGCCTCGCGCGCGGCGCTCAGCGTGCGCGGCGGCGGCCGCACGAAGCGCAGCGCGACGGGCCGCGGCGCCTCGCGGAGCGCTCCGACCAAGCGCTCGAACGCCGCGACGTCCATCGTCGCGGACTCGCAGAGCTCGCGCACGCTCGTCGCGCCGACGGCCACGAGCTCGTCGCCGGCGCGGAGCCGCGCGCCGTGGGCGCAGCCGGGCTTCACGGTCTTGACGACGACGCTCGGGTGGCCCGTGGTCTCCGCCGGCGCGATGGTGAGGCCCAGCGGGCCCGCGGGAAAGGTGAGGGTGAAGGACATGGTTTGGACGTCGCAGCCGTGGCGTGCGACGCGTGCGTTCGTTGCGCGGCGCGCGCGGCGTCACGCTATGGGCTCACGAATCTCATGAGACTGCCCCCATGCGCTGAGGCCGCGGCGTCCGCGGCGCGACTGAGGCAATTTTTATATTTTTTCGCCTAAAACTTCAGCTTCGGTGACGTGGACGTCAAGGACTACGTCAACGAGCTCTCGTTCGAGTTCGCTTCTTGCCTTGGAATTGCCTCCGCCTACACGCCTACCTTGGGCTTACTTTTTACTCGCGGGGGGCGACCTGGCTCAGGCTCATCGACAGGAGCGCCTCGAGCTCGTTCTGGCCCATGGAATTGAGCTCCTGGCGGTGCTGCGGCGTGAGGATCGCGAGCGGGTCGCTCATGAAGACGGCCACGGGGTTGATGCGGTTCATGTACGCCGCGGGCGCGCAGGTCCGGAAGGCGTGGTCGACGTCAGAATCCGCGACGCTGCTCAAGCTCGCGAGCATCGTCGCGATCTTGCGCGCGACCGTGAGCGACACCGCCGGAAAGCGGCCCGAGTCGTGCTTGTAGCGCCGCGCGGCCGCCTCGTTGACGACCTCGACCGTGAAGCGCGGGACCTTGGCCCCGATGGCGCCAAAGACCGCGCGGGGCGTCAGGTTCGGGTGGTCCGCGTGCTTCGCCGCGAACGCCGTCGCGTCGCGGAAGGAGAGCAGCGCCGCCACCTCGCCCGAGTCGTGCTTGTAGCGCCGGTCGCCCGTGCTCTCGTCGAAGACCTCGACCGTGAAGCCCGGGACCCGGGCCACGATGGCGTCGAAGACCGCGCGGGGCGTCAGGTTCGGGTGGTCCGCGTGCTTCGCCGCGAACGCCGTCGCGTCGCGGAAGGAGAGCAGCGCCACCTCGCCCGAGTCGTGCTTGTAGCGCCGCGCGCCCGTCTCGTTGACGACCTCGACCGTGAAGCGCGGGACCTTGGCCACGATGGCGCCGAAGACCGCGCGGGGCGTCAGGCTCGGGTCGTCCGCGTGCTTCGCCGCGAACGCCGTCGCGTCGCGGAAGGAGAGCAGCGCCGCCACCTCGCCCGAGTCGTGCTTGTAGCGCCGCAGGCCCGTCTCGTTGACGACCTCGACCGTGAAGCTCGGGACCTGGGCCACGATGGCGCCGAAGACCGCGCGGGGCGTCAGGCTCGGGTCGTCCGCGTGCTTGGCCGCGAACGCCGTCGCGTCGCGGAAGGAGAGCAGCGCCACCTCGCCCGAGTCGTGCTTGTAGCGCCGGTAGCCCGCCTCGTTGACGACCTCGACCGTGAAGCTCGGGACCTTGAAGGAGAAGCCCCCCCGAGCCCAGACGACGAGTTGCGACGGAGGTCGCGCGGCGTCGTCGTCGCCGCCGCCGTCGACGGCCACCGCCTCCAGGGGTTCCACCGCGGCGTCCTGGTCGTCGTCGTCGCCGCAGAAGCCGTCGTCGTCGTCGTCATCGTCGTCGTCGCCGCCGTCGTCGTCGTCGTCGTCGTCGGCCGCGGCGTCGTCCAGCTCCTCGCCGCCGTCGGCGAGCGCGGCGCCGGGGCCGAACGCGACGCCCGAGTAGTTGAGCAGCCCGATGGCGCGCGAAAAGGCGCCGACGGCGCCCACGCGCGCGGCCTTGCAGGTCTGGTTCAGCGACAGGTGCGCGCACTGCTCCACGGTGACGGGCTGCTTGTCGCTCGGGAGGAGCTTCTCGATGTGGTTCCACGCCCGCTGGGCGCCGCGGGAGGAGAGCACGACGGCGTAGTCGCCTTTGATCAGGCGCAGCAGAGCGCTGTTGATCTCGGCGCTCGGGTCGCGGAGCGCGGGCGCGGAGGTGATGTCCGTGAGCGCGGACCGCGGGTTGAAGCGGAGCTGCACGAAGCGGCCGTCCTCCTCCTCCTCGAGGACCTTGTGCGAGAACAGGCCCTGGTCCTCGCCCGGGAGCACGCACGCCTCGAAGACCAGCAGGTAGAACGGCATGATCGTGCCGATGGCGCTGATGAGGTCGAGGATGCGGCCGAGCTCCTTCGTCGTCGCCGAGCGCCGGTTGAACGCGTCGTCGGGCTTCTGGCCCCGGAGCGCCACGAGCAGCACGACGACGAGCACCGTGTCGTTGGCCTGGGGGCTCGCGCCCGGGACGAACTCCGACACCTTGATGAGCTCGACGGCGAACCGCGTCCCGGTCGCGGTTACGATGTCGCTGAGGTGCTTGACCGCGTCCTCCAGCGACGGCGTCGGGTTCTGCGCGAGGAGGACCTTGAGACCGGCGGCGTCCCGGGCGACGCGCGCGCGCTCGCCGCGCGGCTTCCGCTGGTAGCGGTCGAGCCCGTCGAGCTCGTTCAACGCGACGCTCGGGGGCGAGTGCACCGCGTGGGCGTACATGTCGTCGACGCTGCTGACCTGGCCCCGGTCCGCGAGGCGCCGCGCGACCTCGGCGACGCCCTGGTCTTTCAGGACGAACCGTCCCTCGTCGTCGCGCCGCAGCTGCCCGTGGTTGTCGACGAAGCCGCCGCTGCCGAACGCTCGCTTGTAGCCGTCGCGGTACCCCGGCATGGCGCGGCGCGCCGCGGCGGCGCGGCGGAGGTGGCCCGGCGGCGGTGAGCGCGGCGGCGGCGCGGAAGTGGCGCGGCGGCGGCTGGCGCCTGCGAATTCGTGGGGTTCGCGGCGGCCGGAAGACGCGCGAGGGGGCGCGCGACGTGGCGCGCCGTCGGCGGCGTGGGGCGGGGCGCGCCCCGGCCCTCGACGGTGGACGCGGGGCGGCGTACGGCGCGGGCGCTGCGCGAACGACGAGCAGTACCCTCGCAGATCGACGAGGCCGATTATCGAATCGATGGCACCGGGCTGCACCATGAAAAACAGTGGCAGTCAAACACGGCCGAATGAGCTTGTCGTTGCCTTCGGCGAGTGCTTGTGGCAGCTCCGCTGGCGTGCGGGCGCAAATCGGCCGCGCTCCGCCAGTGCTGCTGCGTCACAGCGCGCCTCCGGGAGCGCTCGAGGCGCCCGCGGTCGCGACCACCTTACCGCTGCTGAACGTCTTTGGAGGAGGCGATGCCGACGTGCGGCGGAGCCGCGGCGCCAGCGGTCGAGCGCCGCCGCGGGCCGCGGCGGAAACGCTCGCGCGCCGCCGCGGCGCCGAGCGCCGCTCCGAGCGCGTCGCCCACGGCGACGAGCGCCGGCACGACGAGCTCGGCGCCGCGGGGCCCGCCGCCGAGGGCCGCCGCGCGGAGCCGCGGCGCCGGGCGGTCGACGCCTCGGCGCGGGCCGCGACGCAATCTGCCGCGCGCCGCGGCCGCCGCGCGGCGGAAACGCTCGCGCGCCGCCGCCGCGGGCCGCGGCGGAAACGCTCGCGCGCCGCCACGGCGCCGTGGTCGATCGTGGCCGAGCGCAGCCGAGCGCGGAGCTCTTTGGCCGAGATGTCCGAGATCTCCTGCGAGAGCCTCGAGGCCCGCGCGGATGTGGGCGCGGCGGCCGCCGGCTCCGGGGCCCGGTATGCACGGGCCCGCCGAGGACGCCGGCCGCCGCACCGCGGCGTGCTCCGGGACCTGCGGCGCGACCTCCGCCGCGAGGCGCTCGCCGCAGCCGACGCGCTCCGCGAGGTGCGCGCGCGCGAGCTCGAGGAGGGCTTCGCCGAGGCGACGGAGGTGCGCCAGCGCGAGGTCTCCGAGCTCGAGGCGCGCGTCGGCGACGACGTCGAGGCCGCGCGTTCGACGCGCGGCTCGCGGACGAGCTCCGCGCGCGCGACGACGGCCGTTGCTCCTCGCGCCGCCAGCGGCGCGGGCGCCCGGTCCGGTGCTGGACGACGCCGAGGCGGCGGACGCGGCGCCGCCGCCGGAGCCGCGGACGCCGCCGCCGCCCGCGGCCGCGCCATGCTCACGGCGTCCTAGGGCGACGGCGACGCGCGAAAGCTCCGCGCGTTGCGCCTCGCGCTTATGCCCTAAGTACGCGTGCCACGACGCGGGGCTTATGTGGCCGGGCGCGCGCGGCGCGTCGGCCGCGGAGCGCGTGCACCCCCGCGTCGGCCGGCCGCGGACGCGCGGCGTCGCAGATCCGCGGCCACGGGCTCGCGGACGCGCGAAGGGCGCCTGGGCCGAGGGCCGTGGCGGCCCGGGCAGGAGCCACGGCGGCGCGGCGACGGGCACGCGTCGGCGGCGCCCCAGGCCGGAGCGCGTTCTCGCCGCCGTCGGCCGCGACGAACGCGCGCGCGGCCCGGGCCGTCGCGCTCGAGGCCGTCGTCGGGGGCGCCCAGGACGTCGCCGTGGGCCGCGGCGACGGCGAGCTCTCGAGCGCGCCGGCCGTCGCCGCGCGGCGGGCCGGCGCCGCCGCGGCCGGAGCGCGTGCTCGCCGCCGTCGGCCGCGACGAACGCGCGCGCGGCCCGGGCCATCGCGCTCGAGGCCGTCGTCGGGGGCGCCCAGGACGTCGCCGTGGGCCGCGGCGACGGCGAGCTCTCGAGCGCGCCGGCCGTCGCCGCGCGGCGGGCCGGCGCCGCCGCGACCGGAGCGCGTTTCGGAGCGCGTGCATAGCCCGACCCGCGCGACGTCTGGCGCGAGTCGCTCGAGCCTCGCGCGCATCATCATCCCGCCCAGCCGCCGTCCCGCGCCGTCGCCGGTCTGGCGGCCAGGCCGCTCGCGAGCGCCGCGCGTCTCGCCACGCGGGCCGCGGCGCGGTGGAGCGTCTGATGCGTCGCGCGCCGCAGCCGCCGCCGCCGTAGAGGAGGTGCGCGTCGCCACAGAGCCAGCCGCAGTCGTCAGAGGACACCGCGGCGCTGGTCGACAGGGCGAGCGACAAGGTCGCCCGGGCCTCTGGCGGCGGAAACGGCAGCCCAGGCGCCGCGCCGAACGCTGGCTCGCGTCGAGCCGCTGAGGCTGCCCATCGGCCACCGGAGAGCCACCACTGGTTCAAGAATGGTGTCAAGCAAAGCGGGACACATTCCGGAATATTGATGTTTCCGACGTATATCTCAGCTTAGAAGCTGATAAAGGCACTGGGCGAGCATGAAGCGCGCCCACGGCGCCGGTGTCCGCGCCGGCGCCGGCGCGGCCACCGCGCCGCGGCGGCAGCGCCGCAAGCAGCTCGACGCGGCCGCGCACGTCCCCGTCTCGCTCGCGCCGGCCGCGAGGGCCGCCGCGCGGAGCCGCGGCGCCGTGCGCCGTTCCGAGCGCGCCGCCCGCGGCGACGGGCGCCGGCACGGCCTCGCGGGCGCGGCGGGGCCCGCCGCCGAGGGCCGCCGCGCGCCGCGCGTCCGCGGCGGAGGCATAGGTAACAGGCTAGTTTATTCGATTACTAGGCCTCGCTTCCTGGCGGACCTCTCCCGGGCCTTCTCCTCCTTCTCCCGCTCGTACTCCTCGGCGAGCTTCATCTGCTTCGCCATGTCTGTCTCCCGCGGCCGAACCCACCACCGTGACTCGGGAAGCAGCGGCTCCAGAGCCTGAGCCCGAAGCCGAACCTGAGCCTCGGCCCCAACCAGAACCCGAATCCGAACCCGAACCCGAAGCTGAGCCTGAGCCTGAGCCGGAGCCGGCTCGGGCTCGGGCTCCGGCTCCGGCTCGGGCTCGGGCTCCGGCTCCGGCTCCGCGAGGGCGCGCAGGACCGCCGCGGCCTTCTCGTGGCCCTCGCGCGCCGCGTAGTCCGCCGGCGCCAAGCCGTGCCAGTCCGCGGGCGTCATCGTGCCGATCGCGCGCCGGACGGCGCCGTCCGTGCCCTCGTGGCCCCGGTTGTAGAAGTCCAGCAGCTCCAGCAGCACGCGCATGAGGACGCGCTTGAACAGGAACCAGTCGCCTCTTCTGCCTACGACTGCAACACACAATTTCTCGGTCAAAATTACGCGCGCTTCGTCGGTGACGAGGCGCACCCGCGCCGCGATATCGCGCCCGTCGTCGTCGCGCATGGAAGCCTGCAAACGCTTCCATGCCAACTTCGGCTCAGGAGACAACAAGTTTCTCATGTTATCCCAGAGTTGGTCCATCATGTTTTCAGTCGGGGCATTCAATAATCAATGTATCATTTCCTTGCCGCTCAGCTTCGTGCACGCAGCATGGGCTGCCGACGCTCAGCCCCGTCCTGTCCTTCAACTGCACGACCTACGACACGCGCGTCCAGGTGCTCCAGGTCGACGACGACAGCGACATGTACGGCGTCGCCAGCCTCGAGGTGACCACGGGCGAGTACGACATCCTCTGGGACGTCGACTGGTTCGACGGCCACGTCAACGCCGTGGGCCTCTACGCGCCCGAGGGCGAGGGCACCTACGCCTGGGGCTCCTTCGGCGGCTGCCTCTGCAAGCTCTACCGCGTCCGCGCGCAGCGCCTCGACGCGCCCCTGGAGGAGGAGAAGCCGAACGTCGACGCGGTCCTGGGCGGCGGCGACGACTACTCCAAGGACGTCGGCCGCGACGAGCGGTGCTTCTACTGGGTGGAGAGCATCCTCGACGACGAGCCCGTGTCCCGCTCGGGCGTCGAGTTCCTCGTCTCCGAGGACCTGTACGAGGAGGCCGTGCTCGACGTCGCGACGGTCACCGAGACCGGCGGCCAGGTCTGGATCGACGACGACCTCGTCGACGGCCAGGTCTGGATCGACGACGACCTCGTCGACGGCTCCTACCTCTTCCGCCTCGGCGAGGCCTTCGAGATCTTCGTGGGCAAGATCATCACGGGCTCGGGCTACCCGGAGACCTACGCGGTCCTCGCGACGTCGCGTGGCAGGACGGCGACCAGGAGTTCGGCGCGGCCTTCACGTTCTACGACCCCCAGGGCGACGTCCACGTCCTCTTCTCGTCGAACCAGGGGTCGGGCGTGTACGAGCTCGCGCTGCCGATCGCGATCCCCGACGGCTGCTGGAACACGGGCGTCGACACGTCGTCGCGCGCCGGCTGCTCGGCCGCGGGCGCGCAGCCCATCAACTACATCGACCCGTCGGACGAGACGGACAGCAACGACGGCATGGACTGCCCCTACGACCTCGAGATGTTCGTCCCGTCGGCCGCGCCGACGCGCGGCCCGTCGTTCTCGCCCATCGAGCCCTTCGACCGCGCCGCGCACAGCAACCCGGTCCAGGTGCTCCAGGTCGACGACGAGAGCGACATGTACAGCGTCGCGGAGCTCGACGTGGCCACGGGCGAGTACGAGGTCCACGGGCGAGTACGAGGTCCTCTGGGACATCGACTGGTTCGACGGGCATGTCAACGTCGTGGACCAGGGCAAGTCGTGGGCCTTCACGCACTGCATGTTCGCGCGCCGTCCGAGTCGTCGCCGCGCCGCGGACCACGCGTCGCTCGATCGGCGGACGGAGCACGGCGATCGGCCCGGTGCTCGGCGGCGTCGGCCGGGAGCGGCGACCCCGCGGGCCAGAGGCGCCGCTCGACGGCCGCCGACGCGTCGGGGACGCCGTCCGCGGCGCCGCGGCGGGGCAGACCCGTAAGAAGGTGGAGTCGTGGGAAAGATCTTAAGGCTGGGTGAAGGCGTCGCGGGCGCGGCCGGCGCGGGCGCGGGCGCGGCGGCGCCCGCGGCGCCCGCGGCTCCAGCGGCGGCGCCGCGTCCGCGGTGTCGCGGTCGTCGTCCGGCGCCGGCCCGGGCGTCCACGCCGCCGGCGGGGCGACGGGCGACAGCCGCCCCATGCCCGCGTGCCCCTGGTTGTAGACGGGTAGGAGCTTTTGTCGGCGTAGATCGTCGGCAGCTTCCGCGAGGCCGTCGGAGTAGAGGCTGCGTCGCCGCTCGGCGCGTTGCCGACGTCGGTCTCGTGCGCGGCCGTGATGCCGCCGCCGACGTGGAAGAACTCGGACACGAGCAAGTCGATCTACGCCACGACCTCGTGGGCCTCGACGTCCCGCGCGAGGTGCGCGCTGCGAGCAGGGGCTCCCTCGGCGTGGCACGGGCCGCGAAGTCGCCGTCGCCGCCGATGCTGAACGCGCAGGCCGACTCGCCGGAGTCGAACCAGCCTGAGCCGCCGATGTCCTCGGCCGTGGGCGGCGAGGTATTCTCGATGCGGCCGCGCGCCCGTCGCGTGAGCGTCCGCGCGTCGTTGGCCGCGCGCGTGTCGTCGACGTCGTAGGTCGCCGCCACCGTGGTCTCGACGATGGAGATGACGTGCGGGAGGGCGCTCGAGGACACCTCGACGCGCAACGTCTGGCCGATCTCGAAGAGGGTCTCGACGATCGGCCCGACGTCCGGCTTCTCCGACGCCGTCGCGAAGCACTCCGCGCTGTCGACATCGAAGTAGCAGAGGTGTGCGTGGACCCGGAAGAGCGCGTAGAAGGTCCCGTCGCGGGCGCCGGGCGTGTAGAGGAGCACGACGACGATGGCGTGGTGGTCCCCGTACGCGACCGTGTAGGCCCTGGAATAGACGTCCGCGACGACGTCGAGCTGGCGCAGGCTGTGCTCGTCCACGCCGTCGTAGCGCGTGTCCTGCCTGCGTCGGGTTCTCGTAGAGCTCGCAGCTGACGTCGGAGAGCGTCGCGCCAGGCGCGACGAGCGGCGACTCGAGGTCGAACATGACGGCGCTTTGGTTCGACGCGAAGCTGGGTGGCTCGCGCCCGTCGCTGCCCACGCGGCGAGCGTGCGCGCCGGGAGCTCGTGCGAGCGCGAGCGCCTGGAGCTGGCGCGAGCCACGGAAGCTCGGCCGCCGCATGAGCCGATCGACTGCGTGTGTGCGGCTGCCCGCCGCATCGGGCTAGCAGCACCAGTGACGCGTAGGTTGGCGGCATGGTGCACTCACTGTCCGCCCGAGCGCGACCGAGATCTGCGCTCGAGCTGCGAGTCATGTCCATGTCTCTTCAGATCGTCGACTTCGTTCGCGCCGCGTCCCCAAACGAGCGACAGCAAGCCTCTCGTTTGGCCATGGCGTGCCTGACGCACGTGCGCCGCAAGGGCGTCCGCAGCATTCTCCAGGACGTTTGGGCGCACCCGAACGACGTGGAGCTCAGCAACGCCATGGAGGCCGCGCTCTGGTGCACGGTCATCCGTTTGCCCGCCCTCCTCCTCTGTAACCCGCAAGCGGCGGTCGGGCCGCTCTTCTTCGCCATGTTCCGCGACGACTACTCCGCGCGGCGCTTCCAGATCTTCAAGGACCGCATCGAGCGCGAGGCGCTGCTCCGCGCCCTCGACATCGACCGCTCGGCGCCGCGCCGCGCCCTCGACATCGAGCGCTCGGCGCCGCGCCGCGCCCTCGACATCGAGCGCTCGGCGCCGCGCCGCGTCGTCGAGGTCTCGCGCTCGCCGCTGTACCGCGCCCTGCGCCGCATCGAGGACGCGGCGCCGCAGGAGAAGCACCTCGTCGAGTTGACCCAGGAGGAGCGCTACATGCTCCACGCGCACATCGATACCCTGACCACGGGAGAGGAGCTCAAGGCCTGCTGCGTCGCGTTCGGCTTGCCGCCCGACGGCGGCCCATTCCGCTTTGGGTTACCCGCCGCGCGACTCAAGGACTTTGTCGACGGCCGGCCTGCGAAGAAGCGCCGCCTCACCTAAAACCCCATTTGAAACACTCCGCGCGAGCTCAGGACTAGGTTAAAAAAAAGTTTATGTACGGGACGTCTTCGGCCCGGCCGAAGCCGCCTAAGAGAGCTCTCCTCGCCGCGGACTTGAGCGCGAGCGCCGCGCCACGGGGGACGACCTATAGGACGGCCGCTGTGCGCGGCGATCGCCGGGCCGCGGGGCCGCTCCTCGCGTAGCTCGCGGAGGCCGACTCCGACGCCGAGGAGGACGCCGAGCTGTGAATTTTGAATTTTGAAGTTTAATTGAAATTGCAGAGGATGGTCGGCGTTCACCGCCGTCGCGGCGCTTCCATTCCGGACGGAGCTTTCGTTCTCTGGCCCCCGCAGAAGGAGCGCAGCGCCTTCGTGTCACGGTCATGGAGTAACCCTGCGCGAGCGCGCATGGCCGGCCACATGGAGGTCACCTTCGAGCAAAAAGCGCTGGGCATGGTCATCGGCTGCCGCGAGCGGGATAAGCGCGCCGTCGTGGTCACGATACGGAAGGGCGGCGCCGCCGAGTCGCTCGGCGTGCTGCCCGGCATGCTCATCGCCAGCGTCGACGGGTCGGCGATGACGTCCTTCGACGAGGCGCGCGCCCCGCGTCCGGTCTCGAGCGGCCCGGGGCCGCCGCGCGCGCGTTTCGCTTCTGGATCTCGATGGTCGCGCCGCAGGTCATCGGCCGCGTGCCCCGCATGCAGCGCCCCCTGCGCGTCGCCTTCGAGGTCCCGTCGCCGCCGGCGTCGCCGGCGTCGAGCCCGGCGTCGGCGAGCGGGCGCGAGAGCCCCGCGTCGTCCGCGTCGAGCCGGTCGTCGAGCGGGTCGAGCCGCGGGTCGCCGCCGCCCGCGTCGCCGTCGGCGGACGCGCCCGCGGCGCTGCCGCGCATCCCCGCGCCGCCGCCCAAGTTCAAGCCGCCGCCGCCGCCGCGGCGCGTCGTCGAGGTCTCGCGCGTCGCCGCCGCGGCGGCGCCGGCGGCGCCGGCGACGGCGGGCGGCGCCGTCGCGGGCCGCTGGGAGGCGATCCAGCGCGAGCACGAGGCCCACGCGCGGCGGGCCCTCGACGCCGTGCGCGACGGCGTCGTGCGGGACATGGCGACCATGGAGCTCGAGGACCGCGAGGTCGTCCGGGGCAAGATCCGCTTCTTCTCGCAGCTCTTCGCGTCGGCCGTGTCCGCGGGCGCGTCCGAGGCGCGGCTCCTCACGGAGGTCGACGCGCCGTCGGCGCGGCGCACGCGCGACACGCTGCGCCACCGGCGGCGCTGCGCCGCGGACGAGGATCTCCGGGCCCGGCGCGCGCCGCGGCCGACGTTCGAGAACGTCGCGGCAAATCCGAACGAGCTCGTCATCATGCTCCAGTCGCCCGCGCTGAGCGACGGCGGCCTGCCGGCGAGCCCGACGCGGCGGCCCGCGGCGGGCCGCGCGGCCGACCGCTTGGTCTACGCGTTGGTCGACGTGTCGCGCGTCGACGACCCCGCGGAGGCCGCGGCCGTCGCGACGTGGCGACGGTACGAGGGGCCGCTCCGCGTGACGGAGCCGGGGAAGTACGCGGTGCTCACGAAGCTCATCCCCGGGGCGCCGCCCATGGCCCAGGCCGACGCCGACGCGTTGCGCGAGGACGCGCTCGCGGGCGGCCGCCACTCCGACGACCTCGGCAATCTCCTCTACGAGACGTGCGCGGCGGAGTCGTGCGTCGCCACCGCGGTCTTTGAACTCGGCGAGTCGCCGCCGTTGCTCCAGTACGAGGAGTGCCCCCAGGAGCTGGCCTTCGTGGCGCGGCGGGACGCGGCGGGCCTGGCGTGCCGCAAGTGCGGCGGCGAGGCGACGGGCGACCGAAGGCTCTACGCGAAGGCCGGCTTCGTCATCTGCCGCGCGTGCGCGCTGCGGGGCGCGGGCGTCATGGTCGACCCGGGCGCGCGGCGCATGTGGTTCTCCCAGATGATCTCCTTCGTCGGCAACCGCGCCATCCCGCTCCCGAAGTCGCAGCCCCTGCTCACGCAGATCCTACGGGTGCTGCAGGCGCACCCGGGCATGTGCGTCCGCTTCGAGGGCCACGTCAACTCCAAGTGCGGCCTCGACTGCGACGGCTCCAAGCCCTGCGCCAACGCGGGCGAGATGTGCAAGAAGTGCCCGGGCGGCGCGTTGGGCCTGTCGACGGCGCGCGCGAACGCCGTCCGCGCGTTCGTCCTCGCCTGCGGCGTCGAGAGCGACCGCATCTACGCCGAGGGCTTCGCCGGGACGCGACGATTGACCGGCGACGTCATCGACGAGAGCATGGGCCACATCAACCGCCGCGTCGAGGTCCACACGCTCCTCTGCTGAGCGCCGACCCCCTGTTGTCCCCTCCGTCGTACATAGTGAACCTGTCGTTGCAGTCGGGTTACCGCTTCCGAAGCATGGTGGGCTGCTCGGCCCTCGCGCGGCGCTGCGTCGCGTCGGAGATGGTGGGCTGCTCGGCCCTCGCGCGGCGCTGCGTCGCGACGCGGCGGCTGCACAGTACGGCACCGATGACGCTCTACCACTGCGTCGGCGCGCGGTCGCTGCGCGTGCTCTGGGCCTTCAAGGAGCTCGGGATGTCAGAGTACGACTTGGTGACCATGCCCTTCCCGCCCCGGGCGCACCACCGGCCGTTCCTCGAGCTGAATCCACTGGGGACCATACCGCTCCTGGTCCACGGCGACGCGAAGCTCACGGAGTCCTGCGCGGGCGCCGTCTACGCCGCGGAGGCCGTCGCGCCGGACGGCCCGCTGCTCGTGCGGCCGGCCGAGCCGGACTACGCGAGCTTCCTCAACTGGAATTACCATGCGGACGCGACGCTCACCTTCCCGCAGACGCTCGTGCTGCGGTACCGCGACTTCGCGCGCCGGCGGCGTCCACCCCGCGCGTTTTCGAGACGATCACGACCGCGACGTAGGAGCCGCACAAGAACCTCGGCGGCGCGGCGGACGACTACGCCAAGTGGTTCCTCGCGCGCCTGCGCCTGCTGGACGCGGCGCTCGAGGACCGCCGCGACTTCCTCTGCGCGGGCCGGTTCACGGTCGCGGACGCGAACGTCGGCTACGCGCTCTTCCTCGGCCGCGAGATCGGTCTCGCGGGCGCCTACGCGCCCCAGACCGCGGCCTACCTCGACCGCCTCGTCGGCCGGCCCGCGTTCCAGGCCGCGCGGGCCGAGGAGGCGGCGTCGCTCGCGTCGTGGCATAAGGCGCGTGGGGCGTAGGCGGCTTAGGGGCGCCGGAGTCCCGGCCTACTGGTCCTGCTTCGCGCGCTCGGCGTTGCGCTGGTCGCGCTCGCGCTCGAAGGCGCGGTGGTCCGCGCGGTCGAGGAACTCCTGCTTGGCGAGGTAGCCCTTCTGGCCCGCGTCCTTGAGGGAGTCCTCGAGGCCCTCCTTCTCCTTGAAGACGTCCCAGTCCGCCGACGACTTGGCGACGGTCGTGACGGCCTTGGGCCCCTTGATGGCCTCGAGGACGTCGTCGACGCGGCCCGCCGCGCGCGCCGGCGCGCGCGCGGAGCCCGCGGCGTCGCGGACGGTCCGCGCGATCTGGATCGTCTCGCCGCCGAAGCGCTTCTCCTCGACGACCGTGCGCTTGCGGACGATCTTGCCGCCGAACTTGCTCTCGCCGGGGCCCTCGGCGGCGCGCCTCTGGACGGCCTTGTCGGCCTTCTTGCAGATGGACGCCGCGGCCTTGGCGCCGAAGATGCCCGCGAGGACCGAGCTCGCCTTGTCGCCCTTCTTCTTCGGCTTCTTGTCCTTCTTCTTCTTCTTCTTCTTCTCCGGCGCGGGCGCCGCGTCCGCGGGCGCGTCGTCGTCGCTCGACGCGTCGCCGAGGCCGAGCGCCGCGGCCTCGGCGTCGACCTCGCGCGCGCGGCGCGCGGCGCGGATCGCGTCGCGCGCCGTCGGCGCGGCGCGGTCGCCGGCGAAGGCCTCGGCGCCGCCCGCGGCGGCGATGGCGCGGTCCGCCTCGGCGTCGGCGAAGTCGTCGTCGTCGGCCTCGTCGCCGGAGCCGAGCGCCGCGACCTCCGCGGCCGTGCGCGCCGCGCCGGCCTCCGCGGCCGCGCGGCGGCTCCGCTTCGGCGCGGCGGCCTCGGGCTTCGACGAGTACTTGGACGCGTCGTCGTCGTCGCGGCGGCGCTTGCCGGCGCCCCTGGCCTTCTTCTTCTTGACCTTCTCGCCGTGCTCGTCGTACTCGTCGCCGCTGTCCTCCTCCTCGGACTCATCGAAGTCGCTGTCGAACCAGTCGCGGTGCTCGTGGTCGCTGCCGTCGTCGCTGAACTCGCCGTCGTCGTCCTCGTCCTTCCAAAACTCGTCGACGTCGTCGTCGTCGGTCCGCGACGCCTGGCGCTCCTTCTCCTGCTTGATGAGCGCCGCCATCTGTCCGCCGCGGCGGTCGCGGCGGCTCCGCTGGAGCACGGCCGGCGCGCGCGCCTGCCGGGGCTGCGCGGCCTCGGAGAGGTTCACGAAGAGCGCGAAGTTCCCGTCGCGCAGCGGCGCGAGGTCGTCGTCGTTCATGAGGTCGACGCCGCGGACGCCCCAGGACACCGCGCGCCGGAGCCACTGCTCCGCCTTGTCGAGGTGGCCCGTCTGCGCGTGGCAGCACGCGAGGTTGAAGGCGCAGTCCGCGCGCTCCTCGCTCACCTCCTTGTCGCCCTCCTCCTTCTTGTCGATGGCCAGCGCCTTCTCGAACGCGACGGCGGCGTCGACCCACTCGCCGGCCTTGACGTGCGCCATGCCCTTGTCGCAGCAGTCGTCGAACTCGTTGGGCTCGTTGCTCAGGTGCTCCTCGCGCGCCGTCTTCTCCGCCGCCGCCGCCTCCGCCGCGGCCGGCGCGTCGTCGAAGTCGCTGTCGCTGTCCGACATGGTCGCGGCTCGTGGGTGTGTTGTTGATGAGGCGACAGCTCGAAGCCCTCGAAGGGCGCGCAGATGTCGACGCTGCTGGTCGCGGCGGCGAGGCACTTCGCGCGCTCCGCTCGGAGCCGAGTCGGAAGCTCGCGCCCGTCGCCCTCGACGTCGTCCGGCCGCGACTCGTTACGCGCCGAGCTCCTCAGGCCGTGCAGTCCGGGACGACGCCGACCTTGCAGAAGTCGTAGCCGCCGCCCTTGGGGTTGTCCGGGAGCTTGCCCGAGAGCTGCATGCCCCAGCCGTTGGGCATGTACGCGTAGAAGAGGCCGTGGGCGAAGTAGCGGTAGGCGAGGGGGTACTTCGGGTGCGTCGCCGTCCAGTTCTTGACGGTCTCCGTGTAGGACGTGATGTCCGTGCCCGGGAAGGAGTGGCCGACGTGGCTGTCCGCGAGGCGGTCGAAGCCCTGCGTGGACGAGACGATGCACCTGGCGTGGAGCGCGTTCTGGTAGGCCTCCCACTCGAGGAGCGTGTAGTCGCCCTGGGTCGCGTTGCCGGAGACGAAGAGCATCTCCGCGTTGTCCTTGGCGAGGAAGGCGCCCGCGAAGGCGTCGTCCGTCGACGCGACCTCGCGGCCCTGCATCGCCGTCGTCCAGTAGGCCTTGTCGCGGGCGACGTCGGGCGACGCGAAGGACTTGTGCGTGAAGGTCACGACGGGCATGCCGTTGGCGCCGACCGTCCGCGGGGCCGCGGACAGGCGGGCCTCGAACGCCGCGAGGCCGGCTCGGGGCCCGCGCGGCGCGCCGTGGGCCGGGAGGTCGCCGCGCGCGGCGAGCAGGGACGAGGCGCTGCCCATGATCTCGAGGACCACGGGCGCCGTGTGCGCGCGGACGAGGACGCTGTAGTAGGTCGTCGACGAGCTCGGTTCCGTGAACGACGTCGCGTAGTAGGGCACCGCCGCCGCGTCGAAGGCGGCGACGTAGGCGTCGAGGTCCTGCGTCAGGAGGCCCACGTTGTTCTCCATGTAGACGTCGAACTTCGAGAAGTCGCCGAGGGCCGAGCCGTAGACCTTGGTCTCGACGTCCGCCATCGACAAGTCGCCCGAGTCGCGGTCGTAGGCGCCGACGGCGTGCATCTGGAACGTCGACGAGCTCACGCTCTCGCAGTTCTCGAGGTGGCCGTCGTCGATGCAGAGCTTGGCCCACTCGACGCACTGGTCCGTCGAGTTGACGGGGAAGCCGTCGAGGGGCTGCGTCGGCAGGTAGGTCGCCATCCACGTGCCCCAGCCCAGCGGGTCCGACATGGCGTAGGTCGACTTGCCGAAGCCCGAGCCCTTGGCCTGGGTTTGTGTCGCGAGGGCCAGCGCGGCGACGACCCTGGCCATGGAGGAACCAGCCATCATATGGAGCGGCGGGCCAGAAGATCGGGGAAACATGGCGTTGTTGCACCCGAAACTCACGGCCGAGGATCGGCTGCCTCGACAAGACCTCTGTCTTCCTGTCGGCCACAAAGCACCAGTGCCTCGGCCGCCGCGCAGCCGACGATGATCGTCGAGCGCAGCGCGGACGTCAAGGCGACGCCCGCGAAGATCTGGTCCGCGTGCTTCGCCACCTTCGAATGGGAGAAGTGGGACCCCGACCTCGAAAAGGTCGAGGATGCGCCGGAAGGTGGCCTCGCGGGCGACGCGACCATCACGTTCGTGATGAAGGACGGGCCGGTGAAACGTCTGCCCACGTCGGTGTCGGGCGTCAAGGAGAACGAGAGCCTGACGTTCTCCGGCTCGACGATGGGCGGCATGATGCGCTTCGCCGGCACGGTCGTCCTCACGGCCAAGGACGAGGCGACGACGACGATCGACTACACCTTCGAGATGGCCGGCTGCCTCGGCTCCGTGGCCGGCTGGTTAGGCCCCGACGCGATCGTCGGCGGCACGGAGAAGGGCCTCGCGGCCATGAAGGAGCTCTCGGAGGCGTAGCCGGACCTCGCGTTGTTCGAAAGACAGGTTTACAGTTCGATCCCGGCGTGTCGGGGTGCCGGTCTCGTTGCTTCGGGGTCGGGGTTCGGGCGGCGTTCGGGGGCCGCGTGTGCGTCCCGCGGTGGCCGCGGCGGGGGAGGAGCGCGCTTGTTTGCGGGCGCGGCTCGAATTCGGGGTGTGTTTCGGGGGCGTGGTTGGGGGGGGCGTGGTCGTGGTTCGTCCGGCGCGGTCCGGGGCGAGGAGCGGGGCGCGTAGACACGCGGCGCGGGTCGCGGTGCTCCCGGTCATGCTTCGGTCGCGCGCCGGGCGGGGCCGTTCGGCGCCGGCCCCCCCGGTGACGCGACCCCGCTTCACGCGTTGACGTTCTGGAGGACGCCGAGCATGTGGGACACCTTGGTCCCGTCGTCCTCCGTGAGGGGGAAGACGCGGAGGAAGTTCTGGAACTTGTCGCCCTCCTTGGTGTAGTTGGTGAGGAGCGCGGACGTCGCGTGGCCGTCCTCGCAGCCGCGGACGAGGTCCGCGACCTCGCCCTTCTCCGTGTCCGGGCCCTGGAGGATGGCCAGCGTCTTGCCGACGGCCTCCTCGGCCGTGAAGCCGCAGAGCTTGGTCCACGCGTCGTTGACGTGCTCGATGACGAAGGGCCGCTTCGCCGTCGTCACGACGCGCGCGTCCTCGGAGTCGCGGACGGCGTCGTCGAGCGTGTTGGGGATGGCCACGTAGGGCTCGGCCGTCGGGGACCGGGCGGCGCGCGTGAGCTGCTGCCAGAGGCCCACCGTGTCGAACATGAACTCGAGGCAGACGACGCGGTCGACCTCGCCGACGGGCGCGGGCCGGAACGCGGCCTTGAGGCTGCCGCGCTGCTGGAGCACGACGCGGCGCCGCGAGTCGGAGACGCGCAGCGTCCACGTCGCCATGAGCGCGCCGTCCGCGGCCCAGGACGCGGACGACCGCTCGAGCGCGCACTCGGCGCGGCCGCCGGGCTCGCCGTCCTTGGCCCCGGGCGCCGCCGGCGCGTCGCCCTCGAGGGCCTCGCCGACGCCCGACGACGGCTTGCGCCCGCTCGAGGACCGCGTCGACCGCGGCTCGACGCCCTTGGCCTCGGCGTCCGCGTCGTCGGCCGCGCCGCCCTCGGGCGCGGACCGGCGCATGACGGACGCGAGGCAGACGCGGAGGCTCCGCACGTCGGCGATGGCCGCCTCGATGCCCGACACCGTGCGCCCCGAGGCCGTGGCCTCGTAGGGCGCGAAGGACCGGTACGGCGTGTGCGGCAGGCGGAGCTCGAAGTCGGGCTCGACGAGCTCGCCCCAGAACGCCGGGTCGTCGGCGCCCTGGTCCGTCTCCGACACGCGCAGCGTGAGGATGCGCGCGACCGTGTCGACGCGCTGGGCCCGCTCGTGGTTGCGCTCGTCCATGTCGCGGAGCCGCGCGGCCATCATCTCGTTCTCGCGCGTCAGCGTCTGGACGGACACCTGAAGGTTCTCGACGAACTCCTTCTTGCGGCGCCGCGTCTGGCGCGCGTGCTCGCGGTTGCGGGCGCGGCAGCGGTCCGCCTTGTCCTGGAGCTCCGAGGACGACTCGGCCGCCGCCGCGGGGCCGTTGCGGCCGCGCTTGGGCGCCGGCACGCCGGAGCCCGAGCCCTCGGACGAGACGTCGGGCTTGCCCGCGCCGACGGGGATGAACGTGCCCGAGCGGGGCGCGTCGGGGAACGTGTCGAGGACGTCCAGGGAGCCCATGGCGCGGCCGCCGCCGCGCGACGAGCCCTGGCCGGAGCGATCCTCGGGCGACTGGCTCATGCGCTGGTCGCGCGGGGGCTCCAGGGGCGGCGGGGCGCCCAGTTGCGACTCCTGCGAGGGGGCGCGCGCGTCAGCCCCCGAACGGCGCCGTCCCGGAACGCGCGCGGTTCGGTTCTCGACGGGCGCGGACGCGCGCGCGGGCCCCCCGCGCGCGCCCCCGGTCGGGGCGGGTCGCCCGCGCGTCGGGGCGGGCCGCGCGCGTCGGGGCGGGGCCCCGGGGCGCCCCGGGGCGCGCGCGTCCGCGGCCCGGTGCGGCGACGCTCGAAAAACGCCCGCATCGAGTCCGCGGACGCCAAAAAGCCCCCGGGGCGGTTCTTGCGGGCGCCGGCGCGCACCAGGAAGTCGTAGGGCCCGAAGAGGGAGTCGAGAGCGTCATTACTCTCGCGCATCTTGTTGCTGTGCTGTTCTGCTGTCGCTCGTTTCGCTGTGTGGCGATTCTCGGCCCCCCGGGGCTCAAATCGCGTCGCGTAACGTTTAGGGCGTTGCCCGTGGGTGCTGAAGGGTAGTCAACGTGAAAGCGCACTACCCCGGGGCCCGGGGGCGTGCGCGCGCGGTGAGAAACCGAGTTGAATGAGCCGACGTCGGGCCTCAAGTAGAATTCTAGAGTTGAGCGCGCCGATCGCGCCGCCGGGGCTCGCAACTGATGTGGTCGCTGCCCCGGCAGAGGCACGACGGCCGCGCCGACGGCCGCGCCGACGCCCGAGCAGACCCGGACGGCGTCGCTGACGGTGTCGCCGACGGCCACGCTCTATCTCATGTGTCTAAGCCGTGCCGCAGGCGCCCCTGCCCCCCCTCGGGCGCACCCGCCCACGGCCTCCGCCCGCCCACGGCCTCCGCCCGCCCGCGCCCCTCCGGACCTGGTGCGCACCTCCGCTTCGGCGCACGGGTCATGAGACACGCGTCGCCACCTTCGGGTTCGGTTTAACCCCCGGAGCAGGCTTCAACGAGAATCGGAAGCGTTGATGTGCAGCGTATCCCAAACTCTGCCGGTCGAAGCTGCCCCACCAGACCCACCGACAACAGTCCACGATGCCCGTCGGCTCCGGCGTGCCCGAGTACGCCCTGAACCCCGACGAGCACGGGAACAAGGTGCGCGTCGTCGGGGCCATGCTCAAGAAGGGCGGGTCCCGCGGCGGCCGCCGCAACTGGCAGAAGCGGTGGTTCGTGCTCGACCCCAGCGGCGGGCGCCTGCGCTACTTCGAGGACGCGCACCTGAACCGGGAGGCGGGCCAGGTGCGGCTCTCCGTGACGTCGGAGGTCGTCGCGGCGACGCCCGAGCTGCGGGGCCGCCACGCGCCCAAGGACGAGGGCGAGGACCCGCTGCGCGCGGCGGCGTCCTTCATCACGAACGTGATGGTCGCGTCGCCCGCGAGGCCACCTTCCGGCGCATCCTCGACCTTTTCGAGGTCGGGGCCCCACTTCTCCCATTCGAATGTGGCGAAGCACGCGGACCAGATCTTCGCGGGCGTCGCCTTGACGATGACCTGGTCGCCCCCGCAGGTACCTGGAGCTCCGGGGCGTCTACGACGACAAGGGCCGGCCGCGGCCGCTGCCCTTCGCCGTGCGCTGCTTCAACGAGGACGAGTTCGCCGAGTGGCAGGCGAGCCTGCGCTTCAGCGTGCGGTCCCTCAAGGCCCAGGCGCGGCGCCGCGCGCCGTCGGCGACGCTGCCCGCGGCGGCCGCGCGCGAGGCCCCGGCGGTCCTCGAGGAGGCCGCGACGCCCGGCCGGACGACGGCGCCGCGGGACGACGAGCCCGTCATCGTCTGCGAGTTCGCGACGCGCGAGCTGGGCCTGAGCCTCGTCCTGTCGCGCGAGCGGTCGCCGCACGCGGACGCCGGCGACGACACGCTCGCGACGGTGGGCCGCACGGTCGTCGTCGTCGCGCGGACCTTCGCGGACCGCGGCGGCGGCGTCGCCCGCGCGCGGCTGCTGCCCGACGACGAGCTCCTCGCCGTGCACTACGACCCGGCCGCGCCGCTCCGGGACGCGGAGCGGCTCCCCGAGGACTTAAGGGTCGACGACTTCAACGCGCTCCTCGCGACGCTCCGCGACACGGCGCGGCCCCTGGCGCTCGTCTTCCGGCGGCCGCCGGCGGTGCGGCCGTCCCAGTCCGCGGCGTCGGAGCCGCCGACGCCGTCGAAGCGGCTCGTCGACGACGACGACGACTTCGAGATGATGGAGTTCTTCTGCCTCGACAACGAGGCGACGGCCGCGCACCTCGACTCCATCGGCTACGGCGAGCTCCTGGCGCGCTGGCGGAGCGGCGGCGTCGACCGGGACACGAAGGTCTACTGCGGCGACACGTGGCAGGCCGTCGGCGACCTGCCCGCGCTCGTCGCGAAGCTCGACGGCGACCGCCGGACGTCCTTCTTCGAGGACCTCCGCGTGTCGCACTAAAGCATGTCGTTACAGGGGCCCGCGTCGCCGAGGCAGTTCTCCGTGAGCGAGTGCTCGTACTCGATGTCGACGCGGCCGACGGACGCCGCGGGCGCGCAGCGCGCCGCGCGCGTCGCCGCCCACTTGACGCGCCGCGCGTTGTAGGCGCCGACGAGCAGGCAGGACGCGCCGACGGCGCAGGCGACGACGACCGCGACGACGACGACGAGCGGGCCGCCGGCCGTCGCGAGCGCGCCGTCGCCGCCGCCGCCGGACGACGCCGCCGCCGCGGCGACGTCCGCGGCGTCGGGCCTCGCCGTCGGCGTCTCCGTCGGCGCCTCCGACGGCCGCGCCGACGGCGCGGCGATCTGGGGCCGCGGCGTCGGGTCGGGGGCGGGCGCCGGCGACGGCTCGGGCGTCGGCGCCGGCGTCGGCGACGGGCTCGGCGGGTAGCGCGTCGGCGCCGCGGACGGGCTCGCGGTCGGGTGCGTGTCGCGGCAGTCGCCCGTGACGATGACGGAGCCGCAGGCGCCGTCGGAGGCGCAGAAGGCCGACGGCGGCAGGCCGAACCATTCCGGCAGGGCGACCTCGTAGCACGCGCCGGACGTGACCTGGGCAGCAAAAGAGTGATTCAACGTCGCTTCAACGTGAGTGTTCCGCGCGCGCGCGTTCCGGAAAAAGCATCCACGCTTCGAGACCGTTCCGAGAGATGATCGCTCGTCTAAAAATCAGCCAAAACAAGTGGAAAACGGTCGAGATCGGAGCCTTGGAAGTTGGGAATTTCGCTCTCTTTTGCTGCCCTGGACGTGACGCCGCCGTCCGCGTCGCCGTCGCGCGCCGAGTCGAAGAGGGCCACGGACTCGTCGGCCTCGCAGGAGCTCCCGATGTGGACGGACGCGCGCGCGACCTGGGCCTCGTCACAGATCAGGGTCGCGTGGACGATCTCGCCCCAGACGGGCACGCACGTCGGGCCCGTCGAGTCGAGCGGGCCGATCGCGCCGAGGAACAGGTTCGCGCCGTCGATGTGGTTCGGCGCGCAGGTGCCCGTGCCGAACCAGATCCACGCGTGGAGCCGCTTCTCGCACGCCGCGGGCGCGAGGCGGTGGTCCGCGGCGCCGCCCTCGCGCCGGAGGCCGCCGTCCGGGGGCCCGTCGTGGACCGCGAAATCCGCGAGCGCCGTGAGGTAGCCCGACGCGTCGTCGACGGCGGCGAAGGCGTACCAGTTCTCCGCAAAGTCGAAGGGGAGCGACACGTCCGCGCAGTAGTCGTCGAAGCCCGCCGCGGGCTGGCGCTCGTCGTTGCCGCCGTCGCGGAAGATTACTTTGCCGCCGGCGACGACGACCTCCACGTCCAAAAACCGCCGCTTGGCGCAGGCGCCGCCGCCGACGTCCAAACCCGCCGAAGACGAAGCCGCCGCTCCGCTCCCGCGCGAGCCACCGCTCGTCACTGAGGGACGCCGGGTCCAGGTTGCAGAGCACGAGGGCGACGTCCTCGTCCATCTGGCTCAGCGCGCCGGGCGCGTACGTCAGGGCCGCGACGAAGCTCCCGCCGAGCGCGTCGAGCGTCCAGTTCCGCGCCGCGTAGGCTGCGGTGACCGTCGAGCCCGTGGCGAAGAGGGCGCTGGTCGAGTGCGTCGCGACGTGCTTCCTCGGCGCCGCGCTCGCCGCGTCCCAGAGGAAGTCGTCGGCGTCGAAGACCCACTTTTTTGATGTTTGGATGGAGTGGTTGAAGTCGTCGTGGAAGAGCACGGCGGCGTGCGCCGTGAGCAGCACGGCCGCGACGGCGAGCTTCCACGGCGTCATCTCATCGGCTGCATGCTACGCCTCGAGTCGTCGGGCTTCGGCATAACGTGGATTTCGGGCAGCCTGGACGAAGGTGCAAGTCGGTGAATTTGTCGATTGTTGAGGTAGATCGTGCTGTGGGAGAGCTTTGGCAGCTGAGGCGCCGCGGCACTCGCACGACGCTCTCGCGCGCCGCCGCCGCGCCGTGCACCGGCGCGATGCGCCAGCTCCTCCTCGCGGGCCGCCGGGCCTTGAAGAACGAGTTCGTCGCGCTGCGCCACGGCTGGAGCGAGGCCAACGAGGCCGGCATCATCGTGTCGCGCATCGAGAGCGGCCGCCTGCCCCGCTACGGCCTGCACGCCAAGGGCCGCGCGCAGGCCGCGGCCGTCGCGGAGCCGCTGGCCGCGCTCGCCGGCGCGCGCGAGGTCGTGGTCCTCGCGTCCGACTTCTCGCGCACGCTCGACACGGCGGCCGTCGTCGCGGAGCGCCTCGGCGTCGACGTCGCGCCGACGCCGGCGCTCCGCGAGCGCGACTTCGGCGACCTCGACGGCGGGCCCAACGACACCTACGAGGACGTCTGGGCGCGCGACGCCGCCGACGCGGGCCACGAGTGGTCCCGCGTCGAGTCCGTGGAGCGAGTCCTCGCGCGGACGACGGCCGCGGTGCGAGAAGCGGACGCCGCGGGCGAGGGCCGGCTCGTGCTCCTCGTCTCCCACGGCGACGCGCTCCAGATCCTCCAGACGGCCTTCGCCGACGTGGACCCGCGGACCCACCGGTCCCTGCCGCACCTCGAGACGTGCGAGCTCCGGCCGCTCCGCGTCGCGAGGAGTAACGGCGCCTAGTACTATCATCGGGCCGGGCCTAGTCAGTGACGAGATCGAGCTGTGAAGTTCACTTTTGGACGGCCTGAGAAATCAAAAGCTCGTAGCTAAATCAAAGCCCGAGCCAAACGCCGCAGGGTATACGTCCCTGGCTACCGGCTCCGTAGAAGGTAACTTGCCTTCAACTTGAAGAAAAGTATCCCAAAAAAAGGTCGGGCATTTCCAGCACCGGGCCGGACCGACGAGCGCCGGCGAAACTAATCAAAAGCCGGTCGAAATTAATCAAAAGCCGGTCGAAATTATTCAAAAGTTCACTTTTGTATAAAAGTCAACTCTCGCTCGATCTCGTCACTGCCAAAACCCGCTAGATGCGCGCCTGTTACGGGTCAGGGCGTCGTGGCGACGGGGCAGACGGCGCCGTAGCCGCCGCCGGCCGCGTCGCGCGCGCCCCGGGCGTCGCGGGGGAAGAGCGCGGCGAGCCTCGACGGCGGCGTCTTGTCGCAGTAGACGCTCCGCGCGGCGGACGCGCAGTTGCGCCGGCAGCCGAGGTCGTTGACGTTGAGCGCCGTGCGGTAGACGCCGCGGACGGACTCGTTCGTCGTCTGCGCGATGGCCGCGAGGCGGAGGTGGAACGCGAGGAGGCTCACGACCGGGAACGCGAGGCCGAGCGCGACGGCCGCGGCCCCCAGGGGCCAGGTCGCGTCCTGGACGAGCGCGCCGAGGACGTCGCGGGGCGCCGCGCCGTCGCCGCCCGGCGCGCGCGCCGCGCGGCCGTAGGCGCCGGCGAAGCGGAGCGCGGTGACGCCGGCGACGAAGGCTATCAGGAGCACCTCGGCCTTGAGGAAGAGGGAGAAGTAGGCGTAGTTGCGCTTCGCGACGCAGGTCCCGAGCCAGGGGCAGTGGTGGTCGAAGAGCTCGACGCAGTTGTTGCAGGAGCCGCAGTGCTTCGACCGCGCGGGCCGCACCAAATTGCACGTGTGGCAGATCTTCAGGTCGGGCCCGTCCTCGCAGCCCGGCGGCAGCGACGGCTTCGCGTCCGGCGGGTTGCGGGGGAGGACGCCCGGCTCCGTCAGCGCCGCGCGCCAGAGCAGGCCCACGCACGCGAGCCAGATCGCCGCGAGCGTCGTCCGCAGGAAGAGGAACAGCCGGTCGTCGCCGCCGCAGAGGCTCTCCGCGTCGGACATGGTCGCGAAGAAGACGACGAGCGTCGGCAGCGTCGTCATGCAGTTCGTCGCCGCGAAGCCGCCGACGTCGGGGCCGAGCGCGAACGCGCCGCGCGGGCCGAGGTAGTTGTCGCCGGGCCACGCCTCGCGCGGGTCCGGCGGCCCGTGGAGCTGCGTCGCGCGCCAGCCGCACCGCCCCAGGTCGCTCAGGTCCACCCAGCCGAAGCGCCCGTCCCACCAGACCCAGAGCCAGGGGCCCTGGCGCTTGTACGCCGTGATCGCGCGCGCCTGCCCGAACGGCTTCGCCTGGATCGACGCGACGCAGCGGCTCAGGCTGCTCGGGTCCTGCTGCACGGCGATGTGGTGCCGCCGGAAGCGGTTCGGCACGAACCGGAAGGTCAAGGGCTGCGACGTCATGTCCTCGCAGGCGCCGTCGGGGGCGTCGTCGCCCTCGTCGTCCTCGGGCTCGAGGATGGTCTGCGACTCGTCGTCGAGGGTCGTCTGCGGGAGCTCCTGCTCCATCTTCGTCGCGGGTGCGTTTCTTTATGTGCGTCGCACGCTAGTTCGGCGTCACCGCGCGCGCGACGGGCCTTGAACCCCGCGCATAAGCGACGCCACACGCCCAGGCGCCGCGGCTCTGGCGTCAACGTGTCGGCAACGTCGGCTTGGCCAGCTGATCGCTTGAGCTTGCCCTCGCACTTCGTCAGCCTCGCACGCCGTCGCCACCGACAGCTCTCTCAAGCTACACCATGGCCATCCTCAGCAGATTGATCGTCGCCGCCCTGGCGCTGTCGCCGGCGTCCGGCTTCGTCGGCCCGGCGTCGGTCCGCGCGCCGTCGGCGCTGAACGCGGCGACGATCTCCGCCAAGGAGGTGCAGAAGCTGCGCAAGGACTCCGGCGCGGGCATGATGGACTGCAAGAAGGCGCTCGTCGAGGCCGACGGCGACTTCGAGGCGGCGTCGGAGTGGCTCCGCGTCAAGGGCCTCGCGTCCGCCGCGAAGAAGGGCGAGCGCGCGACGAAGGAGGGCCTCGTCGAGACGTACGTGCACACGGGCGGCAAGCTCGGCGTCATGGTCGAGGTCAACTGCGAGACGGACTTCGTGTCCAAGGGCGAGAAGTTCCACGAGCTCGCCAAGATGCTCGCCATGCAGATCGCCGCGTGCCCGGCCGTCGAGTACGTCAAGCCCGAGGACATCCCCGAGTCCGCGCGCGACGCCGAGCGCGCCATCGAGATGAAGAACGAGGACCTCGAGGGCAAGCCCGAGGAGATCAAGGTCAAGATGGTCGAGGGCCGCGTCAACAAGATGTTCAAGGAGAAGATCCTCCTCGAGCAGGCCTACATCAAGGACCCGCAGATGACCGTCGCGGACTTCGTCGCGTCCTACGTCGCCGTCCTCGGCGAGAACATCCAGGTCACGCGCTTCACCAAGTTCAACCTCGGCGAGACGGGCGGCGACGACGACGAGGAGTAGGCGACCAAGCCCCGACCCGCCCCCGACTAAAACCGCAGACGAGCGAGCGACCTACGGACCTCGCCCACTCGGAGCTAGGCCGCGTCTGGCCCAACTTCGAAGGACCTAGGTCGCCCAACTCGAAGGACCTAGGCCGCCGTTTTCCGGTCCCCCATCTCGAGCGCCGCGGGCGCGAGCAGCGGGTCCCCGGCCGCGGCGGCCGAGCCGTGCGCGGGCAGCACGAACGCGCACGGCGTCGGCGCGACCGCGCCGGCGTAGACGGGCTGGAACGGCGGCGGCGGGCCCTGCGCGCCCGCGTTGAAGTTGTGCTCGTCCTCCTCGCGGTTCGTGATGGGCGCGGGCGCGAGGACGGAGACGACGTTCGCCGTGGGATACGGGCCCGCGAAGACGCCCCCCGGCGGCGGCGCCGGCGGGGCCTCGCCGCACACCCCTCCGGCGACGACGACGGCGCCGAGCGGCGCGTACGACGGCTGCGCGAGCACCGTCGCCGTGGGAAGCGCCGTCAAACCAATTGGGAACTCCCAGACCACGTCCGTGAGCATACCCGGCATGTCGATGGTGAGCCGGAGCGTGTAAAACCAGGTGACGGGATCCCAGTCCGAGGCGCCGGAGAACGGCGGCGGGACGGACGGGATTTTGAGCGCCATGGGCGCTTCGGGCGTCCCGAAGTTGATCGTCGAGTTGCCCGGCAGCGCCACGCCGCCGAGCTCGATGGGCGGGCGCTCGCCTACCAAGCGTGACCGTGACGATTTCTCGTCGTTTTCCCACCCGAAATCTCTCGAACATCGCCACGGCCACAGGACACCGGCGCTCGCAGCGGCGCGAATTGCCCCGCTTGCGCTGGATGAGGATCCGCTGGACGAGGTCCACGTGGAACCGCGCCTCGTGCTCCGTGGAGTTCGTCGCCAGGGCCGCGACGTAGACGACGTCGCCGACGGAGAGCACCGCGCAGGACACGCACGCCTCGAACTGCGCCGTGCCCTGCGCGCAGCCCAGACCGCATGGCGCGCAGCAGTCGCACTGGTAGATGATCTGCGGCTCCGTCGGTCCGCGGACGACGGGCGTGTACGCGTTGGGCGGCGGCAGCCGCGCGCGCGCCAGGAGCGTGATGGGCCGCCGCGTCGACGGGTCCATGCGCATCTTGATGTCGACGTTCGAATAGAGCGAGTAGCGCACGTAGGCCTACCAAGCACGACGGTGACGATTTCTCGTCGCGGTCCCGCCCGAAATCTCTCGAAAACCGTCGCGGCCGCGGGACGCAAGCAGGACGGTGACGATTTCTCGTCGCGTTCCCGCCCGAAATCTCTCGAAAACCGTCGCGGCCGCGGGACGCCGACGAACGCGTAGTCCGCGCCGGTGAGGGGCCCCTCCGCGGACGGCGGCAGGTCGTCGACCGCGGGGATCGTGAAGCCGAAGACGGTCTCGAGGCGCCCCGCGGGCAGCTCGACGTTCTTGTCCGGCTCCGGCAACGCGTCCGCCGACGGGTCCGCGTTTCGATGGACGACGTAGGCCTGGACGTAGACGTCGTTCTTCCCGAACCAGTCCCCCTTGCGCAGACCCGTGGCCTGGTGGCAGCGCAGCACGATCAGACCCGCGGCGCCGCGCGCGGCGGACAGCGTGACCTCGCCGAGGTCGCCGCCCCTGCCCTTGCGGTAGAGCGGCATGGACACCGGCTGCCCGCCGGCGAGGAGGTCGCCGATTTGCACGGCGCACTCGCCGAGCATGTCGTCCTTCTTGCCCCAGTCGTAGTCCATGACGCGCACGGCGAGCGTCTCGCCGCCGTCGCACGGCATCGGCATGTCGCCGCCGCCGGTGGCCGCGTCGAAGTACGCGTTCTCGCCGGCCTCGTCGAGGAGCTGCGTCCGGTAGAAGTTGCCGAAGACCGTCGTGCCTACCAAGTGCGACGGGGTCGGATTTCTTCACATCTTCAGGCGAAATTCAAGCGAAAAAACACTCCTGTCGCTCGACGCTGCGTCGTGCGCTTGCTGACGTAAATCTTCTCGGCGTGGTAGTCCGTGCGGTCGTCGCCCGATCCCGTGTGCCAGTGGCCCACGCCCGCGCCCTCCAATCGGATGCGGATGCCCCGGCATTTGATGGGCCTGTTGGTTTCGATGATCAAGCGGCCCGTCACCTCGTCGCCGGGCGAGAAGCACCCGGAGTCGTTGTCGAGGGCGATGGCGTAGTTCGCGATGGCTTTGAACGCCATGCTTTTTGCGGCGGAGCGTGGTACCGCGCCTCGACGAGCCGCGCGTGGTCGATGGGCAGCGTGAGGTCGATGCTTTTTGCGGCGGAGCGTGGATGCCTGCCCGATGCGACCAAAGCAAAACTGCACCTTCGGCTGTTGAAGAATAAATCATGTTGCTTGGAGCTGCCCCTGACGGAGGTGTGTCCGCACCCCAATTGGCGCCGCCCGCGCGCCGGACGCCGTCGCCCGCCGCCGCCCGCCGCGGCCCGCGGCGCCCGCCCATGGCGTCGGACGACGACCTCGAGCCGAAGACGCGCTGCGGGCGGTGCCAGCAGCTGGGGTCGCGGGCCTTCTGGTACTCCATGGGCACGTCGCCGGAGAACGAGGGCTCCTGCCGCATCGTCATCATGGGCTGGGGCTTCCTCTTCATCTTCATGGCCTTCAACACGACGCAGACGATCCTGTCGACGGTGCTCCAGCACTACGTCGGCTCCGTGTCCCACGTCGAGTACGACCTCGGCATGGCTTCCCTCATGATCATGTACGTGACGACGTGCCCGTCGCTCTACGCCATCCCCGCGGTGATCCGGAGCCTCGGGGCCGTCGTGACGATGATGCTGGGCGGGCTGTGCTACGCGGTCTACATCATCTCCCTCATCTACATCTGGGAGCCGACGGTGATCCTGAGCAGCGCGGTCGTCGGCGTCGGCCAGGCGGCGATCTGGGTGAGCCAGGGCGTGATCCTGACGTCGTCGAGCGACGAGGCGACGCGCGGCACGGACGCGGGCCTCTTCTGGGGCATCTACTCGGCGTCGGGCATCGCGGGGCCCGCGTTCGGCTACGTCGTCTACCAGGGCATCGACAGCCAGGGCTTCTTCCTCTTCGCGTCCGTCTGCACGCTCGTGGGCGTCTTCATCTTCCGGCTCCTGGCGAAGCGCCAGCGCGGGGAGGCGGACTACGACGGAGCCGAGGCCGCGGCCGCGCCGCTGCGCGACGACGACGCCGAGGCGCCGAGCGGCGCGCCGCTCCTGGGCAAGGAGCAGGCGAAGCTCGCCGGGGCTTCCAAGGAGCTCGGTGCGCCGGAGGCGCCCCACGCGTGGCTCCGGCCCGGCTGGACGCCGGAGAAGGCCGGCGTGCTCGCGCGGCTCTCGCCGTTCATGTTCTTCATCGGGTCGTCCGACGGCTTCATCAACGGCGCCTTCCCCATCATCTTCGCGCCGACGGCGGTCCAGGAGGGCGCCGTCTTCCTCGTGTTTCTAGGGTGGGGCATCATGGAGACCTTCGGGGCCTTGATACTGTCGCGGTTCTCGGACACGCTCGGGCGCCGCGCGATGCTCGTGCTGGCCGTCTTCTTCTACATCACGGCCATGGTCATCTGCTACTTCCTCATGGCCGTGCCCAAGGGCGACGGCGACCAGAAGGAGCTCCAGAAATTCCTGGGGCCCGTCTGGTTCGACGTGTCGTGGCTCGCGTTCGTCGCCGGCGCGCTCTTCGGCCTCAGCGACACGCTCAACAACACGCAGGCCTACGCGCTCATCGGCGACTACTTCGCGACGCCGCCCCTGAACGTCGACGCCTACGCGGCCTTCCAGCTCCTCCAGGCCGTCGGCATGGCCTTCGGCTTCGGCATCCCCCTCGTCCTCACGACGGAGTGGAAGCACCGCGCCGCCATCTTCGGCATCCAGGCGGCGACGCTCCTGGCCTCCATCTCGGGCATCGCCATGCTCCCGGCGAACAACACCATCGGCAGGCGGCACGCGCCGCCGGAGTGACCCGCGGGCCCGCGCCGCCCCGCCCCCACACGCTGCTCCCGCCCCCTTTCGTATGTCGCCGCTCCACGCTCTGGAGACTAACGCTTCGGTAAAATCGCCGGGCCCCGAGCGCGTAGACGGCGTCTCGAGTACCGGACGTTACCGGCGGAGCGCATCGAGTGCACCGTCGGCTCGGGTGCATGTTGTTCGTTGGGCTGCCCCCCAGCGCCGATGGGGCACGCGGCGTCGACCTACGAGAAGGCGCAGGACGGCGAGCCCTGGGACGCGAAGCCCGTCGAGTTCTTCGGCGGCGACGCCGGCGCGCACTTCGCGCCCGTGCCGCCGCAGTTCGAGTCCGTGAGGCGGAGGTACCTCGCGAAGCGTTCGGAGAACGTCCTGGGCACGGAGGCCCTGGACGAGTTCGGCGAGCACCTGCTGGAGGAGGAGTGCCTCGAGATCGAGCTCAAGTCCGCGGGCACGTGGACGCGCTGCGTCGTGCGCGACACGAGCCACTGCCACAGCGTCGCCGGCGGGCCGGACCCGACGTTCATGTACGACGCGGACCACCCCGGCGGCTACCTGCTCGCGCGGACGCGGAGCGGGTTGCTGGCGCACGACACGCCCCAGCACCGCGTGCGCGGCGTCGAGGAGCTCGTGCGGCGCAAGGGCGGCGGCGCCGCGCCGAAGCAGGTTCTCGTCGTCTTCACGGACGGGTCCGAGGCGGCGCACGTCGCGTACGTCGCCGCCAAGAGCCTGCTCAACGGGCCCGAGGACACGCTGAGCGTCATCACCGTGGAGTCGTCCAAGGCGCACACGAAGCCCAACTTCAAGCCCAAGGTCATGCGCGACCGCTACGAGGCGGACCTCACGGGCTTTTTGCCGCGGTCGCGGTGGCGCTTCATCACGATCCCCAAGTCCAAGGTGCCGACGAAGGAGGTCGTGACGACCTTCGTCAACGACCGCTCGAAGATGCCCTGCGCCGTGCGGACGCACCCGGACCCGACGCTCGTCCTCGTGGGGTTTTCGGGGCGGAAGACGTCCGCGGCGCGCGACCCGACGGTCATCGGCCAGGTCGCGGACCTCTCCCTCCGCACGCTGTTCTGCCCCACGGTCGTCGCCAAGGTCGCGCCGCGGCCCCGGGGCCGCCACTTCGTCATGCTCGTCGAGCCCGCGGAGCGCAGCGTCCGCGCGGCGGAGATCCTCGGGACGCTGCTCCGCGACGACGACGCGCTCACGTTCCTCCACGTGCTCGCCCACGACGCGCTCAAGAACGCGCCCGACACCCTCATGCGCATGCTGTCCAAGTGGAAGGCGCGCGCGAACTTCGAGTTCGTCGAGAACGTCGACGGCCGCGCGATCTCGATCCTCGACGCGCTCCAGAACGAGCCCCGGCCCTGCTTCAACGACGTCGACTTCGTCGTCGTCGCGACGCGGCCCAAGACGGAGCCGGGCTCCGTGAGCGACCACCTCGTGCGCCACTACCACCGCAACATCGTCATCATCAAGAGCGTCCTCGACGAGCCGGGCCGCCGGTCGTCCATGGCGGGCCGCTCGGGCGTCGTCGCCGTCGCCGCGGACGGCCACACCGTGTCCAAGGCCGCGCCGCCGCCGCCGCGCCCGCGCCGGCGTAAGGTCCCTTAGGTTGGGGCGCGTCACAGGTCCGGAGCATCGCCGCAGAAGGCCCGCGGGAGCGGGCCCCGGCGGAGAGCGTCCGCGGCCTCGTCGGCGCGGCCGGCGACGCGCGCGCGCGCCGCGGCACCGTGCGCGCCGTCGCCGAGGAGGTCCGGCGCGTCGAGGAGGCCGGCGATGACCCGCCGCGCGCCCGCGCGCGTGCGCTTCCCGGCGCGCGTCGCGAGCGCCGCAAAAAACCTTGGGGAGCTGTTTCCAGCCGGACTGTTGCGAAAGCATCGTGTTCGGACTGTTGTGAATCCCTCGCTTCGTCGAGGACGCGCGAGTCCGGCGCAAGAACGTGCTTCCGGACTTCAATCTGAAGTTCAACATAGATTGCAGGTTCAACTTGAACTTCAACACAGCCCATCCCGCGCCAGCCGCTGCTTCGTCCAGGGTCATTGGGCAGCGGCGCCGCACCACACGGGCAACGACGGTCGCGCGGCCCGACCGCCATCACGGGTTTCCCCACCCGTAGTCCTGGAGCGCGGATCCCTAGGGCGTAGCACTAGGAGTGCGAGGCGTGGCGAGGGCGTCTCGGGGCCGACGAAAAAAATTCCGGTTTTTTTGTCGGGTTTTTGTGCCACATGCTTCGGGAGCATAACGCGACGGTCGGGAGGCGCGCACTCGTCGATTTCGGGGTACGTAAACGTGGTACCGTAGAAACGCTCGTCGTATTTTACGAGACTTCGACCGCGAAGAACGCGCGTTCGTCGGCGGGGTATGTCGCTCCGGACGCGCTCGAACGCTTAGTTTTATACGTCGGAAACATGGAATGGCATCTTTTCCCGGCCTCGTTTTTGTTTTCGAGGAGCGGATTTTCCAAAACGGAGCGCGGGGAATCGAACTTGACGTAGGGAACTTGGCGTAGGGAACTGTGAAAAAAAAAGGTCCGTGAAATGAGCCCATTTTCGCAGGAGCGCCAGGTCTATGCGTCGGTAGCACGAACCGACCGTCGAAGCGGCAATTTTCGACGAAAATCGGGATTTGTGCCATGCGTCGGAAGCACGAAACGACCGTCCGAACACGATTCGCCGGAAGCACGAAACGACCGTCCGAACACGATTCGTTCGCAACGGTCCGGCTGGAAACAGCTGCCCAAGGTTTATGGCATCGGCGTCGACGGCGTGCCTCAGGTCCAGCGACGCGTGGAACGCCTTCGCGGCGGTGCGGGCGTCGACGTCGAGCCGGCGGCGGTCGACGCGCACCGAGAGGTCCTCGGCTTTCACGGAGACGCCGGGCGCGTCGATCTTGTGCGCAAACCTGAAGAGGAGCTCGACGTCCTCGTCGCTCTGGGCCCACTGGAACGCCGGCGCGATGTGGTTGCCGACGCGCCGCCACTCGCCGTCCGCGGCGCAGGCCGTTAGTAGCAGCGCGAGCCGCATATGGCTCCAGCCACGCGCGGAGTGGCATCAGGAGCAGCCCATCAGCTATGCGGGCAGCACTGCGCGCCCAGCAAGTCCATTAGGAGCAGGACATTAGCTATGCGGGCAGCTCGACCCCAGCAAGTCCATGCTCGAGCAGCCGCCGCGCCGATGTTGAGGAGCGTAAGGGGGTGGGTGAAGTTGCACGGCGCCACCGATGGCTGCGTCCTCGTGGCGAGCGCGGCGGCTTCTGCCGTTGCTCCTTTTACCCTGCGTCGGCGGCTTCCTCGGCTTTCGGCGGCCGCGGCGGCGCGCCCCGGCCCTGGCCGCGGCGCCGGAGGCGTCGACGCTCGAGTGGATGCGGCTGCGCGTGCTCGTCGACGGCGACCGGGGCGTCGAGGGCCGGCGCGCGCCGTTTTTCTCCCTGCGGCAGTTCGACGCCGAGGAGCTCGTCGACCCGGCGACGGTGGCGAACCTCGAGGGCGCCGCGGGCGCCGCGCTGCGCCACGTCGCGCTCCGGCTCGGCGACGGCGAGGCCGGCAGGCTCCGGGCGCGCTTCGCGGTCCTCCGGGCCGCCGCGGGCGGCGACGCGGGCGCCTGCGCCTTCGTCGACGCCGTGGACGGCGTCGTGAGCGGCGGCACGGTGCTCATCCCCGGCGTCGGGCCCGTCGGGGGCCGCGGCTACGCGGACGCGTTCACGCGTTTCGCGGCCGAGGTCGAGTGCGCCGTCGAGCCCGTGGACTTCTGCCTGAGCCTGCTGGACCGGCGCCAGGGTTTGGACGCGACGGCGGATTTGGCCCGGGGCGTCGCCATGGAGACCATGTCCGCGACGCGCGCGCTCAACGACGCGTCGAACGCGCTCTTACGGGTGGCATCCTACGGCGTCAAGGGCGACGTCGCGTCGACGCGCGCGGAGATCGCCGCGCTGCGCGACGAGCTGCCGTCGCTGCGGGGCTACGAGCCGGCCTGCGGCGCCTACCTCGCGGCGCTGGAGCTGTTGGCGCTCTCGGAGAGCGAGTACTCCGCGGAGCGCGCGGTCGTCGAGGACGGCACCTTCGCGACCTTCTACCTCGAGGGCGACGCCGCCGAGGCGGCGACGACGCAGCGGTTGGGTGCCGAGCTGGGGGACGCCTACTCGGTAGCGCTCCAGCGCTTCCTCGGCGAGCTCACGCGCCGCGGCGCGATCGCGGGGGGCGGGTCGTCGCTCGTGGGCGCGCGCGGCGCCGCGCGCGCGCCGGATTTCGGCGACTCGGACACGGCGGGCCTCGGCGTGGCGTCGACGTCGACGAACCCGCTCATCGCGGGCCTCAACTTCAACTTTGCCGAGTGGGAGATGCGGTTCCGGCGCAAGCTCGCCGCGAAGCGCGGGTCGACGAGCGGCCTCCAGCCCGCCGACTTCGTGGGCACCTGGCGCCTGACTTTGGTCGACGAGGCGACGCAGCGCGCGTCGCCCATCCTCGGCGGCGTCGACGTCGTCGACGGCGACGACGGCGAGTTCGTGAGCGTCGAGTTCCTCGACGACGGCGTCGTCGAGGCGCTCGGGGGCCCCGCGGGGGCGAAAAACAAGCAGGGCAAGGTCGCGGCCTACTGGGAGAAGCGCAAGCCGCCGCGCTGGCGCGTGCGGCCGGGCCCCGCGCACCTCGACACGTGCGAGTTCGAGCTCGACGTCAACGAGGAGCGCGTCGCGTTCTGCGGCTACGTGGACCGGGGCCAGCGCATCGAGGCGCGCTTCAGCCGCCGGCCCATCCGCGTCTCCGGCTTCGCCTTCGAGAAGATGATGACGCCGCGGCGCTTCGACGCGGACGCGCGGCCGTCCGGCCAGTTCCGGATGTCGTCCGTCACGGACGGCGGCGGCCCCGGCGACGCGTAAGGACGGCCGTTTAGGCTACTCCGTCGCCTTGTCGGCGCGCAGGCTCGGCTGGAGGTAGCCGTGGAGCCCCGCGTCGAGCATGGCATTCGCGTCCGCCTCCGCGTCCTCGGAGATCTGCTCGTCGACGGCCGTCGCGAGCTCCATGGGGAGGTGGTGCGCGACGGACGACGACGTCGTGTACATGGAGCGCATCTGCATCTTGTAGAGGTAGGTGAGCACGGAGAGCGCGAGGACGCAGTAGCCCTGGGAGAAGGCGTGCTTGAGGAAGAAGAGGCCGACCATCGTGAGCTGCATGATGAAGATGGAGAAGAGCGTCCGCCGGTAGATGCGCGGCCAGAGGAGGCCGCCGCTCTCGAAGATGGGCTCGTAGACGTAGAGGAGCTGGTGCCGGTAGACGACGGACGCCCAGCCGAAGAAGAGCAGGCCCGGCACTAAAATGATCGGCGACATGACGCAGTACGTCATGAGCAGCACGACGACGAGCAAATCCTGCGCGCCGTACTTGCCGTAGGAGAACCAGCCCGGGTTCTCGAAGTCGCGCAGGCCCAGCACCTCGGCCCGCTGGTCCCGCGGCGTCGACGACGGGTAGAGGCAGCGCTTGAGGGCCTGCTGCACGGCCGCGACGGCGCGGCAGAGCTCGATGCACAGCCCCGAGAAGACCTTGATGAAGATGTAGCAGGAGAAGAAGGCGCAGACCTGGGGCAGCGACTCGCCCAGGAGGCTCAGCGTCGCCTGGGGGTCGTCGATGATCTTCTGGAGGCACTTGACCAGCGAGCCCGCGATCGTCGTCACGAGCAGCACGTTCGTGATCTGGAACGAGTAGTAGCGGCTCAGCTGCGTCAGCGTGTTCTCGCTCCAGCTCAGCGTGCCCTCCCAGAAGCCCAGCCCCAGGAACGCCGGCGGCAGGAGGAGCATCAAAGCGATGAGCGCCATCGGCTGCACCATCTTCACGCACGCGTCGAACGCCAGCGAGTCGCTCGCGAGCTCCTTGAGCGCGGGCCAGTGGGCCTTGAGCGCCTGCTCGCTGAAGACGAGGGAAATCAGCGTCACGGGGATGATGTAGAAGATGAGCAGCAGGACCACGAGGCAGTCCGCGACGACGCGCCGCGTCGTCCGCTGCTTGCCGCTGAGCTCCGCGTTCTTCCAGAAGACGTCGCGCGGCTCGGGCGCCATGGACGCGACCATGCCGCCGGGCGTCGCCGCGTGGAAGACCTGCGTCGCGACGGCGGCGCCCGTGAAGGCCCGGAAGGTCACGAAGCCCGTGTCGTAGAGCGTCGCGCGGCGGCCGCCGGCCTCGCCCTCCTTGATCGGCGGGCCCGACGCGCCGTCGAGGAGCCCCGCGCGCTCGACGACGTCGCGCTCGCGCTTCAGCCCGAAGCCGACGAGCAGCTTGTCGGAGAAGGACAGGTCCGCGCCGTCGCTCCACTCCTCGTACATGACGCCGCCGCCGCCGCCGCCGCCGTCGTCGTCGCCGAGGTCGACGTCCGCGGCGCCGCAGAGCGCGTCGCCGAGGGACGGCGCCGCCACCTCGCGGTCGTCGTCGGGCGGCGCGGCCTCCTGGTACGAGTCCGCGGTTTGCGGCGCGGCGGCCCGTCGGGGCTTGCCGACGAGCGCGTCCGCGAGCGCCTGGCGCCGCCGCTCGCGCGCGATGCGCTCGTCGAAGGTGCGCTGCTGCGCCGCGTGGTGCTGCGCGCGCTCCTGGACGCCGAAGGCGCAGCGCCAGCAGAGCGGGTCGTACGCGTCCTCGAGCGCGCGGTGCGCGCGGTCGCCCGCGCGCGCGCACGACCCGCGGTCGCGCTTCGGGTACTCGCCCTCGCGCGCCTTGGCTAAAGCGCGCCGGTGCGTGACGCGGTCGAGGCGCGCCGCGGCGGCCTCGCGCGCGACGAGCAGGCCGTCGAGGTGCGCGACTTTCCGGCATACCACCGCGCCGACGACCTTGCCCGGGTAGAGCTTCGCGAAGTAGGCGGCGAGCGCGTCGGAGGACCGCAGCTCCCGGGGGACCTGGCGCACTAAAATCGTGCGCTGGCGCACGTCGTCGCGCTGCGTGAGGAACCGGTGCCGGAGCCGCGTGTACCAGCGGCACTCGCGCGCGAGGAAGTGCATCGACAGGAACGTGAGGAGGAAGCAGCCGACGCAGTGGGCCCACATGCGCTTGTCGTGGACGGGCATGGCCGACATGGATAAGCGGTTGAACGTGTTGTCCTTGCTGCTCGTCGCGCCGTCGTCGTCGTCGCTACTCGTCCGACCCGGCCAGTAGCTCACGGACGCGTTCACCGGTAGGAGCACGATGAACGCGTAGGGCGCGAAGGACCCGAAGATCTTGAGCGAGAGGGACATGAAGCGCAGGTAGATGAGCACGTCGTAGCCGCCGTAGCGCAGGATGTCGTCCTCGCCGAGGCGCATGAGCGGCCGCACCCACGACAGCGGCGCGCCGGGCTTCGCGCCGGGCACGTGGAGCACCGGCGGGCACGTCCCGGGGCAGAGCGTCGCCTTGGGCGAGAAGATGCGCATGTTGCGCCGCCGGAAGACCTCGAAGAACGTCACGCAGACGATGCCCACCCACAGGTTGGTCAGCGCGACGACGATGACCGTCGACATGTCCAGGTTCGCCGGCTGCGCGTAGGCGCTCGGGTCCTCCAGCCACGACGGGATGATGTCCTTCATCGTGGGCGACGAGGCGGCGCGCGACGCCGGTCGGCCCGCGTGCACGACGCACTCACGACGGAGTTCAACGCCCCCATTGGCAATGACATTGCCGTAGGGTTGCAGTCTGGCCCGGCGGCTCACTAGTGCGGCTCTCGGCGCCCCGCTCTGTTACATGTTCTTGCTTCGTATCTGCAAGCTCGCGCGCGCTCGCTTCGTTTCTGCTAGCGCGGAGGCTGTGGCGGCGGCGCTGGCCTAGAGCGAGTCGTCGTGGGGAGCCGGGACGTCGCCGTAGGCGACGACCGCGACCGGGTCCGCCGCGGGGCCGTTCGGCCAGTGGATGCGCAGGACCGTCAGGCCGGGCGTGCCCCGCGCGACCTGGACGACGGACCGGCACTTGGCCTGCGTGGGGGGCGGGCCGTCGCTCGGACGTGGCGCGCGCGGCGCGCGTGGACGCGGGCGCTCGCGAAGAAGCCGCAGCCGCCGCTGGGGATGCCGTAGCGTACGAAGAGCTGGTGGAAATTGCCGTAGTCCGGGTGGTCGCGCGAGAGGATGTAGATGAAGAGGTCCTCGCCCTTGTCCCGCGCGTTCGTGACGAAGGACTTGTGCTTGTGCGCCTGGACGAAGCCGAGGGCCTTGCCCGCGGAGTAGCACGTGGCCCAGACGCCCGCGTAGGCGGGCCGCCCGCGCTCGTAGTGGTCGTACGGTCGCAGCAGGTAGGGCGTGCCGTCGACGCAGAGGAGGTTCTCCGGCGCGACGTTCGTCGCGTGGTAGAGGGACCCGCCCTCCGCGCGCGCCTGGAGCCAGGTCTTCGAGGGCTCGAGCCAGTTCGCCGCGTCCGAGTCCTCGTAGACGCACGGCGGCTCCGTCGGGAGCAGGCCCTTGAGGTCGGGCTGGTTCATCAAGATCGTCGCGATGATGCCGTCGCCCAACACCATCCCGCGGCGGAAGCGATCGCTGTTCGCCCGCGCGATGGCGCGCTCCGCCGCGCGCCGGTCGAAGTGCTTGGCTACATCCTCCGGGTCCAAGTACGGCATGATGGCGCGCACGATGGTCTTCAAGATCAAGCGGAAGACGCGCTGCTTGCCGAGCTGCCTGTCGGTCGCGGGACGCGCGTCGGGCCGCGACGCGCGACGCGTCGCGCGACTCCCGGTCTGGAGACGTCGGGCGGACGCCGGGCGTGCACATCGTTGCGTACCTGCCGGGTCGCGCGTCGAGCCGACGGCGCCCCCGGGCGACGCGTCGCGCGGCGCGAGGGCGTCGCCGCCGACCCGTTCCGCCGAGCGAACGGCTCGCGGGATCGCGCGCGGACGCCGGCCGCGCACTCCTGGCGCGTCGCGATGCCGTGCTCCGACGTCTCATAGCTGCGGAGTCGCGCTCGGGACACGACGGCGCCCCCGGGCGACGCGTCGCGCGGCGCGAGGGCGTCGCCGCCGACCCGTTCCGCCGAGCGAACGGCTCGCGGGATCGCGCGCGGACGCCGGCCGCGCACTCCTGGCGCGTCGCGATGCCGAGCGCCGACGTCTCATACCTGCGGGGTCGCGCTCGAGCCACGACGGCGTCGCGCGGCGCGAGCGCGTCGTCGCCGAGCGCGGCGGCCACGTTCGCGCGCGGACGCCGGCCGCGCACTCCTGGCGCGTCGCGATGCCGTGCTCCGACGTCTCATAGCTGCGGAGTCGCGCTCGGGACACGACGGCGCCCCCGGGCGACGCGTCGCGCGGCGCGAGCGCGTCGCCGCCGACCCGTTCCGCCGAGCGAACGGCTCGCGGGATCGCGCGCGGACGCCGGTCGCGCACTTCTGGATCGCCGCCTCCCGGGCCGCCGACGTCTCATACCTGCAGGGTCGCGCTCGGGACACGGCGCCCCCGGGCGACGCGTCGCGCGGCGCGAGGGCGTCGCCGCCGACCCGTTCCGCCGAGCGAACGGCTCGCGGGATCGCGCCCGGACGCCGGCCGCGCACTCCTGGCGCGTCGCGATGCCGTGCTCCGCCGTCTCATACCTGCAGGGTCGCGCTCGAGCCACGACGGCGTCGCGCGGCGCGAGCGCGTCGTCGCCGAGCGCGGCGGCCACGTTCGCGCGCGGACGCCGGTCGCGCACGTCTGGCGCGACGCCTCCCGGGCCGCCGACGTCTCATACCTGCAGGGTCGCGCGTCGAGCCACGACGGCGCCCCCGGGCGACGCGTCGCGCGGCGCGAGCGCGTCGCCGCCGACCCGTTCCGCCGAGCGAACGGCTCGCGGGATCGCGCGCGGACGCCGGCCGCGCACGTCTGGCGCGACGCCTCCCGGGCCGCCGACGTCTCATACCTGCAGGGTCGCGCGTCGAGCCACGACGGCGCCCCCGGGCGACGCGTCGCGCGGCGCGAGCGCGTCGCCGCCGACCCGTTCCGCCGAGCGAACGGCTCGCGGGATCGCGCGCGGACGCCGGCCGCGCACTCCTGGATCGCCGCGATGCCGTGCTCGGTTTGGCGGTATTCGCGCATCCATTGGTTTATGGCGCAGCGGTCCCCGTTGCCACAATTGCGACATTCGCCGCAGGGGGCGCCTTTAAGTTCGAGCTTTCGCTGTTTGATTGATTTGATTTTCACGGCCTCACAAACATCTTTATCATCATCAGAATCTGTATCCATACCCTCATTGCGCACAGAACGCATGATCTTCGACAAATTTTGTGACGCCACGCGTTTCGGCCGCGACATCTTCTCGACGCCGTCAACGGCCGGTCGTGACTGGAGGCAAATGCACCCGCCTGCCGACCCCTGGCCAACTCGGAGACGGCGAAGCGTACCACGACCGATCCCTCTCCCTAGCTCGCCGGGGGTCCGCAGGCGGGTGAGTGCACAGGGGGGCACGCTCCGCGCGCGTGGGATACCATGTGCGGTCGGCACCCGGACTAGATTTGGCTCCAAACCCACGGGGGGCGCGCGACATCACCTATCTCATCGTGCCTATAAAACCGGCCTCCGACTACAAACCGACTAGATCGACCGACTACTTGGCCGGCTATTTGGTCGCTAGGCCCTTCGCGGGCGCATCCCGCGGACCCGGGCAGGCCCGGTACGCACCACATAATGAACGTCTCGCGGAGCCCGGCGAGGAAGAGCGCGCAGACGTAGGGGCAGTGGCACTCGACGGTGCACCGGTTGAGGTCCTTGAGGCTCCCGAGGGGCTTCTCGAGCGCGCGCCCGTGGCTCTTCGGCGGCCCGGGCTTGAGGCGCAGCGGCGCCGCGCCGAGGGCGGTCCCCGCGTCCCTGTGGTCCAGGTGCCAGGCCGCCGGATCGAGGCCCAGCGTCGCCGCGAGCGCCGCCGTCGACGAGGCGCCGTTGAAGGCCGCGATGAGCGCCGTCGTGCGGGAGCGGAACGCGCCGTCGACGCGGGCCGCGCGCGCGAGGAGCAGGCGGACGCGCGCGACGTCGCCCGTCGCCGCCGCGTCCGCCGTCGCCGGCAGCTGCAGTACCTCGGCCGGCGCGGCGCCCTCGCGCGCGGGCACGCGATTCAAGAAACGGTATCGTTCGCCGAGGAGCCGGTAGGCGTCCATGACCCGCGCCAGGAGCGCCGTGAGCCGCCCGCTCTCGGACTCGGCGTCGCAATGAGCTTTGACGGCGGTCAATGTTTTACCCTGCCCACGCCACTGGAAAATCGACGATTTTGGGCACCTCGACCGCGGACCCCCTGCTTGTCTCATCGTGATGGACGTTTATCTGGGGCTCCGGAACCGCAGCCGATCATGCTAGGTCATCGATTGGCACAAGTTATGGCCGAAAATATCGGTTTTTGGAGATTTCCGGCGTGCGCGAGCGCCACGTACGCGTGTCCACCCGACGGCGGCGGGTGCCACGCACGTCCACGCTAGCCCAGGGAGTCCACCCGGGCCCCAGGCGGTCGCGCGGGGCGCCGAAGCGAGTATATACGGCCGTATACGACGCGTTTGTACTGGTTTAGTACGGCTAGGGTGTACTGGCGAGGCAACAACGGCAGGAAAACAGGCGCGCAGAGCACCGTTTCGACGGCCGAGCGTCTTCTGGAGTCGAGACAAGATGTCTCGACGCAACGCCAGCGCCAGTTCGCGTTCGTGGGCGCGTCGTCGCTGTAGACCGTGTTGGTGTCGTTTTCGAGGCGCTGGCAGGAGGCGCCCAAGCTGTTGCTGTCGAGTGCCGCGTTCACCTGACGCGCGGGCCAGCGGAGCCCCGGTGATCGGTCGTGAGAGGGTATCGGAACCGCTCTGGACGTCCAGGGGCGTCGCGGCGCCGCACACTGGCTCGTTTTGACCGCCGCCAATCGATGAGAATCGAGGAATCGAGGCCGTAGGGTGGTCCGACGGTGGAGCTGTCCGGGTTTCGCGAGACATGTTCTTCGTAGCAACCCTCTCCGCACTCCCTCCGGAGAAACCCGGACAGCTAGGTCCGGAACACGTCCAACACGCGCCAGCCGTCTCGAGAGAACGCTCCGACGAGGCCGTTGCGTTTTCGACGACGCCCGGACCGTTTCGCGCGCGGCGTCTTCGCAGTGGTCTGGCCACGCACGGTCCCGAGGCACATGCGGGAGCGCGCGGCCCCACTCCCCGGGGGCGCCGCGCACGCGCTGTCGCGGCGGCCGCTCTCCGAGCCGCTCGAGGGCCTCACCCAAAGTCAAGTTTGACCGGGTGGGCAGGGTAAATGTTGGCTGAGCAGCATCTTTTTTGCTCTATCGACCGGGGCAGCTCGGCGGTCGACATCGTTCGAGATGGTGTCGGTTTGAACGAGAACCGTATCGCCTTTGGTTGCGTCCCGCCGCCCGCGCGCCGCTCGATACGTCGAGGACCTTTGGTTGCGTCCCGCCGCCCGCGCGCCGCTCGATCCCTCGAGGACCGCGATGATGGAGCCGCCCCTCGCCGGCGGCGGCATAGGCGGCCACCCCGAGGACGGGGCGGCCTACGCGACGCTGCTCAACACGGTGGAGTCGCTGCAGGCGGACCTGCAGCAGACGATCACGACGTGCCACGGCCTGCGCGAGGCGAACGCGCAGCTGAACCGCGAGCACGAGGCGACCAAGGCCGAGCTCGCGCGCCAGCGCGAGAAGGTCTCGGCGAACCGCGGCGAGCTCATCCGCGCGTCCAAGGCGAAGATCGAGGCGGACCGCCACACGGAGCTGCTCGTGAGCAAGTGGAAGGTGCAGCTCGACGAGCGCACGCGCGAGCTCGAGGAGCTCCAGGGGAAGCTCGTGCCCCAGGACCTCGACATGCTCCGGATCCAGGTCCAGGAGGAGCTCGAGGCGCCGCACCAGCAGAAGATCGCGGACCTCGAGGCCCAGGCGCGGTCCTTCCAGCAGATGTTCTTCAATGTGCGCCGCGAGCTCGAGCGGTCCAAGACCGAGTTCGAGCAGTTCTCGGGCTACGAGGCCGCCGCGCGGCGGAACGACGGCGAGCGGGCCGCCGCGGAGGCGCGGTCGCTCCGCGCGCGGATCGCGGAGCTCGAGTCGGGCCAGGGCGCCGGCTCCCTCGCCGAGGCGGAGGCGAACGGCCGGCGCCTCGAGGGCAAGGTCGTCGGATTGGAAGTAGCGAACCGCGAGCTCCGGGCCGAGTGCGACGCGCTCCGGAAGGACGGCGAGCGCGCCGCCGCGGACGTCGCCGACGCGCTGGCCGCCAAGGCCAAGGCCGGCGCGGCCGGGGTCGAGGAGCTCGCGGGCCTGCGGAGCGCGGTCGCGGCGCTCGAGCGCGACCTCGCGGACGCGCTCCGGAGCAAGGAGGCGCTCGCGCGGTCCGTCGACGACGGGAAGCGCCAGGTCGCGGCCCTGGCCGACGACGCGGCGGCGGCGGCGCGGGCCGAGGAGAAGCGCGCCAAGGCGCACCGGTCCCGCGTCGACGAGCTCGAGTCGCGGGTCCTCGAGCTGACGCGCGACCTCGACGCCGCGCGCCAGGACGCCGCGCGCGACGAGGAGTCGTTCCGCCGCCGCCTCGAGGCGCTCGAGAGCGACGCGTCAACGGCAAAGCGCGCGGCCTTCGAGGCGCGCGTCGAGTGCGACTCGACCGTCGCCGCGGCGCGGTCCGAGTGCCAGGCGCTCGTCGCGAGCCTCGAGGAGCGCGTCGTCGTCCAGGACCTCGACAAGACCGACCGCGACAAGAAGCGCCGCGCGGAGGACGCGGCGCGCCTCGACGAGACGCGCAAGCTCGAGGCCCAGCTCAAGGTCGCCGCCGCGAACGCCGCGCGCCTCGAGGCCGATGCGGAGCGGGGCCTCAAGCCCAAGCTCCTGCAGCTCGCCGACGACAAGGCCAAGGTCGAGGGCGAGCGCGACGGCCTCCAGCGCAAGCTCGACGTCCTCGTGGGCGCCCAGGACGCGGCCCTCAAGGCGCGCGACGACGCGGACCGCGCCGCGGGCGAGCTCGCGGCCGCGAAAAAGGCGCTCGCGGACCTCGAGCGCGACGCCGCGGACCTCAAGGCCGACAAGGAGCGCATGCGCGAGGCCCACGCCATGGCCCTCGGCGAGCTCAAGAACCAGGTCGCCAACGACAAGCTCAACGTCGCCGCGGCCATCCGCGCCGAGACGGAGAACATCCGCCGCCAGGCCGAGGAGCAGCTCCGCCGCGAGCGGAAACGCGCTGCAACCTACAAGGAGAAGTGCCTCGCGGCCCACGAGCGCGAGAAGCGCGCTACCGCAACGCTCAAGACCGTCTCCCGGAACCAGGCCGCCGACCGCGTCGACGCCATGACGACCCTCGGCGCGCCCGCGGGGAACTGAGAGCGCGGCGTCAATAAGGGCGGTTGCATGCATGCTCCGAGGCGGGGCTAGGATGCCCGGTGGGCAACACCTGAAGCCCCGGGGCAGATCCTACCCCCCGCCCGTGCGCGCGCGCGTTCCCCCAAGCATAACGGGTGAGCGTCAACTTAGATAGACAGCGACCGCACGAAGTTGATGGGCACGTCGTCGGGCCACGTGAGCTCGTGCCGCTGGAGCTCGTCGTCGCTGAGGACCTCGCCCTCGAGGAAGCCCGGCGGCGGCAGGCCGGCGGGGTACATGACCGGGTCGAGCTCCGCGGACTCCTCGTCCGACGACTCCTCCCAGCGCTCGCCGCCCGGTCCGCCGACGCCGAAGTCCGACGACGCGTCGGAGTCCAACGGGTCCGTGAACCGGTACTCGCCGTCCTTGGACTCCTCGACGCCGACGGGCGCCTCCTTGGACTCCTCGACGCCCGCGCACGCGGCGCCGGCGCTCGGCTCCGGCGGCGGCGGCCGCGCGTCGGGCTCGGGCGGCGCCGGCGCGGCGACGGCGGGCGCGGGCGCCTCGGGTCTCGGCGACGCCGGCGGCGCGAGGACGGGCGACGCCGCGGCGCGCGGGCTCCGGGGCTTGCGCGCCGAGATGGGCGGCAGCATGCTCGCGCCCGGCGCCGCGCGGGCCGCGTCGTCGTCCGCGGCGGCCGCGGCGCCCGCCGGCGGCGACACGGGCGCCTTGGCCTGGGACGGCGGCCGCGGCGAGAACTTGGCGTCCTTGGGCAACACCTTCGCCTGGTGGAACTCGACGATGCGCCGCGCCTCCTCGCGCGCGAGGGGCGACGCCTTGGGGCCGAGCTTTGCGTTCGCGGCGGCGAGGTCGAGGTGCGGCAGCGGGCGGAAGAACGTGAGCTCCAGCGGCCGCGGCAGGCGCGGCAGCGAGAGCACCAGCGCCTCGAACATGGCCTTGGTCAGGGCGTCCGTCGCCAGGGCCTTGCCGCGGACCGCGTGGAGCACGTCGTCGACGCGGACGCCCGCCGCGGCCGCGGCGCCGTCGGGCCGCACCCAGCTCACCTTGGCGCAGTGCGGCCGCGCGTCGACGCTGGCCACGAGCTTCAGGCCCAGAGCCGAGCCCTTGTCGAGCGTCATGTCCACGTAGTCGCCGCGTTTGAACGCCGGGCTGCCCGGCAGCGGCTTGAAAGCCGGCGGCGGCTTCGGCGGGGCCGCGGCCTTGCGGGCCTGCTGCGCCTTGAACACGTTCTCCTTGGCGACGAGCTTGTCGCCGACGACGTGGAGCGTCGTATTCCATTGCTTCTGCTCGCTCTCGAGCTCCGGCGGCTCGACCGGGAAGCCGGCGAACGATGCCATCGTTTTTCAAGCCTGATTAGACTGAAAAAGTTCGACACGTTCAAGGTGACTTCAAAGAGGGCCTCGTCCCCCGCATGGCATGGAGTTGTTCGATACAAGTAGACTTGATGCTTACGACGATCTGCTCGAGGCTGCCTGCGATGCAGCAAACGCAGAAGCTGCAGCGCTAGCTGCGATACGCGACAGCCCGGAGGGGCGCGCGAAACTCATGGCCTCCGTCGCAAAATCCTGGGCCGAGGCCGAGGGCGTTCCCTACCCACTGACGCCGCGACCGCTCCAGTTCCAGTGCGTCACCTTGCTGCTGCGGAGCGCCGCGTCGTTCGACGCCGATTCGAGACGCTACCTCGCGGAGACGCTGGTCGACGTGTGCGGCCTCGACGGCATCATCGCGCAAATGCGCGACGCCGAATGCGTCGCCGGCCTCGCGTATTTGCCGGGGTGCGACGACTTTTCGCTCGTCGACGACCTCCGCCGGCGCCTCGCTCAGCGACCGAAGACGGCGCGCGAGACGTTCGAGCCTCTCAGCCAGAGGATCATTCCCGACGCTCGCGCCGCCGACGTCGCGATCGTCGCGCGCGCGCTCCTCGGCGACGGGCGCTACAGGCGCGACATGGTCGGCGCGCCGTTGCCCAAGGCCGCGCAGGACCTGTGCCGGCGGCTGCGGAACCGCGCGGCGAAGATCGCCGCGCCGCCGCCGCCGCCGCCGCCGCGGCTCCGCGCGGAGCCGCGGGGCGGCCACCCGACGCGCGGGCCCTGGTTCCCGGGCTACGAGCATTAGGAGCCGGACGGGGGCTGCGTGGACTTGTGGACGAAGGAGTCGTAGGGCATGACGGACTCGAACTCCGCGGGGCGGTCGAAGGCCGCGTGGCAGAGCCGCCTGCGGACGTCGTCGATGTCGTCGGCCGCGCGGGAGAGGACGTGGGCGACGACGTCCTCGACGGCGATGGGCCGCGCGCGGACGGCGTCCGGCAGGCTCCCGAGCGCGTCCCGGAGGGACCGGGGCTCGAGGCACGCCGGCGGCGCCTCCGAGCGCGCGTCGTCGTGGCCGTCGCCGCCGCGCGGCGTCTTCTCGCCGTGGTGGGGCGGCAGGGCGCGGAGCAGGGCGTCGACGGGCAGGCTCGCGTCGTCGGACGGCTCGAGCCTGTGTGCGAAACAACCAGTGGAACGCCCCGTCCAGCAAGAACTTCAAACCTCTCGAGCTCGGTCAAATCGAAGTCTTTTTGGCTGATTTTTGGACAAATCGTTTTCTCTCGCCGAGTTCTTTTCAAACAGCGTATGTCGAAACCGTGCGAATACATGCACATTGAAGTCGTGTTGAATATTTTTGTTTCCTGCCCAGGCTCGAGCGCGTGCCAGAGCTCGCGGGCCTCGCGGACGAGGAACCGGGTCGTGATCGCGACGCGGACGCAGCCGCCGAAGCGCTCGAACTCCACGGGCTTGCCCGCAGCGCAGACGGCGTCGACGGCGGCGAGGATCGCGTCCTCGTACTTTTGGGGCAGGTCGACGCTGAGCGCGCGCACGAGGCGCGACACGTCCTCGCCGAGCGCGTAGGGCGTGCCGCGCCGCGCGGACAGCGCCGAGTACGCCTTCGCGAGCTCGTCGAGGAACTGCTCCGGGTTGCGGTGCGTGAGCTGGAGCATGTGGTAGGAGTGGACGAGCGGGTTCGCGCCGTCGCAGATCTCGTCGAGGTACTGGACGATGAACTCGAGCGGCTTCTCCGGCCGATAGAGCAGCGTCTGCGTCATGATCTCCTGGATGAGCTGCGTCACCTGCGCCTCGTGGTTGCTCGTCGTCGGGGCGTCGGACATGCTGTCGAGGCAGCCCCGTCTCGTTGCGGCGGGTTCAAAGACAGCAGCATCGACCTGACGCTGAGCAATCTCGAGGTATTGCCACTGAAGCATCAGCCTGCTTCCGCAGAGCGCCCGGCCCGTCGTCTGAGAGCGCCTCGATCCGCGCGTCGCGGCGCCTGTTGTGTCCTGCGCCGAAAGAAGCATCAGCCTGTCTTCGCAAAGCGCCCGGCTCGTCGTCTGAGAGCGCCTCGATCCGCGCGTCGCGGCGCCTGTTGCGTCCCGCGCCGAAGAAATGGCGTCGCCCGTGCTCCGTCCACAAACAGAAGAAACGACGAGCCGGATAGCGGCAGTCACCCCTTCCACCTCGGCGCCGCCGCCGCGGATCTTCGGCCCCGCGGAAAGCGCGGCGCCGAGGCCGCCGGTGCTCGGGGCCGGCTGCGACCCGAGCGAGACCGTCGTCCGCCGGCGCGTCTGGGTGGCGGCCGCCGGCGCCTGGTCGCCCTGGGAGTCCGTCGCCGTCGGCGCGGCGGGCGCCGAGGTCGCGCTGAGGCGCGGCGGTCTCGTGACCGTGCACCGCGACTTCGTCGGCGCGGAATCGCGACGCGACATCGGCGACGCCCTGGAGAGGTGCGGCCTCTTCCGCCAGTACAAGTTCGGCAACGTGCCCGAGCCGCGCGTCCACATGCTCCTCGCGCCGCCGGCCGCGGGCGACGGGAACCTCGCGTACCAGTACCACGGCGTGACGATGCGCGCGCGGCCCATCGCCGAGGTGCCGTCCGTGGCCCAGCTGGCCGACAAATGCTCCGCGGCCTTCGGCGGCACGCCCTGGAACGTGGGCGTCGACGTCGTGTGCTACCGCGACGGCCGCGACTCGTGCGGCTGGCACGCGGACGACACGCAGGGCGAGACGCTCGTCCTTGCCGTCGTCCTCGAGTCCGTCGGCGGGCCGCGGCGCGTGCAGCTCCGGCCCAAGCAGCCGCCGCACCGGGCGCCGGGGGGCGCGCCGAAACGGAAGAAGGTGCGGCGGTCCTACGCGCACGTCGGCGAGGCGCCGCTCGCCGACGGCGACGAGGAGCTCGAGCTCTGGGTCGGGGCCGGCGACGCCTACAGCATGGACCGCGGCGTCCAGGTCGGCTACGAGCACGCCGTGCCCAAGGTGCCCCCGAAAGACACGGGCGTCCGCAAGCGCGTCGTGGCCATCCTGCGCGAGGGCGACCGCAAGGCCGCGGGCGCGGAGGCGTTCGACGACGCGGACACGGGCCTCGCGAACGCGTCCCTGGAGCCGCCGGACCGCTGGGACTTCGACAAGCTCGGGGGCCGCTTCGGCCACGTCGACGGCATCCGCGAGGGCGTCCGGGCAAACGGCGACGGCGCGGCCTCGCTGGACGGTGCCGCGCTCTACTCGCGCGAGAGGCTCGTGGAGACGGGCGGCCACAACCAGGCCCAGCGCGGCGTCTCCGGGTCCCTGGTCCGCGGCGCCGAGTCCGTCGTCGTGAGCCGCCAGTCGAGCCGCCTCCGCGAGGCCGACGGCGTGTCGTGGCTCCGCTACACGTCGACGCGGCGCCAGGGCGCGGGCGCGCTCCACCGGTCGCTCGCGAACCGCGACCCCGTGCGCGTCTTCCGGAGCTCCAACCTCGGCGGCGCCTGGGCGCCGACGAAGCCGCCGGAGGCGAAGGAGGCCGCCGTCTACCGCTACGACGGTTTGTACGACGTCGTCGCCATGTGGACCGACGGCGGCGCGCCGACGCGCGACGCGCCCCGGGCGCCCAAGGGCGGCGGCGACGCCTACAAGGGCGCGAAGGCCGACGTGCCGCCGTCGCCCATGGCGCTCCGGAGCCCGGAGCCGGCGCCGGCCGCGCCGCTCGACGCGCTCCAGCGCCTCCCGCCGCCGCAGTACGTGTCCTTTCCGCCGCCGCCGCTCCCGCCGCCGCCGCTCCCGCCGCCGCCGATGCCGCCGCTGCCCCCGCCCCTGGGCGGCGGCGCGGCGCCGCCGTTCTCCGTCGAGGACGGGCCGCACCTCGGCTGCTTCGCGGGCGTGCCGCCGCTCGTCGCGCTCGCGGGGCCGCCGCCGGCGCCGCCGCCGCCGCCCGCGGAGGACGCGCCGCCGCCCGCGCCGCCGCCCGACGCGCTGCGCTACGAGCGCGCCTACACGTTCCGCCTCGAGCGCCGCGAGGCGGGCAACGCGTGCTCGAACGCGGCGTTCCTCGCGTGCCTCTCGGCCGCGGCGGGCGGCCGCGCGCCGGAGCCCGACACCTTCGCCGGCTGCGCGGCGCTGCCGCCCCTGGACCACTGGGCCGGCGGCGACAGCGACGACGACAGCGGCGGCGACGCCTACGACGGCGACGACGAGACGTTCCTCAAGGTCCAGCGCAGGGACGACGCGGTCTTCCGCCGCGCTCGCTGCGCGGAGAAGCTCATGGAGCTCGTGGCGCTCGTCGTCGCCGAGCAGGGCGGCTTCCTCGCGCCCGCCGCCGCGCCGCCCTGGCCGAAGCGCAGGGCGGCGACCATGGCCGACGCGGCGACGTGGCTCGCGCACCGCAAGCTCTACTGGCGCCACGCGCGCCACGCGCGGCGGCGGCCGAAGCTGCTCGAGCTCGCGGCTTCCGCGGCGCCCATGCCGGAGACGAAGCGCGCCCTAGAGTGGGCCGACGCGCTCGGCGCGTCGAGCTCGCGGATCCTGCGGCGCCTCGTCGCCGACGCGACGAAGCGCGAGGACGAGCGGCCCGTGTCCGACGCGCTCCTCGCGGCCGACGACGACGACGGCGCGGCGCCGAAGACCTGCGCGCTCTGCGGCGCGGGCGACGACGAGGCCCTGGGCGCGTTCCTCGCCTTCGCGGACCGCGGCGCGGGCGCCGGCGCGCCGAAGACGCACGTCCACGAGGCCTGCGCGGCGTGCTCGTCGGGCGTGTTCCTCGACGACGGCGGCGACTACTGCAACGTGCTCAAGGAGGTCAAGCGCGGGCGCGGCATGCGCTGCGCCGCGGACAAGGCGTGCACACGGCGGCCGAAGCTGTCCGGCGCGACGGTCGGCTGCGGGAAGAAGTCGTGCAAGCGGAGCTACCACGTGCCATGCGCGCTCGCGACGGGCTGGTGCTTCGGGCCGTCGAAGACCTTCTACTGCGCGCGGCACCGCGGGGGCGTCGACCACGACCCGGACGACGTCGACGAAGCCGCCGCGGCCGAGGAGTCGTGGCTCTTCGACTGCGCCTGCGGCGTGACCGGGGCGAACTTCGACGACGGGTCGGCCATGTGGGCGTGCACCGTCTGCGACGCCTGGCAGCACGCGGCCTGCGCCGGCGGCGGCGACGCGCCCGCGGAGGACTACGCGTGCTTCAAGTGCGTCGCCAAGCGGCAGGCGGCGGCGCCGCCGCTCGACGCGCTCCAGCGCCTCCCGGAACCGGCGCGCGGCTAAGGCCCTTACTCCAGCTTCGCCGACGCGAGCGCGAGCGCGCGCTTCGACTCGCTCTTCATGAAGCCCGCGAAGTCGGCCTCCGACAGGGACCCGGGCTTCGCGGCGAGCGCCTTCGCGAAGTACTCCGACGCCGTCGCGAAGTCGCCCTGGCAGTAGGAGATCACGCCGACGTAGTAGCAGTTGCGCAGCGTCGGGCCGCCCTTCTTGACGGCGCGGCGCGCGTTCTTGATGGCGCCGTCGGCGCTGCCGACGGGCCAGGGCGCGACGTGGTAGAAGCACGCGAGGATCGCGGAGCCGACGTCCGAGTCCCACGTCGCGTGCTTCGCCTGGAGCTCTTCCGCCATCTTCTTGTACGCGGTGCCCGAGCCCGTGAGCGCCTGCTTGACGAGCGACTTGTGGCTGCAGCTGAACATGAAGGCGTCGGCGTAGATGCCGAGGGCCCGCGCGTCCTTTTTGGGCGTCGCCGCGAGGCCGCGCGTCGCGAGGTCGAGCGCGCGCGCGCCGTCCTTCGCCCAGACCTGCTTCCGCTCCGGCGTGTCCGTCGTGCCGTCGATGGAGATCGTGTTCGACACCGTGCGGATGCGCATGGCCGCGTTGACGGCGTCCGCGGCCTTGAGGAGCAGCGACGGCTCGTCGCCGCAGCGCTCGAGCTCGGCCTCGTACATGAGCGCGGCCTTGTCGAGCGACGCGGGCGTCCGCTGCCGGAGCAGCGCGTCGGCGCGCGCGACGTTGAGGCGGTTCGGCGCGCCGGTCTCCGCGGGCGCCGCGGCCGCCTCGGCCGCGGCGTGCGCCTTGGCGCGGCGCTGCAGCAGCATGCGGCCGACGCCCCAGACGCCGATGCCGGCGCCGGCGCCGAGGGCCACGCGCTTGCGCCGCGACATCGTCGGCGCTTCGGTCGTCGCGCTGGCGCTGGCGAGCATCGCCAGGCATGCGAGGGCGCGGAGGAAGCGAGGAGCAGGCATGGGAGCAGACGTGAGCATCGTCGCGATCCAGCGCTCCGACTGCATCTTTGACGGCACGCCGTGTGATTGAAGCTGACACCGCGCGTCCGAGTCCGAGGGTGTAGTCAGCTAATTTGAGTGTTCGAATTGGGTGGTGGGGTCTCTGAATTGTCTCGGCCGCGGAAGTCGCGTCCTCCGTCAAGCCGGCCTTTTCCTCCGTCCGCGCGTCTGACCGGTTCGAATTGGACGTGCCGGCGGCCGAGTCGTCCGTCAGGCCGGGCGCGTCGGCCCAGCCGACGGTCTTGTGCTCCGACGCCGCGGGCGACGCGCCGTCGGCGACGGTGCGCGACCCCCAGGACGCGCCGGACTGGAGCGTCGCGGCCGACTTGAGCGACGTCTCCGGCGAGCAGCCGAGCTCGAGGCCCGCGCCGAGCCAGCCCTCGTGGACGGCCATCTCGAAGCCGATGGGGTCGCGGAGGGGCGACGGGAAGTCCGTCTCCGACGACGCCGAAGAAGACGGCGCCGACGACCGCGCGGGCGCCCAGCTGCTCGCGGCCGTGAGGCGCGCCGTCCCCGCGGAGCCGCGCGTCGAGAGGCGCGCCTGGGGCGACCCGGACGGCGCGGCCCGCTTCGCCGTCCCGCGCGCCGGGACCGGCCCGACGTCGGCCGTCGACGCCGTCGGGAGCTGCTCGACGAGGCGGTGCGTCATCAGGTGGCGCAGGCCCGCGAGGACCCGCGCGGGCGACCGGGGCCGCTTGATCGCGAGGCAGCCGAGGCACGTCGCGGCGATGACGAGGATCGGCGGGCCGACCCAGGCCGCGACGCCGCGGCCGCAGGGCGGCTGGAAGCAGGCGACGGTGCCGCGGTTGCGGTAGACGACGAAGAGGGCGTAGGCGAGGATCAGCGCGAAGAGCACGCCCAGGTTCTGGATGCGCCGGTAGATGGCGTTCGTCGCGTGGCGCGTCCTCGCGCTGCTCGCGCTCGCTCGCAGGAGCGCGCCGCGCACCCTCGACGAGCGGTAGAGCACGTCGCCGAGAAAGCCGAGCTCGACCATGGACACGAGGAGCACGTAGCAGCTGTTCAGGCGCACGTCCCAGCACGCGCCGGAAGCGCCGCGGCGCTTCGTCGCCGGGAGGAGGCTCTGGGCGAGCGTCACGCCCGCCGTCACGGCGCCCACGGCGCAGGACGCGGCGACGAGGCGCGCGCCGCCGTCCGTGCGGCCGTGGCGCGCGTGCCAGTGGGGCGTCCGCGCGCGGCCCGTCGCCGCGCTCGGCGTTCCCACGTGCCGCGAGCTCGCCTGCTGCCGCCGCAGCATGGACTCCAGCGCCTGCCGGTACGTGTCGCAGACCCGGAAGAGCGCGAGCTCGAGGATGAAGCGCACGAGGTGCCACAGGAAGTAGTTGGACCCGGCCCAGTAGACGCGACCGTAGCCGTCGAGGTCCGCCCAGCACGCGACCTGCGCGACGACGGCGAAGCACGCGAGGAGCGACAGGTGCTCGAGCGCGTTCCACCGCTCGGCGACGCCGCGCAGCAGCCGGTCCGTGCGCGACGCGTAGAAGGCCGAGGCCGTGTAGACCGCGAGCGCGCTCAGCACGGCGAGCGCGGCGACGCGGATCGCGGCGAAGGCGGCCCCGGCCTCGTCGGCCCAGGTGTCCTCGCAGTCGCGGCCGCACGTGAACCAGGGGCACGGCCGGTCGCGCAGCGTCCGCTCGTGCAGGCAGGGGCGGGCTGCCCACTCGGCGTCCGACATCGTCATATGACCCGGCACGCACAGGTTGGTCTTGCGGTGGGCAGTGCAAACCTGGTTTGGGCCGCACACTCGCGACGTTGCTTTTCAGCCGCGCGGACTCTGCCGTGATTATGGCGCAGCGCGGCGTCCACGAGCTCATCGAACACCGTGGGCGCGCGTAGAGAGGGTCAGGGGTCGTTGTTCTACCGCGCGCGTGCTTTTTCGCGCGCCGCGCGCGGTTCCAGCAGTCTTAACGGCGACGCGGAACGTACCGACGACGCGAGGGTCTTTCGCGCGCGCAGGCGTCCTTCGCCGCGCCCCCGAGCACGTCGGGGAAGTCGACGGGCATGAGCAACTACGGCGACACGCCCGCGTCGGGCGTCGTGCGCGAGGCGACGGGGTCTCTGCTCGAGAAGGTGCAGGCCGACGTCGCCCACGTCGTCAACTCCCTCGAGTCCATCTGCGCGCGCCGGCGCCCCCCCTTCTTCGAGCCCTGGAACGCGCACGCAAACCTTAACTCCCGGCGCTCCCCCCCCCCGCGCGAACGCCCCGACACGCGCGCGCGCCCCGTAGGGAACGAGGTCGGCTACTCGGGCGAGGAGCGGCGGCTGCAGATGGACAAGCTGAGCGACGAGCTGACGCACACGCTGCGGGCGAAGCTCGCGCAGGAGGTCGAGGTGCGGGACGTCTTCAAGAAGGACATCGCGGACAAGGTCGCGGAGTGCGTGATGATGGCCCGGAGCGTCGACGACGACGGGACGGGCGCGCTGCCGCCGGAGCTCGACGTGTCGAGCCTGCGGCTGTCGCACGGGCTCATGAAGCTCGAGGAGGAGCAGGCGAAGCTCGACGTCGTCGTGAGCGCGCGGACGGCGGAGTTCGCGGAGGCGCGCGACGCGATGCGGGACGCGTCGGCGCGGCTCGGCGAGGTGCTGCCCGCGGAGTTCGACGACGTCGGCCGCGAGGACCTGACGCTCGGGCGGCTCGCGGCGTTCCGGGAGGCGCTGGAGCGGCTCAAGGTCGTCGAGGCCGAGCGCGCCGTCGAGCTCGCGCGGCTCCGCGAGTCGTCGCTCGCGCTCGTCAAAGAGCTCGACGACGAGGCCGTCGAGGCCTACGACGAGTTCGAGGGCGACGACGACTACGTGCGGTCCGACGGGTCCGTGCTCGCCAAGGCGCGGAACTCGCTCGCCGCGGCCAAGGTCGACCGCGCGAAGCGGCGGCTCGCGGCGCTCCGCGACGAGAAGAAGGGCCGGCTCTCGCGGCTGTCGACGCTCGGCGAGGAGATCAGCCTCCTCTGGGAGCGCCTCGACGTCGGCGAGGCGCAGCAGCTCTCCTTCCGCGCGGCCGTGAAGCACTCGTCCATCTCCCGGGCGACGTTCGACATCGGCGAGGCCGAGCTCGGCAAGCTCCGCGGCGAGCTCCACGCGCGGCTCGCGGAGCTCGTCGCGTCGCGGCGGGCGCGCATCCGGGCGCTCTGGGACGAGATGACCGTGCCCGACGCCCAGCGCCGGACCTTCGGCGCCTACTTCGACGCCGGCGACCCCACGGAGGCGTCGCTCGCGGCGCACGAGGCCGAGGTCGCGGCGCTCGAGGCGCGCCGCGAGGCGCTCCAGCCGCTGCTCAAGCTCATCGAGAAGCGCGAGGAGCTCCTCACGGAGCGCACGGCGCTCCACGTCCTCCAGAAGGACGCGAGCCGCCTCCTCCGCCGCGGCCCGGGCGCCGCGACGGAGCGCAAGTACGAGTTCGAGGCCATGAAGCGCGTCAAGCAGCTCCCGAAGCTCACGGAGAAGCTCTTCGAGAAGCTCGTCGAGTGGGAGACGAAGCAGAGCCCCGTGCTCCGCGACGGCGTCCGCTACCTCGACAAGATGCGCGACGACCAGAAGGAGGCCGCGCAGGAGCGCGCGCAGGCGCTCGAGGCCAAGAAGATCGAGGCGACCATCAGGAAAGAGAAGCTCCGCGACCGGAACCTCCAGTGAGCCGCCGGCGCGCGAAACCCCAACCCCGACCCCTCGCAAGACCCCCGCCGCGTAACATCGCGCAGCTCGCACTCGGGGAGGGGATGGAGCCCGAGGTCGCCTCAGAACGCGACGACGAAGGGCAGGGGCGGGCTGCGCGGGTTGGGGTTGCGGGGGAACTTGCGCGCGGACGTGGAGAGCTTGAACTCGCGGAGGGGGTTGGGCTTCCGCGCGCCCTTGGTCGACGGCCGCGACGGCGACGCGGGCGACCGCGGCGCGGCGTCGACGACCGGGAGCCGCGGCGCCGCGCCGCGGAGGCGGCGCATGCCGTAGGCGTCGGAGAAGATGTGGTCGCCCGGCCGCTCCCTCCTGGGCTTGGCCGGCGAGCCGCAGCGGCTGCTGTAGAACTCGACGAGCCGCAGCGCGGCCGTCGCCGTCGCGTCCGCGGCGTCGCGGCCGAGCTCGAGGCGCCGGATCTCGCGCGCGGCGCCGCCGCCGGGGGCGTCGAGGCTCGGCGCCGGCGCGTCGAGGCTCAGCGAGAAGTCCGCGCGGATGCCGTCGGCGAGGCGGCAGTATTCGTCGGCGCCCCGGAACGCGTCGTCGCCCGGCGGCGCGGAGTCGAGCCGCTCCCGCGCGGCCGCGAGCTCGTACTTGACGCGCAGCGCCGGGTCGAGGGCGCTGTAGGCGTGCAACGTGATGGCGGACCCCACCGCGTCCTCGACGACGTCGACGCACGCCGCCGCGCGCGACAGGCCCGCGGCGGACGCGCGCCGGTCGTCCTCGGCGTCGCGCCGCGCCGTCGACGCCTCGCGCCGGAGCTCGCGCGCCTCGGGGCCGCCGGCGGGCGACACGCCGCCGCGCTCGAGGGCCGCCGCGAGGTCCATGATCCGCGCCTCGGCGTCGGCGAGCGCCGCGCGGAGCTCCCTGGCCTCGGCCTCGGCGGCCGCGGCCTTGGCCCGCGTCTCCTCGAGGGTCTTCTTCGTGCCCTTGAGCTGGCGCTTCGTGTCCATCATCTTGAGCGACTCGGCCACGGACAGGCCGCCGCCCTCCTCGAGGGACTTGGCGTCCTCGGACAGCCGGTCGTTCTCCCGCCGGAGCCGCTCGTTCTCGCGCTTGTAGGTGTCGTTGTCCTCCTCGAGCCGGGCGACGACCTCCTCGCTGAGCCGGCCGTTCTCCTTGTGGTAGCTGTCGTTGTCCTCCTCGAGCCGCGCGACCTCCGTCTCGAGGTGGAGCGAGTAGCGGAGCGCGGACGCGACGCGCTTCGCCGACGGGTCGTCGGTCGCGGGCGGCCCGTGCGTGTCGCACCGGTCGTGCGCGGGCGCGAGGTCCTCCGGCCGGTCCCCGGGGGCGGGCTCCGGCCGCTGGTAGCCCGGCGGGGGCCGCGCGGCGACGTAGTACGCGGGCTGGTAGCCCGGCGGCGGTCGGTGGAAGACGGGCACGACGTCCGCGCGCTGCTCGTGGTAGCCCGGCGGCGGCTGATGATAGACCGGGTGGAGGTCCTTGCGCTGCTCGTGGTAGCCCGGCGGCGCGTGGCCGGCCACGGGGACCAGGTCCTTGCGCTCCTCGTGGTAGTTCGGCGGCGCGTGGCCGGCCACGGGGACCAGGTCCTTGCGCTCCTCGTGGTAGTTCGGCGGCGCGTGGCCGGCCACGGGGACCAGGTCCTTGCGCTCCTCGTGGTAGTTCGGCGGCGGCTGATGATACACGGGCTTCAGGTCCGCGCGCTGCTCGTGGTAGCCCGGCGGCGCGTGGCCGGCCACGGGGACCAGGTCCTTGCGCTCCTCGTGGTAGTTCGGCGGCGCGTGGCCGGCCACGGGGACCAGGTCCTTGCGCTCCTCGTGGTAGTTCGGCGGCGGCTGATGATACACGGGCTTCAGGTCCGCGCGCTGCTCGTGGTAGCCGGGCGGCGGCTGGTGATAGACCGGCTGCAGGTCGGCGCGCTGCTCGTGGTAGCCGGGCGGCGGCTGATGATAGACCGGTTGCAGGTCGGCGCGCTGCTCGTGATAGCCCGGCGGCGGCTGGTGATAGACCGGTTGTAGGTCCGCGCGCTGCTCGTGGTAGTTCGCCGGCGGCTGATGATAGACCGGTTGCAGGTCGGCGCGCTGTTCGTGGTAGTTCGCCGGCGGCTGATGATAGACCGGTTGCAGGTCGGCGCGTTGCTCGTGGTAGCCCGGCGGCGGCTTGTGGTCCACGGGCATCAGGTCCTTCCGCTCCGATCGATCCATCGCCGGTGCGGGCGCCAGATGATGCACGGGCATCACGTCGGCGCGCTGCTCGTGGTAGCCCGGCGGCGGCTGGTGATAGACGGGCATCACGTCGGCGCGCTGCTCGTGGTAGCCCGGCGGCGGCTGGTGATAGACGGGCAGCACGTCGCCGCGCTGCTCGTGGTAGCCCGGCGGCGGCTGGTGATAGACGGGCAGCATGTCGCCGCGCTGCTCGTGGTAGCCAGGCGGCGGTCGATGATAGACCAGCATCACGTCGCCGCGCTGCTCGTGGTAGCCCGGCGGCGGCTGGTGATAGACGGGCAGCATGTCGCCGCGCTGCTCGTGGTAGTTGAGCGGCTGGTGGCCATCGGTGGGCATGAGGTCCATGCGCTCGCGATGGCCCACGGGACTCGGAACGGGAAGCAGGTCCGTCCGGTCCTTGTCGACATGGGCCACCGGCGCCGGCGCGGGAGCCTCCGCGGGCACGCTGGTGGTGGCCATATGCGTTTCGGAGAGCTCCACCGGCGGTTGTTTCCCCCCACTTGCATCGATAGTGCAGCTCTACGCTATGGTCGTGATCAAACAGAGCTTTAAAGCGTTCCTCACGAAGCATAAACTGGACGACGCGCCCGCGGCGGCGCGCGCCGACGACGACGATGACTACCGGCAGGGCAAAATCGAGAGCGTGGCGCTGGAGACGGGCTATCGCAGCAGCCCCAGGGCGCGCGAGAAGTTCATGATCTCGGCGGAGGGGCAGCCCGCGCGCGCGCCGCCGGCGCCGAGCGCGCCGGCCGACGCCGGGTCCTGGACGGCGGGCGACGCCGGCGTCGCCAACCCCGCGGAGCCCGCGGAGGCGTACCGCGTCGTGCACGCCGTCGTCATGGTCCGCGCGCGGCCGTCGACGCTCGCGCCGCGCGTGGGCATCAAGCGCGCCGGCGACGTCGTCCGCGGCCGCGTCCTGAAGATGGCGTCGACGGACAACGAGTGGCTCAAGCTCGACGGCGCCGTCGGCTACGTGCTCCTGCACGGCCGCTCCGTCGGCTGCGGCGAACTGCTGCGCCGCGAAGCCGAGGCGGCGGCGTCCGAGGCAGCGCCCGCGGAGGCGCCCGAGGCCGCGGAGGCCGACGGCCGCCGCCTCGGCGAGGCCCGCTTTACGGTGGCCAAGGACTGGAAGGAGCGCCTCGCGCGCGCGGTCGCGCCGGAGCATGAGCCGGCGGCGCCGGCGGAGGCGGCGCACGCGCCGGCGAACACAAAAGCCGCGCCGTCGAGGAAGGCGGCGGCCGCGAGAGCGCCGGTGAAAGCAAAAGCCGCGCCGTCGAGGAAGGCGGCGGCCGCGAGAGCGCCGGCGGCCGAAGCGCCGGCGGCCGAAGCGCCGGCGGCCGCGCCGGCGCCGCCGCCGCCCGCGCGGAGCGCCGCGCGGGACCCGCTCGGCGTCTACGTCTGGCGCCGCGCGTTGGCCTACGCTGGCTGCGCGCGGACCCTGGGCGCCGCGGCGTGCTGCAGCGACGTGCTGCGGCGCGCGGCGAGCGACGACGGCTGCTGGTGGCCCGCGGCGCGGCGCCTCGGCGCGCGGGACGCGGCGAACGCGCGCGACCTCGCGCTGGCCGCGCTCGCGTACCGGAGCGAGACCGCGCGGGGCCGCGCCGTGCGGGCCGAGGGGCGGCGCGCGGAGGCGGACGACCTCGTCGTGTCCCTCGAGCGGACCGCGCCGCACGCGGCGCTCTTCGCCCTCGACTCGGCGGGCGAGCTCCGCGTGCGCCGCGACCGGGTCTCCAAGGGCGGGCCCATCGGCGCGTCCTGGCGCCGCTTCCGGGGCCGCGCGCGCGTCGGCGACTGCTTCGCGAAATTCGCGGCCATCGCCGAGCAGCGCGTGCCCTTCATGGACCGGAACCTCTGCGACAAGCTCCCCTGCTCCGTCGTCATCGCGCCCTACGCCGAGGAGCGCGTCGTCGACGACTTCGCCCTCAAGGGGCGGAGCAGGGCCGGCGGCCTCGCGGTCCTGCCGCTCGAGTACCGCGGCCTCGTGCTCGGGCCGCTCCTGCTGGGCACCTTCGGCTACACAGACCACGCGCTCGTCAACCGGCAGCAGCAGGGGGTCTGGTTCGCGGCGCTGCCCCACGCGCCGAACCACTTCTCCCCGGCGGCGCCGCGGCGCCTCGCCGACGGCGAGCTCCGGGGGTTCGCGGGCGTCGCCGTGTCGACGAGCGACGGTCCCTGCGAGCTCGAGGGCAGCTACGCGCACCTCAACGCCAAGGCGGCGCCGGCGACGGCGTCGCTCCGCCAGCTGGGCGCCGAGCCCGCGCGGCGCCGCGCGGAGTGCGGCCTCTGGGCCGCGGCGACGCTCGACGTGCGCGGCGTCGGCGGCCGGCGCGTCGTGACGCGCGACGACCGCACGGTCTTCGACCAGGCCTGCGTCGCGACGCTCGCCGTGCGCGTCGACGACGAACGGGGCCGCGCGAGCTGGTCTCGGGCGAAGCTCATCGGGCGGTGCCAGGACTGCGACGGCGCCGCGAAGTGGGTCTTCGAGGGGCCCGCCTGGGACGCCGACGCGCCGGAGCCCCGGGACCTCGCCGGCCGCGGGCACCTCGCGTGCCTCCTCGACGCGCGCGGCGCGGAGACCTTCACGTGGCCGCCGGAGCTGCGGCCCGCGGACTGCGACGCGGTGACGCTCGAGGGCGAGTTCGTCTCCGGCACCTTCGTCCTCCAGGCCGCACTCGTCGCGAGCCCGAGGCACCGCGTCAGGGTCGCGCTCCTCGCGCTCGCGCCCTGCGATTAACGGCGCCGTCATTCTAGCGTGGACAAATTCTCCTCGCGCTCGCGCCCTGCGACGACGAGTAACGGCGCCGTTCGCCCGGCCGGTTCGCGCGCGGTCGCGCCGTGCTAGCGTGGACAAATTACGCCGCCGCGCGACGCGAGCAAAACGTCACGCGGCCTCTCGTCTCTCCTCCGGCGCGTCGCCGCCGTCGTCGCCGCCGCCGGTCATGTCGGGCAGGTCGTAGTAGTCCTTGTGCGCCGCCATGCACGTCGTCAGCGCCTGCGTCGCGCCGACGCACTTCTTCGCGAAGTCCTCGTTGCGCTCCTGGTGCAGCTTCACGCAGTCCTCCCACGCCGTGAACGTCTCGCCGCAGGGCCCGGCGCGCATGTAGGCGCAGAAGCCGCAGTCCTCGTCCTCGGCGAGCTTGGGCACGGCGGCGGACCGCGCGGCCGACGCCGCGTCTGCCGCCGCATCGGCGGCCTCCGACGGCGCCGCTGCGGGCGCCGGCGCCGGAGCTGCGCTCGTCGTCATGGCCGACATGCGCTGCGTCGACGACGGCTGCGGGCCGACACGTCGGGCGAGGCGTGGAGCGCTCTCCGAAGCTGTCTGAGTCAATCAATTTGGTTTACTTCAAGTTGCGGGCGCGATCAGTCCTCCGCGAGCACGACGAGGCGGTCGTCCGGGTGCCACTGGCGGGGCTCGTGCTTGTCCGGCGGGTTGAGCACGGCGTGGTCCTCGCCCGCGGCGCGGTAGCCCACGGCGATCTCCGGCGGGTCCTTGCGCCGCGCCAAGGCCATGACGTCGAAGAAGGACGGGTCGTCGCCCGGCTCGACGTAGTCGGCGATGTTGCGGATGTAGAGCTCGGACCCCTCCTCCTCGAAGAGGTGCTTGACGATGAGGTTCACCGTGCGGTCCTCCGCGACCATCGCGAGCGTCATGCTGACGAGCTCGTTCGAGAGCACGTAGTCGGAGATGCCCGCGTCCGAGATGAGGTGCTGCGTCCGCGAGTCGAGGATTTCGCTGAGCACGACGCACTTGCAGGTCGCCTTGATCTCCTCGGCCCAGACGCAGGAGTTGTGGCGCGCCGCGGACGACGGGCTCGGCGGCCGCGGCGCGTCCTTGAGCCGCTGCGTCTGGATGTCCCGCAGGAGCAGCAGCGTCGCCAGGGCCTGGGAGTCGCGGTCCGTCGACGTCTCCTCGACGGTCTCGTTCGCGAGGATGATGCAGGACGTGAACTCGCCCATGGGCAGCCGCTCCAGGTCCCGGCGGCTGCACAGATTGCCGCACGAGTGGTGCACCGCCAGGTTCCGCAGCTCCGGCGGCCGCTTCCGCTGGGCCCGCGCCTCGAGGAGCCGGTCCCGCTGCTCGTCCACGGGCACCTGGTTGAAGAGGTAGAGCTCGCTGCCCGGCACGACGAAGTCGTCGAGCAGCTGGACGATGTCGTCGAGGTCGCGGCGCCAGCCGCAGAACAGGACGCACTCCGGCGCCTGGTCGCCGTCCACGGGCGGCGCGCTCAGGCTCGACCGCAGCGCCGCCGCCGGCGCCGCCTCGTAGGAGTCGTCGTCCTCCGCGAGGACGACGAGGCCGTCGCCGGCCTCGACCGTCGCGGACCGGCCCGGGTTCAGTAACACGTCGCCGTTCCGGAAGATGCCCAGCGGCACGGCGTCGGGGAAGCGCACGCAGCACTCGTCGAAGGTGGCGCCCACGAGCTCGGGCCACGCCTTGACGTAGAATTCGCAGCCCTCGAAGCCGAGCATGGACCCCCAGACCTCCGCGAGCCCCGGCTGCCGCGCGCACTGGATCATGAGGCGCCCGATGACGTCGTGCGCGACGACGGTCTCCACGGACTCGCCGCCGACCATGCGCACCAGCGGCTCGTTGTCCACGTCCTGCATCTCGACGACGACGTGGCCGCCCAAACCGCCGTTCGCGGCCTCGCGCAGCCCGACGAGCGACAGCACGATCCTCAAACTCCGCGCGTCCGCCTGGTCCGGCGTGCCCGCTTCGTCGGCCAGGACGATCGTCGACCGCGCGCCGCCCGCGTTGACCTTGCGCAGGTCGCCCACGAGCAGCGGGTTGCCCTGGCGGCAGATGACCGTCGTCCCCGCGTCGTCGTAGTCGAAGTCGTCGATCTCCGCCTCTTGTTCTTCTTTGTCCTTCTCGCAGAGGATGACGACGACGCCGCCGCCCTCGGACTCGTTGGCGTTCGAGATCTGCTCGACGACGGCCAGGACCTTGTCGTTCCAGCCTAAAATGAGCGTGTGGCCGTGCTCGAGCACGTCCGACTTGCCCTTGCGGAGGTCGTCGACGTAGTCGCCGACGGCGTCGGAGACGATGCCCAGGAGCAGGGCCGTGATGAACATGCCGCCCAGGGACGACGCGATGGCCACGAGGCGCGTCAGGAGGCCCGACGCGGAGGAGAAGGGCTTCTCCGCGTCCGACGCGAAGGTCCAGTCGATGCCGACGCCCGCCAAGGTCTCCCACACCGCGTCGCCGAAGCCCGTCGCCGACACGCCGTAGAGCAGCCCGCCGCCGACGAGCACGAGGGCGATGGACACGTAGAGCAGCGCGAGCACCTTCGAGTAGGGGTTGCTGCTGAACCAGCAGTCGAGCTCGTAGGCGACGCGCTTCGACAGGGGGTGCCCCGCGTCGTCGCCGGCCAGGATGCACCGCTGGAGCCAGGGCGGCAGGTCGTCGAGGAACGCGTAGCAGTAGGCCGCGAAGGCCAGGGCGACGATGGCCAGCGCGAGCGCGCCGAGCCGCGCGGGCGTGAACGTCTCCTCGTCGTCGTCGTCGCCGCCGCCGTCGTCGCCGCCCTCGTTGTCGTCGCCGCCGCCGCAGGACGCGACGGCCTCGCCGCCGCCGTCCGGGGCCGCGACCTCGAGGCTCTCGTCACCGGGTTCCAGGCACGCCCGCGCCGCGAGCTCCTGGCCCATGGCCCCCTCGCCGTCGTAGCCGGCGACGGCGAGGCGTGCCCGCAGGCACGCGACGACCCTGCTCGAGCTCTCCTGCGCCGCGCTCATGTCCCGGATGCGGTACAACCCCGCGACGACGACGGCCGTGCGCACGAACAGAAGCGCGCGCGACGACCGCGGCTTCGGCTGCTCGTGGCCGCCCATCGTTTTGAAGAGCGACTGGGGCAGCCTTGGTTTAACCTTGTCCAGAATCGATATCATAAAATCAAGCAGTTGAAGCGCGTATTAAAGGGCCCGGAGCGCGTCCAGCAGGCCGGGGCCGCCGTCGCAGACGTTGTTGACCTCGACCATGCCGTACGCGTAGTCCGGTTCCGCCTTGATGCGCGCCGTGACGAGCGCGTTGAGGCCCGACTCGGACTCCTCGGTCAGCAGCGTGGCCCCGTGGAGGCCGCTGACGACGACGGAGTCCGCGTCCTCCTGCCAGAGGGCCTGGACCGTGTAGAGCCCGCCGCCGACGGGGCCTTCCTGGACGACGGACTCGTAGTAGGTCCAGAAGCGGTCCAGGGGGTAGTCCTTCGACGACGAGTCGGCGTAGCAGGTGTAATACCACGGGAAGTCGACGGTGCCGTTCGCCGCCGTCGCGTTCGTCGCCGTCGTCTCCTCGAGCCGTCGCGACTTGAACCCCGCGCAGGTGATCGACGAATCCCAGTGGCCCGTGACGCAGGTGCCCGAGATTCCCATCATGCTCCCGCCTCCGGGCAGCCTCGCCGCGTCCGCGGCCGCCGCGACCGTCGTCGAGTAGAGGCCGGCGCAATCGTCGACGTACGCGACCCCGGCGGTCCCCAGCAGCTCCAAAACGGCCGCGTGCGCGCCGTCGCCGTCCTCGTGGGAGAGGATGAGGAGGATGAGATCCTCGACGTCGACGTGCGCGTTCGCCCACGCGACGGCCTCGTCGAGCGCGTCGGACATGGCGTACTCGATGTCGATGTCGCCGTGGTGCATCTGGAGCACGCCGTCCTTGAGGCTCGGCCGCCAGTCGAGGGCGCGCGCACCGCATCCAAAGAGCGACGCCACGCCGCCGTCCTGCTGGGTTTTGGCCCATTCGTCGACGATGCCCGTGCTGAGGTAGGTCGTCGCGGCGTCGTGGGCATGAACCATGGGCCAGGAGCCGAGGAGCGTCGTGTTCGGATTCTTCAGCGCGTCGGCGGCGGCGAGGAGCGCCAGAACAACACGTGCCGCGTCCATCGTGGCTGCCCTCAGCTTCAACTTGCAGTGCAAGCCACCGATCATTGAACCCTGCCATCCACTGCGATGTCCAAGCTCGTCGCGCTCGCGCGCTGGACGCAGCGCGACCTCATCAAGCTCGCGAAAGCAGAAAACCAGCCACAGCTGTTGACCATCCCTTACAGCCATTACTGCGAGCTGGCCGCATGGTCGCTGGACCGCGCAGCCAAGCCCTACCGCGAGCACGGCTACGCTCCCGGAGAGCACGTCTTACCGTCGCTGGCGCTGCGCGTCGCCGGCGCGGAAAGGCATCTCTCGTCGACGTCGCGCGTCGACGCCATGCCGCGCACCGCGGCGGAGGTCGGCGAGCCGCGGCCGCGGCCTCGCTCGAACGCGACGGCCGTGCCCGCGCTCGTCATGCCCGACGGCGCCGTGCTCGCGGACAGCTGGGCCATCGCGGAGGCCGTCCAGGGCCCCGTCGACCCGGCGCTGAAGGCCCTCCTCGACGAGGACCTCGGCCCGCTGTCGCGGCAGTGGATCTACGAAAAACTATTTCGCGAGGCGAACGCGAATGTCTGGGACGACCTCGCCGGCGTCGGACGGGGCCCACTCTTCGGCGCTGCCTGGAGCGTGATGTCGCCGCGTTTGACGGAGTCCATGCGGCGCCTCTTCCGCACGCGATGCGACGAAGCGATGAAGGTCTGCGACGACCGCCTCGCGGAGACCCTCGACCGCGCCAACGGCTTCCTCGAAAAGTCCGGCGGCGAGTTTCTTGGGGGCGATGCACCATCCATTTCAGATGTGGCCATGGCGACGCTGGCGGCTCCCCTGGTCTTGCCCGCGAAGTTCGCCCGCGGCAAATACGCGTCGCCGTTCGAACAGCTGCTAGCCCAGGACGCCGAGATGCAGGCGCAGGTCGAGGCCTACCGCGCCACGCCCGTCGGCGCCCACGCCCTGAAAGTCTACGAGCACCGGTAGGCGCGTCATTTTTTTTTACGCTAGCACATCTGTATGGCGCGCGGACGAGGTCCGAGGGGCGGTCTGCGAGGCCTTGCGAGTCGCCGGGCATTGCCGGGCACGCAGAACCGCCGCGTGGAAGTGCGAGACCCCCGCGTCGACGCCATGCTCAAGATGTTAGGCCTCAAATCGGGGTCCCCGAAGACCCCGACCACCAAGCCGCCCGCGCCGGGCCCGCCGACCGAGGGAGAAAAGGTCGAGGCGCCCCCCGCCGCCAAATCGAAAAATCCGGCGGTCCGCACGTCGCTCGGCATCGAGGGCCTCGACGACGAGAGCGCCCCCCCGCTTTTGACGCCGCTCGACGCGGCGCTCCCCCCGCTCGACGGCGAGCGGCTCCCGAGGGACGCGAAGCCCTCCGGCGCCGCGGGCGCCGTCGGGTCCGGGTCGCGGTCGCGGTCCGGGTCCGAGCTCGACGGCGAGCTCCCCCCGCTCGACGGCGAGCGCATCCCCACGGCCGCCAAGCCCCCGGGCGCCGTCGGGTCCATCGGCGCGACGTCCGTGCCCGGCGTCGTCGGCGCGGCGTCCGTCGCCGGCGTCGTCGGCGCGGACCACAAGCGCGACATCGGCTACCACGCGTTCTTCGGCACGGGCGACCCGAACCTGTCCGTGAAGCGCCCCTTCCTCAACGAGCCGTCGCCCGAGTCCGTCGCGTCGACGCCGCCGCTCTGGGCGCGGAAGGCGGCGGAGGACGCGCCGGAGCCGCCGACGCTGCGGTCGCTCGAGGCCGAGGTGCTCGCCGTCGTCGACGGCGCCGACGCCGGCGCGGTCCTCTGCGCGAACCTGCCCAAGCTCTACTACGCGCTCCACGGCGCGCCGCTGAACTGCGCGACGTACGGCGAGGACCGGCTCTCGGACCTCCTCGGCAAACTGCCGAACGTCTACGTCCGCGCGGAGGCGCGGGGCCGCGGGGGCACGGTGTCGCGCCGGGGCACGGGCGCCGAGGACGGCGACGTCCCCGACGCCGCGGCGCTCGAGGCCCAGGCCGCGGGGCGCTTAGCGTACCGCGCCGCGGGGGTCCACGCGAGGGTCCGCGACTGGTCGCCGAACCGGCTCCGCGAGGCCTCGGGCGCCACGGAATCTTCCGCGGCCGAGGCGCTCTACCAGGCCGTCGCGGCGCCCGGCGACCGCGTCAAGCGCACGGGGCTGCTGCTCGCGCACGCGCGGACCGCGCCCGTGACCGCGGAACCGGAAAAGCTCCGCGCGCTCGCGGCGGAGATCCTCGCGCTGGTCGACGAGGCCCCGGGGGGCAAGGTGCTCTCGGCGAACCTGCCGCGCGCCTACTTCCTCAAGTACCGCAAGCCCCTCGACATGAAGGGCTACGGCGCGCTGAAGATGTCGCGGCTTTTGACCGCGCTCGAGCCCTACGGCCTCGAGTCGTGCGGCGGCGCGACCGCGGGCGTCGGCCGGGCGGGCTCGGGCGTCGCCGACGACGGGCCCGTCGCGGACACCATCGCGCCGCCGCCGGAGGACCTGGCGAGCCTCCGGGCCGAGCTCGAGAGCATGCGCGGCGCGGGCGACGCCGAGGAGCTCGGCCGCACGGTCTTCGTCCGGGGCCTGCCCTGGACCGCGGAGGAGGCCGAGGTGCGGTCCTGGATGGCGCGAAACGGGCCCGTCGCGTCCCTCGTGCTGCCCCTGAACCGCGGCGACGGCCGGCCGTCCGGCACGGCCTTTGTGGTCTTCGAGGCGCCCGCGGGCGCCGAGAAGGCCTGCGCCGCCCTGGGCCTCACCCTCGGCGGCGGCGAGTTCTTCCCGGGCACGAAGCGCCGGGTCACGGCCGTCATGGCGGACCGGCCGTGCCCGACGCGGCGGCGGGAGTCCGGAGGGATCCGCGACGAGGACGGGCGCCGCGTCCATGACACCGGCGGGACCGTCAAGCCGGCCGTCGCGAAGCCGCCGAAGCAGGGCAAGACCATCGACCCCGCGGGCTGCGACGCGTCGCCGGCGGAGCTCGCGCGGCTCGCGGCCCAGATACTCGCGCTCTGCGACGCGGCGCGATCGGGCCGCGTGCTGCTCGGGAACCTCCCGGGCGACTACAAGAAGGCCTACGGCGCCCCGATGCCGAGCCACGGCGTCAAGGCGAAGACGCTCATGGCGCTGCTGCCCGGCGTCGCCGTGGGCGGCTACGACCCGTCGCACGTGGACCCCGACAACCGCTGGGCGCGCGCGCACGTGAGCCGCGACGACGGCGCGGGCGCCGCGGCGCCGCCGCCGCCGCCCGCGCGGCGGCCCGCGCCGACGGCGGGCGACGCCGAGACGCTGGGCCGCACGGTCTTCTGCCAGGGCCTGCCCTGGACCGCGGAGGAGGCCGACGTGCGGTCCTGGATGGCGGGCTGCGGGCCCATCGCGTCGCTCGTCATGCCGCTGAACAAGCACGACGGCCGGCCGTCCGGCGTGGCCTTCGTCGTCTTCGAGGCGCTGGCGGGCGCCGAGGCGGCCTGCGACACGCTGCACGGCGAGTTTTTCCCGGGCAGCGAGCGCTGGGTCAAGGTCGCCAAGTCGGAGCGGCCGTGCCCGCCGGCGCGGCGGGAGCGCGCGTCCTCCAACGCGAGCCGCGACGACGGCGCGGGCGCCGCGGCGGCGGCGCCGCCGTCCGCGCGGCAGCCCGCGCCGACAGCGGCCGACGCCGAGGAGCTAGGCCGCACGGTCTTCGTCCAGGGCCTGCCCTGGGCCGCGGAGGAGGCGGAGGTGCGGTCGTGGATCGCGCGCGCCGGGCCCATCGAGTTTCTCGCGATGCCGCGGGATCGCACGGGCCGGCCGTCCGGCTACGCCTTCGTCGTCTTCAGGAAGCTGGCGGGCGCCGAGGCGGCCTGCGACACGCTGCACAAGGAGTGCTTCCCGGGCAGCGAGCGCTGGGTCAAGGTCGCAAAGTCCGACCGGCCGTGCCCGGAGTACGGCAAGCGGAAGGGCCCGTCCAAGTGGACCCCGACCCCGTGCACGGCGTCGCCGGCGGAGCTCCGGGCCCTCGCCGACCAGGTGCTCGCGCTCTGCGACGCGGCCAAGACGGGCGCGGTCCACCTCTCGAACCTCCCGGCCGCCTACGAGAAGGCCTACGGCTCGAAGATGCCGCAGCACAAGTTACGGATGAAGCCCCTGCTGGACCTGCTGCCCGGCGTCGCGCTGGGCGGCTACGAGCCCGACCACGAGAACCCCTGGGCCGGCGCGTGCGTGCTCCGCGCGCCCGCGGCGGACGCGGCCGCGGCGCCCGCGGCCGCCGCCGCGCCCGCCGCCGCCGCGTCGCCCAAGGCCAAGCGCGGGTCCACGAAGAAGGACGCCGAGGCGGTCTGCACGGCGACGCCGGCGGAGCTCCAGCAGCTCGCCGACGAGGTGCTGGCCCTCTGCGACGCGGCGCCGAACGGCCGCGTGCAGCAGAGCTCGCTCGGCGCCGAGTACCGCAAGGCGTACCCCGGGAAGGACTTCCCCTCGTACGGCCTCCGCATGAAGCACCTCCTGGCCGAGCTGCCCGGCCTCGACAGCCTCTTCGTGCCCGGCGTCACCAAGGGCGGCAACGCCTGGCTGAGCCGCGCGGGCGGCGCGCTCGAGCGCGACACCTTGCTCGAGCGCGGCGCGGCCGCCTTCGACGAGACGCAGGTCGGCGTCGAGGCGTTCAAGGCCAAGCGCGCCGCGAAGCAGCGCGCCAAGGAGCGGGCGCCGAGGAGCGGGCGCGAGACGGCGGCCCGGATCCAGGCGCGGACCATGCGCATCCGCAACCTCACGCCGAGCGGCCAGCCCCGGGGCTTCGGCACGGCCGGCGCGGACGTCGCGCTCGAGCGGAATCTGTGGGCCTTCTTCGCGCGCGTGAAGCGCGACACGATGGTCGAGCGCATCCACGCCATGGCGGCCTCCGGCACGGGCTACGTCGCCTTCACGGACGCGGCGAGCATGGCGCGCGTCACCGGCGAGCTCCAGCGGTCGAAGATCCAGATCCTCCGCGACTGCGACGACGTCGCCTACGAGGGCGCCCCGGACCTCCCGCCGGCGATGCTCGCGGACATCCAGGCCAACAACGCCATGCTGGATGCCATGTGGCGCCCCGGGTTCGGCCAGTCCTAGTGGCCGCGCGTTTGATCGGACGCGCGACCGTGTGCGCACGGTCGCGCGGGCGATTCCCCCGCCACCTCGGCGCGACCATGATGGCATGGTCGCGTCGCAGATCAAACTTCCCCCTCCCTTCCCCCCTCTCGGCGCGACCATGATGGCATGGTCGCGTCGCAGATCACAATTCCCCCTCCCTTCCCCCCTCTCGGCGCGACCATGATGCGCATGGTCGCGCGGACGATCCGAAGCCCCCCCCCCCTCCCGATGTGCATCGCACGAGCCCAGCGCGCCGCTGCTCGACCCCGGACCTCCCCCCCTCTGGACAGATCCCAACAGTAACGGCCGCCTACTACCCACGAACGCATGTTAGGCCGCCGGCGGCGGCGCGGCGCGGTCGATGACGACCGCGTCGGCGTCGACGGGCGCGTTGCGCGCGCGCATGTTGTCGCGGAGCCGCGCCGCGAGGACGCGCTGGTCGTCGTGGGAGGGGTTGGGCTTGGGCGAGGCGAAGGCGAGGAGGTTGAGGTCGTCGCGGCCCGCGCGGAAGGCGACGAGGTCCCAGCAGCGCGCGGCCTGGGCCGCCGTGTCGAAGCCGCCGAGCGAGAAGCGGTCGCCGAGGAGCGAGAAGGCCGCGTTGTAGCGCGGCGTGTCCGCGTACCACTTGCAGGTGACGCCGCGGAAGCGCCGGTGGTCGCCGTCGCCCGCGTCGTCGGGCGCCGCGGCGCCGCCGGGCCCGCGGAGCGCGAGGTCCGCGACGGCGCGCGCGTCGAGGTCGACGGCGCGCGTCGCGCCGCCCGGCGCGTCGAAGCGCACGGTCCAGGCGCGCACGACGGCGCCCGTGTCCTCGTCGCGGCGCGGCGGCGCGCGGCCGACGACGGCGCCGGCGAGCGTGCCGACGCCGTCGAAGTGCCTGGCGACGAGGACGCCCGCGTGGACGAGGAACCGGCGCGCCGCGGGCGCCGCGGGCGGCGACGCCGGCGGCGAGAGCGCGGGCGGCGGCGCCGCCGACGTCGCCGGCGCGGGCGCGGGCGCCGCGGGCGACGGCGGCGCGGCGCCGGTGCGCCGCGCCTCGCGCGCGCGCTCGCTGTGCGCGCGCTGGCGGCACGCCGCCGAGGCCCACTTGCGGCGGTGGCCGCCGCTCCGGCCCGCGTTGTCGATCGTCTGGCCGCAGCCGCAGAGGCAGACGGACAGGTCCGGGGCGGGCTCCGCGTCCGACGACGAGTCGCGCCGGAGCGGCTCCGGCGACCGCGCGAGCGCGTCGAACGCGCGCCGCGCGCCCTCGGCCGAGTTCGGCGGCAGCGCCAAAAAGGCGTCGCCGAGGTCCGCGGACCGCGCGGCGCGCTCGCGGCAGGACCGCGTCGCCCACTTGCGCCGGTGCGACGCCGCGCGGCCCCGGTTGTCGACGCGCTCGCCGCAGCCGCAGGGGCAGTCGAAGACGAGGGGCGCGCGCGGGTCGTAGCGGCTCAACCCGATGACCCGCTTCGCCTCCTCCGTGGCGTCCGCGAGGCGCGCCGCCGGCGCCGCGCCCGGCGGCGGCGGCGTCGCGGGCGCCGGCGGCGCGGCCGCGCGGGCCCGGCGCTCCGCCTCCGCGCGCGCCGCCGCGCGCCGCGTCGCCGCGAGCGACGACTCGAGCGACGCGCGCCGGTCCGCGTCGCCGGGGATCGTCGCGAAGACCCTGGGGTCGTCGAGGTCGACGAGCCCGGCGGCCGACGGCGCCTTTTGGTCCGCGGCGGCCGCGGCGGCCGCGGCCGACCCGCCGAGGCGCCACCGGCCGCCCGCGCCGCCGACGCCCAGCAGCTCCTCGTGGCGCGCGGCCTCGTCGCGGCGCCCCTTGAGCCGCGCCTTCCAGGCGCCGTAGCCGCCCGACGGCTTGAAGTCGCCGTAGTAGAGGTCGAGCACGTCGCCGACGGACGCGCGCGCGAACGCGTTGACCTCGCCCCGCAGGCCCCCGCGCGGCGTCTTCCGGAGCCGGCGCAGCGCCGCGCCGCAGTCGCGGTCGCAGTCCAGGAGCGCCTCGCCGAACTTGGCCGCGTCCTCGGGCGAGAAGCCGCCGCGGTCCGGCCGCGCGAGGCGGCCTTCGGGGGGCGGGAGCGGCACCGGCGGCGCCGGCGGGCCGCCGCCGCCGAGCTCGCGCGCGGTTTGACCGAGGAACGCCGCCGCGGCGAGGAACGCGTCGACGCCCGACGCGAGGGCCGGGTCGGCCCGGCGCGGCCGCGCCGCGTCGGCGACGCGCGCCGCGAAGAAGTGGCGCGCCTCGGGCGCGTCCGCGAGCGCCGCGAGCGCCGCGGCCGCGTCGTTCGAGCTATCGTGGAGCTGCTCGAGCGCGAGCTCCTCGCCCACGCCGAGCGCCGCCGCGGACGCGACGTAGGCGTCGACGGCCTCGTCGGACAGGTTTCCCCGCGCCCAGGCGACGCCCGGCTGGCGCCGCACGAGGGGCGGCGGCGTCGCCGGCGGCCGCGGCGGCGCGGGCGCCCGGTCCTCGAGCGAGTCCTCGGACGCGCCCCAGCTCGCGGTGCGCCGCTGCGCCGGCCGCGGCGCGCTCCTCGGGCGCTTGGGGCTCCGCGCCGGCGGCTCGCCGGGGCTCCGACCGCGCTTCGGCGCCTCCTCCCCGGGCGGCTCGGCCGCCGCGCGCGCGAGCTCCTCCTCGGCCTCGCGCCGCTCGGCCTCGCGGCGCGCGGCCGCGCGCGCGCGCGGCGCGACGCGCTCCGGCGGCGCCGCCGCGGGGCCCTCGGCGGCCGGCGCCGGCGGCGCCTCGGGCTCGGGCTCGGGCTCCGCCTCCCAGGCCGCGAGCCAGGCCGCGAAGCCGTCGGGGGCCTCCCAGCCGTCCTCGGCGTGCGCGCGCAGCACGCGGCAGAAGATGGCCCCCTGCTTGCTCTTCTTACACAGCTTGCAGCGCGTCAGCACGAAGGGGACCGACGACGGCGCCCGGCGCTTCGACATGGCCGACGGACGGCTCTGCGCACACGACGAGCGTGCGAAGGATTGCTGGGCCCGGGGCAGCCCAAGAAGATTTGGGAGGTAAAAGTTGTTTTATTGAATTACCGTCGTCCTTGGGTGAAGTGAGTGCATTTGGGCAGCCTATGAGGCCGAGTTCTGGGGGTCGGCGGTGCCTTGCTAAGAGGTCATCCCATCGCCAGCAGTTCTCACCGTGACACATGAACGTCGCGCGCGCGGCGTCGACGGTGCTCGGCTGGAGCTACTTCGCCGTATGGAGCGCTTCGTTTTGGCCCCAATTCCTGCTCAACTGGCGACGGAAGAGCGTCGTCGGCATGAGCTTTGACTTCCAGTGCATCAATTTTCTCGGCTACGTCTCCTACAGCGCCTACACGATCTGCCTGCGCTTCGACGGGCCGACGCGCCGCGCGTACCACGAGGCCTTTGGGCGCGCCGCCGACCTCGTCGCGCTGCCCGACGTGTGCTTCGCGCTCCACGGCTGCGCGCTCACGGTCGCGCAGATCGTCCAGTGCTTTTTCTACGAGCGCGGCGACCAGGGGCTGTCGCGGCCCTGCGTCGGCGCCGTCGCGGCGCTCGCGGGCGCGTCGGCCGCCTACGGCGCGGTCGTCGCGTTCCGCGGACGGGACACGGGGCCGGCCAGCTGGCTCGACTTCCTCTACTGGCTCTCCGTGCTCAAGCTCGGCATCACCACGATCAAGTACGTCCCGCAGGTCCTCCTGAACCGGAGGCGCCGGTCGACGACGGGCTGGTCCATCGCGAACGTGCTCATGGACCTGCTCGGCGGCACGCTGTCCGTGGCGCAGGTCGTCCTCGACGGGTCGACGGTTGGCTGGGGCGGCGTCCTGCGGGACCCCGTGAAGTTCGGGCTCGGCCTCCTCAGCTTCGTCTACGACGGCATCTTCATCGTCCAGCACTACGTCCTCTACCGCGAGGCGCCGGCCGCGCCGGACGTCCGCTTCCACGGGGCCGCGGACGCGCTCCTCGAGCGGCCGCGGAGGCCCGGGCCCGACGGCGTCATCCACGTCTAAATTCACAGCCCGGGGAGGAAGCCCGCGGCGGACTTGCGGCGGCCCCCCGTCTTCGACGCGGCCCGGCGGAGCAGGGAGATCTTCTGGGTCATGTCGTCGAAGGAGCGGCGCCGGCGCCGCGTCGTCGCGAAATTGCCGCGGCCCTCGCCCAACGCGCGGAGGCGCCAGGTCGCGACGTGCGCCGCGAGCCGGAGCTTCGTGTAGACGCGGCAGACCTTGGCGAGCACGTGGCGCTCGCGGAGCGCGTAGACGGCCGCGTCGAGGATCGCCGCGCGGACGTCGCGCGGGAGCATGACGAGCCGCGGCGTCGGCAGCGGGAGCTCGCCCGCGGAGACGAGCGTCTTGCGGTTGAACGACTTGGACACGTCGTCGAAGGACTCGGCCTTGCAATGCACGAGGCCCCGCGCGTCCGAGAGGTCGAACTTGCCGTGCGCGTCCAGCGCCGCGGCCTCCGCCGCGCGCGCGTGCGCGCGCTTTCGCTTTTTGAGGTACCGCTCGAGGTGCGCGTCGCGGTAGCCGGCGGAGAAGAGCTTCGGCCGCGCGCCGCCGTGCTTCGGCGGCGCGCCGTCGCCGGCGATGTCCTCGATGCGGCTGCTCAGCGACTGGAGCATGGTCCGGCGCCGGGAGCAGGCCTCCTCGGCCGTGCGGACCCAGTGCTCGTCCCCGGCGTCGGTGAAACTGTCGCGCGAGCCCCGGCCGCTCCGGCGGCCGTCGCCGTCGAGCGCGCGGCTCCGCGCGGGCGGCGACGGGCCCGGGGCCGGCTTCGTCGTCTCCCCGAGGCCGCCGGGCCGCCAGGGCGCGAGCGCCGCGGCGGCCCGGGCCTCGTTCTCCTCGTTCGCGCCCGGGTCCCGCAGGTCCGCGGCGTACTTTGCCAAAGCGCGGTAGTGCGCCGCGACCTCGGCGTCCCAGATCTTCGCGTAGAGGGCCACGCGGGCCCGGTGCCTGGCGAGCTGGCGCCGCCAGACGCGCTGGATCATGTAGCAGACGCGCTGCAGCCGCGCGATGCACCGCCGGAACGGCGGCAGCCTCTTCGCCTCCGCGAGGAAATGGGCCACGCGGTCCGCGCAGCTCCGCCGCGCGGCGCGCTGGACGACGTCCGCGAAGCGCCGCCAGGGCGCGCCCTGGGCCGCCGCGCGCATGCGCCGATGCCGCCGGAGCGCGGGGTTGTCGCGGCGCCACCGCGTCTGGATCCGCGCCGCGGCGCTCGAACGGCCCGCGGACGCCGCGCGCGCGCGGCGTCCCGCGAGGAGCGCCGTCGCGAGCGCCTTGGAGACGGTGCCGACGGCCGCGAGCGTCGCGAGCGTCGCGACGCGCGCCTTCGCCTGCTCCGGGGGCTCGTCGGCGGCCCGGACGTCGTCGACCCCGTGGTGCACGTAGCCCATGACCCAGGGCGTCCGCTTCTTCGACGGCGGGCTCGGCGCTACCTCGTCGCCGCGGAGCGGCGCGAGCAGGATCTGCGACGGCCGCCGGCTCCGCGGCTTCCTGGCGTCGAGCGCCGGCGCGGACGCGGACGCGCGGAGGACGAGCTCCGCGCTGCTCCGCCGCGGCGCGCGCACGCGGCCCACGCGCGGCGCGGCCGCGACGGACGGCGCGTGGAAGGACTGGCTCTTGCCGTCGGCGCCGACCATGCGGCGGCGGCGCGGGTGGCTGTCGAGGGACCGCCGGCCCAGGTGCTGGAGCAGGGCCTCGACGTTCGGATGGGCGGCCTCCGTGGGGGCCGGCGCCATCGTCGCTTTCCGAGGGGCCGGTGCGCCGAGGACGTTGGGCCCAAGCTTTGCTCCGAACGATCACCTCTCTCGGTCGCGTCTCGTGACGAGGGGCAGGTGCGCGAGAACGTTGGGAAGCTCTGCTCTAGATCTGATCAATCACCGGTGTGCGCCGGGCAGCCTTGGTGCAGTTGCAAATGTGATCAATGTGCCGGCAAGGCCGCCACGCGTCCACGGTGGCTCAAACTCGGGACGACGACGTCGACGCGGTACGATCGCGCCAATCGCCTGTTCGACGCGTGATTGTTCCGACGCTCGGCCGGCTGGACGCGCAGCACTGCCTCTGCACGCATCGCGACCCGAGTAGCACCTCTTCTCAAGCCGCATCTATTTGCGCGCCGCACGACGATGCCCGGCGGCTGGGGCGGCTTCGCGCGCGGCTGGACCAAGTCCGACGAGGACGACCCCGACGTCTTCACCTACCCGGACAAGCTGCTCCACGAGCTCTTCTACGAGCAGGCGGCGAAGACGCCCGACAGCGTCGCCGTCGTCGACGGCGACCGGTCCCTCACGTACGCGGAGCTCGCGGACCAGGCGCGGACGCTCGCGACGTTCCTGCGCAAGGAGGGCGTGAAAGAGAACGCCGTCGTGCCCATCTTCATGCCGCGCTGCCTCGAGTTCGCCGTCTCCTACATCGCGGCGCTCAGCGCCGGCGGCGCGTACGCGCCGCTCGAGGTCGGCTATCCCGCCGACATGCTGCGGCGCGTCATCAAGGAGTGCAAGCCCGCGCGCGTCATCACGCTGAGCTCCCACGAGGGCCGCCTGCCGGACGACGCGCCGCGCATCTGCCTCGACGCGGGCTGGCAGAAGCGCTGCGTCGTGACGGCCGCGGAGGCCGCGGCGCTGCCGCCGGTCACCACCCACATGGACTCGCTAGCCTACGTCGTCTACAGCAGCGGCACGACGGGCGCGCCCAAGGGCATCACCTGCCCCCACCGCGGCTCCGTGCTCTCCTACAACCACCGCGCCTGGGCCGCGCCCTACGAGAAGACGGGCGAGCGCGAGGCGTGCAACGTCTTCTTCGTCTGGGAGATGCTCCGGCCGCTGCTCCGCGGCGCGACGCTCGTCGTCATCCCCGACACGGTCATCTACGACCCGAAGCAGCTCGCGGATCTGCTGGAGAAGGAGAAGGTCACGCGCATGCTCTTCACGCCGTCGCTGTTGGAGGCCGTGCTCGACTCGCCCGCGCTCGACGGCGCGGCGCTGAGGCGCGCGCTCGCGTGCTTCCGCGCGGTCGTCCTCTGCGGCGAGGTCGTCACCGCGGAGCTGCGGTCCCGCGTCCTCGCCGTGGCGCCGCCGGGCATGAAGCTGCTGAACCTCTACTCCATCTCCGAGACGCACGACGTGTCGATGCTCGATCTCGCGATCGCGCCGGAGCCCGACGGCAAGTACTGCTCCACGGGGCCCCTGCTCCCGGGCGTCGAGGTGCTCATCATGACCGACGCGAACAACGTCGAGAAGCACGGCAAGGCCCAGGACCGCGCCGAGGGCAAGAAGGAGCTCTCGCCCGTGCCGCTGGGCATGGAGGGCGAGATCTTCGTCGCGGGGCCGACGCTCGCGCGCGAGTACCTGCTGCGGCCGGACCTCAACGCGAAGCGCTTCCCGCCGCGGCCGGCGAACCTGCCCGTGGCGCCCCAGACGCCGGGCCAGGACGTCGGCAACCCGAAGCTCTACGACCGGCTCTACGACACGGGCGACTGGGGCCGGCTCCGGCCCGACGGCACGCTCGAGATCCTCGGCCGCCACGACTCCATGCAGAAGATCCGGGGCTATTCGGTGGAGCTCCGGGCCGTGGAGACGGCGCTGCTCCAGTGCGCGAACGTCACGTCCTGCGTCGTCAAGGCCGTCGGCGCCGAGGGCACGGACAAGCACATCGCGGCCTTCGTCGTCTTCGACGCGCCCGAGGGCCAACGCGACGTCGAGGCGCTCGGCCGCGCGGCGCGCGACGAGCTCAAGGCGGCGCTGCCGCACTACATGGTGCCGTCGTTCGTCGTGCCCATGGAGGAGCTCCCGACGCACCCCATCTCGGGCAAGCTGAACCACGCGGCCTTTCCCAAGACGCTGCCGGGCCTCCTCGACTTCGCGGAGGCGGAGCGCAAGACGCTGGGCCTCGAGTCGGCGCAGAACGCCTTCGCGCTCCACGGCGAGACCGAGGCCTTCGTCGCCGAGCTCTGGGCGGAGGTGCTGGAGCTGCCCATGGCCATGGTCGACCCGGAGGAGTCCTTCTTCGACATGGGCGGCCACAGTCTGCGCGCGACGAAGCTCGTCGCCAGGCTCAACGCGCGCGAGGGCGTCGACGTCAAGGTCGCGGCGCTCTTCGAGCGGCCGACGATCCGGGGGCTCGCCGCGTTCATCGCGGGCGGCGGCAAGGCGACGAAGGCGGCGCCCCTGCCCTTTGCCGCCGTGCAGAAGGAGCTCGACGCCTTCGACGCCAAGGCCCCCGAGGGCTTCGACATCGCGCTCCGCGCGTACTGGCACGGCGTGTCGCTCGCGACGAAGCGCGTCGACAGCCAGCAGAACCTCGCGGCCGCGGACGGCGACGACGCCGCCGCCGCGAAGCGGCCCCTCGAGGGCGAGGCCGTGCTCCTGACGGGCGCGACGGGCTTCCTCGGCGCGCACCTGCTCCGCGAGCTCCTCGCGAACGAGAAGGTGCGCACGGTCTTCTGCTTGGTCCGGGCGTCGGCGTCCGAGACGCCCCTGGAGCGCGTCATCGGCACGCTCGAGAAGTACGGTTTGTGGCGCGAGGCCGCGGGCTGGGCGTCGCGCATCGAGGGCGTCGAGGGCGACCTGTCGCTCGAGCGGCTCGGCCTCGTCACGGACCACTACCTCTACCTCGCCACCGTCGTCGACCGCGTCGTCCACTGCGCGGCCAAGGTGAACCTCGTCTTCCCCTACGACGGCCTCCGCAAGGACAACGTCACCTCTACCATGCGCGTGCTCCACCTCGCGATGGACCACAAGGTCAAGCCCGTGACCTACGTCTCGACGGACGCGGTCTTCCCCATGGCCGGCGGCCCCCACGCGGAGGACGGCGCGGACCTGCTCGAGACGCTGGGCTCGCTCGAGAACGGCTACGCCCAGTCCAAGGCCGTCGCCGAGCTCCTCGTGAGGCACGCGGCGAAGCGCGGCCTCCCGACGGTCGTCGTCCGCCCGGGCAACCTCGGCGGCGCGGACCCGCGCAACGCGCCGGCGCCGGGCGACGACCGCGACCCCAACGAGGCCCGGGCCCTCAGCGTGAGCCGCCAGTCGCGCGTCGACGCCGCGCAGCAGGTCGTCGCGGCGCTTACGGCCGCGCAAAAGGCCGCGAAGCCCAAGACGACGCTCCGCGAGAAGATCCTCCGCGCGGGCTGGAACACGAGCGACTCGAACCTGCTCTACGTCGCGGGCATGGCCTGGCTCGGCATGGCGCCGTCCGTCGACGGCTGGCGCTGCGAGCTCACGCCCGTGGACTTCGCGGCCAAGTCCGTGCTCTGCGCCGCGGGCGACAAGGCGTCGAACGGCAAGGCCTTCAACCTCGTCAACGGCGCGACGCTGCCCATGGGCGCCGTCGTCGACGCCCTGCGGTCCTGCGGCGTCGCCGTCGAAGCCGTGTCCTACGAGGCCTTCCGCAAGGCGCTCGAGCGCGGCGCGGGCCAGGACGGCGACGTCGCGTCTGCGCTCCTCCAGCCCCTCTGGAAGCTCGTCGAGCCCCTGGAGACGCCGGAGGCTTTAGCGGCCAACGACGCCCACGCGTCCTTCGACAACGGCGCGCTCCGGGCGCTCGCTTTGCGCCGCGGCGCGGGCGCGTACCCGCCGCTCGACGTGCCCCTGGTGCGCGAGTACGCGTACCACCTCCTCGAGGCGGGCGTGCTGCCGCCGGCGCAGGCCACGAACGGCCAGACGTTGCGGGGCGAGGTCGCCTTCGTCACGGGCGCGTCGGGCGGCATCGGCGCGGCCATCGCGCGCGCGCTCGGCGCCGCGGGCTGCGACGTGTGCCTCGCCGCGCGCCGCGAGGACCGCGCGGCCGCGCTGGCCAAGGAGATCGCGAGTTTGCACGGGTGCCGCGCGGTCGCCGTGGCCTGCGACGTCACGTCGCGCCGGGCCGTCAAGGACGCGGTGGCCGCGTGCGCGCGCGCGCTCGGCCCTCCGTCGATCCTCGTGAACAACGCGGGCGTCATGCACTACACGCTCATGCGCAACGGCCACGAGGACGAGTGGGAGCAGGCCGTCGACGTCAACTGCAAGGGCGTGCTCAACGGCATCGGCGCCGTGCTGCCGGGCATGCTCGCGCGCGGCAAGGGCCACGTGCTCTCCGTGTCGTCGGACGCGGGCCGCAAGGCCTTCGCGGGCCTCGCGGTCTACTCGGGCACCAAGTTCTTCGTCGAGGCCGTGTCCCAGGGGCTGCGCGCCGAGACGGCGGGCACGGGCGTCAAGGTGACGACGGTGCAGCCGGGCGACACGAAGTCGAACTTGAAGAGCTGCACGACGGACGAGGAGGCGCGCGCGCTCTACGCGCAGCCCTCCGAGGACCGCAACCTCTGGCTCGACCCCAACGACGTCGCGCGCACCGTCGTCTGGGCCCTCTCCCAGCCCCCGCACGTCGCCGTCAACGAGATCCTCGTCGAGCCCCGCGACGCGCCCGCCTAGCGCGCCGCGCGCCGCGTCGGCGCCGCCGCGGACCGGCGGCGCCCCGGCGCGGCGCGGGGCGCGCGGCGGGCGCGAGGCGCGGCGCGA